TTACTTCTCACAAATAGTAATTGAGTTAGTAACTGAGTTACACAACTATAAAAGTAACTAATTACCAGGGAAAGTAACTATTGCGTTACCTAAAAAAAATCTAATTTGTCATACTTAAACTTTCAACAGGGGAAATGAAGGAAAACACTGCTTCTATTTTCAGTTTGCAAAAGCTATCTTTGAATTTTGGATTTGCCATCGTTTTGACTCTTGGTCGTTGGTGTATGTCACACTGACTGTGCGTGTGCTTGTGTGTGAATACTTGAGCTACTCTGCCTCTGATGGGCAAATGATGGAAATGTACTCTATCTAAGCCAATAATCACGTTTTCAGTTACACCACGTTCACAGACAAACCAATCATCATCACTGGTTGGTTATGTGTCCCGCCCCAGCCCCAAACACACACCCACCCCAGAGAAAGAGGCTCCTCGCATGGAAACTGCTTCAGTGCTCTTAATTAACACGCATTTTATTGTCATAACGGCGTTGTAATGGGGGAAACAGTAATTAATTTCATCACCTGTTACTGAAAAAAGTATCGCTGCTAGTACTGATTTGTATTGCTGTTATTCCCATCAATTTAAATGACAGAATGCAAATGTTAGAAACACATCTCCTTGCAGCAGATTTGGGATCAGAAAAGTTCTAGTCTTGGCTCTTTTTTTATATAACCAATATAAAAATAACAGAGTTTGTTGTTGGAACGAAACCAGTGTGAGTAAATATTGACTGTATGTTCATTTTTGGATGATTATACAATACATTTAAGCCCCCCTCCCATATTTTATTCTTAGATGGCCAGTTTTTCCTCAGTCCATTAACACTCCCTGCTAAAAAAATTACCCAAGCTGTATTGCCTTAAATGTCAGTGACTCTCAGTAGTGTGTCAGATCCGTACCTTTGTGTGAAAGTGGCCCAGCGCAGACACCCACTCCCGTCTGTGTTGATCGGCATTAAATATAGCACAGGGAACACTGACGGGGCTGTGGGTTTGTAGTTTATACATCAGAAGCTCAGTCACTCATTGCTGCTGTCCTGCTGGGTGCTTTGAGTTGGCAAGATTTGGTTTAGTGCTGTCGGAACTACTGTACATGAGGCTGAAGTTTACTGTCTTAATGGATCATTTGGCTGTTTCAGTTAAAATAAATTCACAATAAAAAGTAATTTTGCTGGTCAGCTGGTGATTCATACAGTGTCATGCCGTAGGATACAAAATCAATTAAAGCTGACAATGACTTCCTTGTATTTTATTATGTTAGTACAGGGGTGCCCAAATTTTTTGTAAAACAGGCTAAAAAATAAAAATCATTGAGAGTTGTGGGCCGCAGATAAATATCCCAAACATCAAACATTAAAGCTGTGTGTAATTTACTAATTTATTTAATAATATTTAAAAAATAATGAAAAAATATCACTTGAATCATCTTAACTATAACTTTTTTTTAAATTATAACTTTCAATTAAAAACAGAAACAATCACATTTATAACACAGTGGAGTTCAATTCTGAGTACAGTCAAGCAGATTCAGCCTTTGCCTTAACTTGCTCACCAAAGTCTCTGCATTGTCCTCTATCCGCCGGGTGACAGTATGTATATTTTAAACTAAATTACAGCATTTGAATTAAAACATTTAATCTCAGTAGCTTTTTTGTAGCTTAGCAATCATTTGAAATGACAATCTTTAAACCATCCCCATCATTCTCCTCTTCTCAGATGAGAGCTACTGTACACAAGACTGAAGTTTACTGATCTGGACCATTTGGCTGTGTATCAGTTAACATGAATTTATAATAAAAAGTAAATTTGCTGGTGATTCATACTTTGTAGCAAGTGGAAGGACACATTATCAAATCGTAAAGCTGGTAATGCTAAGACTTCCTTGCATTTTATTGCATTAGCATCTAGCTAACTAATTAGCTTTCAGTTCACAGTTGCTTATAATTTAGGTACATTTTAAAAACTGTGACGTGTAAGCTTTGCCATTGCATTCATCTTTTTTTATTTATGGATTATATTTTTTGAAAGTTTTTTTTTATTCAGTTTTTTTTAAATGTTGTTATTAGGCATGGGCCGGTATAAGATTGTAACTGCATGATAACCTGGATAAAAATATCATGGTTTCACAGTATTACAAAATTGTGATTGCTGCTTTAAAAATGTTATTTTTTTTTAAATGTCTGGATAAAAACGGTAACTTTCCCTCATTCAACCAGTATATATTTTATCTTAAGAAACATTTAAAATATTTTGGAACAGTAAGCATGTCTGGCTAATTAATTAAATAAAATGATTGACATGTGCTATCTTCATTAGTTTCATAAACAACTTAAAAGGCATCTTTGGATATCTTTCTTTTCTTTGGAAATAAAGTAAACCACTGCACTGTTCATGTCCAGCATGCTTGGATGTTACTGCAAAAAGTGATTTGTTTTTCTCTAATAGTGCACTGACCAGTCACTCTTAATGTGGAGGGCCTTTTCTGCTGGAGAATCTGTTGCCCTAAAAAAGTAAAATAAAATAGGAAAAAAAAAATCTTGTATATACCATTGGCACAATGGTATAACAGAAAATTTTAGCTGTTTTAAAACCTTGACTTTCTAAACTATGGTAAACTTTGAAACCTGTTATCGTCCCATGCCTAGTTGTTATGTATTAAATTTTACTTGTGTCTTATAGTGTCTTAAGTGTTGCATTTTTATTTGCATTTCAAATATATTTCTTTAGCTTGCATTCTTGTTTTATTTCAGATTTTAGTCATTGCATTAATGAGAGGGATGAATTTTTTCTCTGTATGTGATTTAAACTTTGCAGTTAATCCACAAATCACATGTGTTCTGAACTGCGGTGACTGTCGGGTCTCTGACCTCTATCTGTACTTGATATAAAACATCCTGTTATGTGACCAATGCAAATATACATATTGCAACACTGATGCTAAAACAAAATGTTGAGCCCCTCCTTATCTTTTTTGCAAACTATTTTGAAAAGGTGATATGTTAATGGAGATGCAGCACATTTGCTAATCTTATTTTTGCCCTGCTGTGACCTCAGCCTCATTTTCTCTGTCTGCAAAGCTGAAATGTAGACCAATTGCTTTTAACTAGTGGGTCGGCCCCTAAAAATGGGTCACAGGTCTGTTCCGATGGGGTCAGTCAGCAGGGAAAAATTCTTCTTTCAAAATGTGTCTCACATGTCGCATATTTTTTTTATTCAGTCAGGAAGGCTTTCAAAGTAAGCTTGGACAAAAGTATCTGCTAAATAACTAAATACATATAACCTGTATTGGGCAATGTTTTCCTTGACTGAACCCAACAAAACTGACAACCCCAAAATAATAGTTACTGTTTTATGAATTAAAAAAAAAAAATTAAAGTAAAATAATTACTTTAAATTATTAAAGCAGATACCCGTGACCAAAATGCGACCTCTGGTGGACAGTAGCAGCCCCGAAATGAAACGTAATATAAATATTATGAATGTAAACATTAGGTGAGCAGGTTACATTGTAACCCTGTGTCCTAACAACACACTACGTGATGAGATTTACAGTGATAAGCAATTTGGCTACCTGAACTAGATGTAACATGACAGAAATTTAAATACAGTCATTCAGAAGCTCAGAATAGTGCACTTACTGCACTCCAGTAAAATAGTAAGGTTTATAATCTAAATAACACGTATTAAACCACTTTAACATTATTAATGTACATGCTGAATCACTGATATGTGTTGGTTTTAAGATACAGTTCTAAAGTTCAATTTCAAACAGTTTGTTTTATTATCAAGCTTTGAGGTAACGTTAAACAATCTGCTGCTGCTTTCAGTAGTATGGCAGTAAATGTCATGTAAAATGGCATTCAAACTCACATTGTTAGCATTTAACACTGAACAAAGCACGTGAGGTGTACCTGAGGTGATCATTGCCAGTTTATCCTTGTTTTATTTCTTGCAGTTGTTCAACTGCAAGAAGTAGAAGCATATCTAAAATATAAATTTCAGGTGTTCATTTGGAAAATATTCCTTCTATGGCATGCCGTTGCTTTTATTTTAGAACAGGCTTGATAGTCAGGCTCACTCCTGTTTGTGTTGTCAATCTGCCAACTTGTGCTTATGTGTGTTTTGAACCAGGCGTGCCATACCTAGTTCAACCTTGCAGGGTGTTGATCTTACATACTGCATTATATCTTCATTGAGATATTCTACGTCCCCCTCATTTTTACTTACAGAATTGTGTCGCTAACATAACTCCATACTCCAGGTCCAGCCAGGTCATTATTGATGTTTTTTAATTTTTTTTCTTTAATTTATTTTGGATATTAAATCATAAAATATTAATAATTATTTTGGGGTTGTCTGTTTTGTTGGGTTCAGTCAAGGAAAACATTGCCAAATACAGGTTATATGTATTTAGTTATTTAGCAGATACTTTGTCCAAAGCAACTTACGATTGGGGAGGCATTCAGCGATTCAACAAGAAGAAGCAATACACACAAGAAGTGCTAATTATACAAAGGAACTGTTAGTGCTCAAAGAATTAAGTCCTGGAATAGGGAGAGTGGGGTGGGGTTAATAAAGAGAAGAGTCAAGCCCACTCACCTGTTTGAAGCAGATAATAAATCTAAATTTTTTTTTAGAAAGAAAGTGTCTGGTGGAGATCCAAGTGTCGGTTTTGTGTTAGAGAGCTGAAAGTCTTTTCTACTGGTGGTTTGTCTATTCCGCTCACCTGTGTGGGGCACACTAAGAACTACATAATGGGGAAGATGTTTTTTAGATGTTGTTTGAATGATACTGTGCATCATGTTGACATATTTATTTTTAATGCTGTGTTGTTAGACAGATGTCTCACAGTGATGCTAAAAGTCTGATTTCAGTACTTTTGATTAATACAGAGCAACTAACTCAAATGCTTACACTGAAACGCCATAATGAATGTAAATATAATCTGCAATGCTCTCATTCTCTCTCTTACATCCACTCTTCTCACTTTCCCTCTGCAGGGGCTGCACAGACGTGCTTTGCTGCGTGATCTTCGTCATCGTCATCCTCGGCTACATCGTTCTGGGAACAGTGGGTGAGTTACAGTCATTAATGTGAGCGTTGCGTAATGAAGCGGCAGGGGAGCGTCAGTGGTAAACAGCAGCCTAATGCAGTGTCATTATGTGCAGTTACACTCCTCTCGCTGCGTGTGTGGCTGTTTTCATACAGACACTCATTTAATCCATTCTCAAAAAAAGCAAGAGGACTCACAGGAACCCATTCACTCACTCTGACGTCTGGTTACATCAGTGAATGTTTAAATGCGGCTGTCTGTCAGAGGCTCTTTTCCTGCGCTGTTTCTGGGAGAATCACAGCTTGCTGTTTGTTTTGGAACATGGTGACTGGGTGTGTGTATAAAAGTTTGCATTAAAATTCTGAAATGTGATGGAATTTTTTCATAATATAGTTTTAATAGTTTGCTTGTTTATATATTGACAATGTTTGAATGATTTTTGAGGACTGGAGTTAGCATCATAGGAATTAATTGAATTGTAAAATAAATGAATTGCAAAATAAATCATTTTATTTTTGTGCAACACATGTTGCGATCTTAAGTATCATTTTAACAGGTTAAATGAATGGAAAGAATTCATATTTTTAGGATAATTTTGGATGATAATTGGATGATTTTATAGTGGAGCGCATCTGCATAAAATGTAATAAACACAAGATAAATACATTAAATCAAGTCAAACTTTATTTCTAGAGCACTGTACAAACACAGAAATGAGCCAAAGTGTTGTACAGCAAATATACAACAAAATAAGCATAATAGTACATAAACTACAAGATAAAATATAGCTAAACTACCTAAAAAGGCACATAAATTAAAAGAACCAGTTTTTAAGATCAGGTGTCAAATGCCAACGGAAAAAAAAGAGTTTTAAGAGCTGATTTAAATGAAAACATGGGCAGTGGCAAATCATTCCAAAGTCTAGGACCTACCACAGCGAAAGCACAACCCCCTCTTAGCTTACGCTTTGTTTTGGGCACAATCAGGAGAAGCTGATCAGCTGACCTAAGAGAACGAATGTGTTTATATGGGTGTATTAGCTCAGAGATATAAGGTGTAGCAAGTCCATTTAGAGATTTAAAAACAAATAAAAGATTCTTAAGCTGTATTCTAAAATTCACTGGCGACCAATGAAGTGAAGGTAACACAGGGGAAATGTCATATTTGCGAGTACAAGTTAACATGCATGCTGCAACATTTTTCACCATTTGCATTAAGGCAATAGCTGACCTGCTACTCCCTACATACAGTGCATTACAGTAATCTAACCGAGTGGTCATAAAAACATGGATTACTGTCTCAAACTGTTGTTTTGGTATATATTGCTTTATTTTTTGCTAGTTGTCTTAATTAAAAAAAGGTAGATTTAACTGTCACTCTAATCCGAGTTAAATTTCACCCCAAAATTTGTGACTGTAGGCCTAATATGCTGAGCTAATGAACCCAAATTCCCAACAGTCCCAACAGTACCTTCAGAAGCCATTACTTCTGTTTTGTTTTCATTAAATCTTACAAAATTAAAAGTCATCCAAGCCTTCATTTCACTAAGACGATCAAGGAGCGAGTAATTTTTCTTAGGCGGCACATAGTTCTGACTATCATCTGCATAATTAACCCAGAGTTACAAATGAAATAAATGCTTTAAGTTGGCAGCAAGGTTGCTCAGTGGTTAGCACTGTCACCTCACAGCAAGAAGGTCGCTGGTTTGAGTCCCAGCTGGGCCAGTTGACATTTCTGTGTGGAGTTTGCATGTTCTCCCTGTGTTTGCAGCATGGGTTTCCTTTGGGTGCTCCTGTTTCCCCCACAGTCCAAAGAGATATATAGCTGAATTGGATTAACTAAATTGGCCATAGTGTGTGAATTGTGTCTGTACCCAGGTGACCACTGGTTAATAAAGGGACTAAGCCAAAGGAAAATCAATGAATTTTGGGGGAGTCTGTTTTGATGGGCTCAGTCAAGGAAAACATTGCACAATACAATTTATATGCATTTAGTCATTTAGGAGACACGTTGACAGTTCATCCTGCTGTGGCAACCCCTGATAAATCGGTGACTAAGCCGAAGGGAAATGAATGAATGGATGAATGAATAAATGCTTTGTTGTTTTTCTTGCAGTCTAAAAGTATTCAGGTAAACAAATTGAATAATTAAATGTAAAATAAATAGCTCTGTATAATCTTCATTGCATATATAATGTACATAAATACAATGAATCTTTTTTGAAGTTACTAAAATATTAATTTCCTGTGCCTGAATGCTTTAAACTAGCTTGAAATGCGTGCACAGCCACAGGCGTTAAAACAAATGCAAATGACACCATTTTTTGGTAACTTTATTGTTAAACTTTGCAATAACTCGACAATCATGTTCGATTTTAACTTCTAATCAACTATAGTCCTGATTCAACATTGCAGATCTTGCGATGTGACTATTGCGGATGTGCACATTGTGGTACCGATGCTGAATCGACATGTTCTGCACCCCTAGTACAAACATACCATTGAAAAGCATCCAATAGAAAATATGAATACATTTTTTTTTATTTGTGAGGCATGTACTTGCATATGCTGAGCACTGTATTTTTAAAGCAAATGCCACCAACATGAAAGTGCTTATCCCTATAATTCTGTAGTTTTTGGTTTAAAAAAATTAAAGAAAATCTACAAAATAGAATCTTCTTCTGTATTAATCTCTGACTTTAAGAGTGTCTGTAAGGCTCAAAGCTTCTCAGATCCTTGTCTTTCTCACACTGATCTCTGTCCGCTTCTCTCTGACGTCTTATCGGTTTAATCCTGACTAGGCTAAATGAATATGACTGGCTTTTCTGTTGCCCTTTGAAGTGCACTGACAGCTCATGTGACACTTTTAGGCTCGAGGTGACATTCCTTGACCCTTAAAGCTCAAATTCACTTTACCATGCAGAATTGAGTGGAGACGATTAAGAATGTGTGTGTGTGCATGTGTGTGTTCAAGTCACAGACTCCAATGTATTCAATTACAGAAAGAGCTTCTTATGCTCAAAATTAAGATGGTGGTTTCACTTTATTTTTAATATGTCTCTGATGCATCTTTTCCTGTTAGTCCTCTTTGCTTTTAACCAATAAAGGTTTCACTTTTATTTTTAGTTTGTTTTTTGTGCATCTTTTCCTGTTTGTCCTGTTCGCTTATAATGGGTGTAGTTTTGGTTATTTTATACAATGCAATGATGTTTGAAATGAAGATGAATTAATTTGAAATAAATGCTTGTCAGCTGGCATGACTTGTGTTATGTTTTTTAAGCATGGATGCATGGAGACCCCCGGAAAGTGGTCTACCCAACAGACAGCTATGGGCAATTCTGTGGTCAGCAGGAGACTCCTAATGCGTGAGTATGAGGACAAAAGCAAATTACGGTGGCTGAGAGAGCTTAACGTGCTGCAATTTAAGAAAAAATGCGATCACAGAATAAGCCAGCAAATTTATAAAATATCTTCATCCGTTTGACAGCACACATGCTGCAAATCCTCACTGTTTAGGTTATGGTTAATTAGGCTAATAAAATACAAGAGACAAGGGAATTAGGATGTTGAAATAATCAAACCAAAAACTCATCTTTTAAAGATCACCTACAACTTCAATGAGCAATCGTCATGGCACAACGGCATCGATCATGTTTTTAGGTCCACTTGAAACATTTCCATTGTGTTCCGTTATTTTTGTAGGTGTTGTGAGAGTGAAGCGCGTTTCATCAATTTGCTTGCATTGTGTGAAATGCAGCGCATTTGTTATTGTGTATGCAATGTGAGGATTTGCAGCATGTGTGCTGTCAAACGGAGGAAAATCTTTTCTTAATTTGCTGTTGTTTTTTGTAACGCATGCATCCATATTTTTGCATGTGTTTTCTAAAATTGCAGTGGATTAAAAGGATTAAAAGTTAGAGAAATTATATGTTAGGGAAAAATATTAAATAAAATTTTAAAAAGAGCAAAAATCAAGAGAAAATAAAAATATGTACAATTTTGTTTTGTTTTTTGAAATATTTAACTTAAAATGTATTATCCTTCTATTTTTAAATATGTTTGGTGACTAAAATATTATTTTAATAAATATATCTGTATCATAAATCTGTTTTGCTCAAATGCACCAAAATATCACATATATTCACTGAGAAACGGATACAAATATTCATTTTTAAAATGATGTGTACTCATTTATGCTGAGCACTGTACATACAGTTGAAGTCAGAATTATTAGCCCCCTTTGATTTTTTTTTTCTTGTTTTTTAAAATATTTCCCAAATGATATTTAACAGAGCAAGGACATTTTTATAGTATCTCTGATAATATTTTTTAATATTAGTCTTATTTGTTTTATTTAAGCTAGAATTAAATCAGTTCTAATTTTTTTAAAAACATTTTTAGGTCAAAATTATTAGCCCCTTTAAGCTATATATTTTTTTCAAAAGTGTACAGAACAAACCATCATTATACAATAACTTGCCTAACAAGGCTAGTTAACCTAATTAACCTAGTTAAGCCTTTAAATGTCACTTTAAGCTGTATAGAAGTGTCTTGAAAAATATCTAGTCAAATATTATTTATTGTCATCAGGGCAAAGATAAAATAAATCAGTTATTAGAAATGAGTTATTAAAACTATTATGATTAGAAAAGTGTTGAAAAAATGTTCTCTCCGTTAAACAGAAATTGGGGGAAAAATGAACAGGGGGGCTAATAATTCTGACTTCAATTGTATGTGTATTTTTTTTAAGAGACCACTTGGAAATTCTCGTTTTTTTTACTATTTATTACTTGTTTTATTCTATAAAAGTCTGACAGCATTTCCTCAAAATATATAATAAATGTATTTTTGTTTAAAACATTATTGGTGTAAAATTATAAATTAAAGGTGATGTTTTTATGACCAGTTGTGACTTTGGACCAGAAAACATAAAGGTAATTTTTCTTAAAATGTAGATACATACATCACATGAAATCTGCATAAATAAGCTTTTATGCTTTGCTAAGATACAATAATATTCGGTTGAGATACAACTGTTAAAAAATATGAAACTTGTGGGTTAAAAAAAAAATTAAACACTAATAACATTTCCTTTCGTGTTGTCTATACTAATCCAAAATTGAGTTTTGATCTATTTCCAGTAAGGAGATTACAAAATATCTTCATGGAACATCATCACTAAATATTCTAATGATTTTTGGCATAAAATAAAATTTGATAATTTTGACCCTTTCAGTGTATTTTAAACTATTGCCAAACATACCTGTTTTGTGGTCCAGGGCCACAACAGTAATTTTCTGATTAAAATAATTTGCCATCATTAGTTTACAGAATGAAACAATAATCACATTTATACTCAAACCCAAAACTTTAACTAGAGAAACTCAGTGGTCTCTTAATTTTTCCCATATGTGTTTGTATATTTGTTAAATTTGAGGTGAACTGTAAAGCCTTCTGCTTCTCCGCTAATTTTGTTGTTTAAAACATTATTAGTGTAAAATTATAAAATAAAAGTGGCATTTGTTATGACCAGTTGTGGCAGTTGAACCACAAAACCAGACATAAGCATATTTTTTAATATAACATCACCTGAAATCTGAATAAATAAGCTTTTATTGATGTTTACTTTGTATAATGAATGGATAATATTTGATTGAGATGCACCTATTTGAATATCTGGGTTCAAATATTTAAATATATTAATAATATTGCCTTTAAAGTTGTCTATTAGTTAAATGATTATTATTTTTAATATTATTAAATTAATTTTCGAGTGGTCTCTTCATTTTTTTCCATAGCTGTATTTGTAAGTATAATTGTTAGATTTGTATTTTTCAGAGGTGAACTGAAACACCTTCTGCTTCTCCCCTACAGAAATAAAGCCATATTATTTTACTTCAATATTTTACAATGTGCCAATCCTTCAGTCCTCATTAACCTCCAGTGCCCTACAACTCAGGTAATACAGACACTCTCGTGAACCATCTGCCACTGTTTTTTAAGCTGTATTTTGGCTCTGGCTTTGTTTGTATGTGATGTTTCTCTTCCTCTCTTGTTCGGCCACAGCTGTGTGTATCCAAGTGCCCAGACAGATTTGCCACATACATTGACATGCAATACAGCTACAGACGCAATAAGGGCTCCTGGGAATACTACAAGCAATTCTGCAAGCCGGGCTTCAACAACCCTGATAAGGTACCATGTGGAGAACAAGAACTTTGATTAAACTCAAACATGACAGAATGAAAACACGCACACTGGCTTTTATTTGAATATTTTAAGATGCCGGGTTTTCAAAAACCTTTATATATTTGATGAGATAAGATGTCCCGTTTTAGTGTCTGCATTAAATAAAAATGACAAAAGTGGTTTTATATAAAAACATCTGGAATGCAATTAAAAGTTCTGCTTTTATGCTCCTAAATAACTTGTCAGAAATGAGTAATATTCATCGTCTTTCAGAATAATAGCTATATTTAGGACAAAATTAAACAATATATTAATTCTGACATGCTTATTGAATATATTTAAGAGAATGAAGGATCATACTAAAATTGTATTACAGTTTATTAATATTTAGTATTATTAAGTTGAGTTTATTTATAAACTCATTTTGAGAGGATCACTTGCTTATGATTGACCACAGTTGGTCCCACATTGGATAACACATGATTCACCAATCAGATGATTCCTAAGTCACTATAAATTTATATAAAGTTTCTTACCTCAGTCATTTTCGTCTTGAAGAATCCCACCTTCCACCACTACTCCTCCTTTTTTCTTAGACAGGGTGGCACGGCGGCTCAGTGATTAGCACTATTGCCTCACAGCAAGGACGTCACTGGTTCTAGTTCTTAGTAGGCCATTCAACGTTTCTGCACAGTGTTTATATGTTCTCCCCGTGCTCGCATGGGTTTCGACCGGGTTTCCTACAGCAGTACAAAGACATGCGACATAATTGACTAAACCCAATTGGCACTGTAGATGAGATCCTGGTCAGGCTCCTACCTATGCCTTACATTCAGCAGTTTATCTCTCCATATCGGTCCTAACAGTCTGGCTTTATTTATGATAAACCAGGGGAGTTCTCGAGAACTACCTGAGCTTCCCTCTTGCCCTTCAAACGGGAGGGAGCCCTGGGCTTGAGGATCTTCTGAGCTCAGGGCTCTCTCCCAGGATAGCATGCCAAACATGCTTTATAATCAATTATCAGCTAAGTGTAAACTTTTAAATTGTATTACATAAAAATGTATTACAAATATGCAAATATGTAAAACCTAGTGTCTTGAAGGTTTTAAAATGGATCTTTAAAAGATTTGTTTTAATATGTCATGTATGATACTCATTATTTGCAGAAAAAATATATTATGATTAAATAGTATAGTAGATTTTATAAATCTATAGTATAAATATAATACATATATTATTATATAATAATAAATCTAATGATCTGCATATGTAAAATACGTGGAAAAATATTATCTATATATAATTTATGTAAAATACATTTTTCATTTCATTTTCCTTCGGCTTAGTCCCTGATATATCAGGGGTCGCCACAGCGGAGTGAACCGCCAACTTATCCAGCATATGTTTTACACAGCAGATGCCCTTCCAGCTGCAACTTAGTACTGGGAAACATCCATACACACTCATACACCAGGGAAATTTAGTTTATTTATTTAACCTATAGTGCATGTGTTTGGACTGTGGGGGAAACCGGAGCACCCGAAAAACTCACGCCAATACGGGGTAGAAAAATTAAAACTGTTACACTTTTATTGTTTTGATTCTTTGAAATAGCTTTTTAATCTTTTTCTTTAATATGTATTTCACATTATTCTTCTCTAAAATAATTTATTGTCTAGAAATTGCTCTTTGTAGAATAAAGCTGGCATACCAATCACAGTAACGTCAATTTTGTAAAATAATCTTTCTTTTTTGATGCTTCTTTTCACTTCTTTGAGCCGATTCATAAGTCATTGTAAAAGATTTAATAAGAATTTGATCTGCATCAAACTGACTTGACTTGTTAAGTAGGAATGACTATTAATAATTGATTGACTAATCCTTATCTCATAACACAAACTGAATAATTAAAGCATATTAATTACTTTAAAATGAGAAGTTTGAATTCAAAATGGTGGACGATTAATTTTATTCCTGTTACAGTTGAATAAATTAGCACTTGTGATGACGTTGGTTGAGCTTAGCAAGCGAATACGTCACACACAGAGTTTATGCTTCAGCAGGCGCCTACATTTCATCTCATGTCAGTGCGTAAATGTACCAACGCAAACCGTCAATGATCTGATTCTGCTGAGTCACTGGATTTTCACACATTTTCACACATGGTGACTGTGTTTGAGCCAGGTCTGACATACTGGAGAGATTCTGTAGAGATCTGCATAAGCTTTATTTTTGTGAAACGTCTTATTTTATTTTAATCTTATATTTTTTCCCCCTCTCTCCCATCTGGCAGCCGATTTCTCAGGTACTCCGGGATGAAGATTGTCCCTCAATGATTGTGCCAAGCAGACCATGTGAGTTTTTACTAATAGGAATACATAGTCTGAACCATGTTTTATTTTTATGACATTTTTTATTATAATTCATTATTAATTTTAGTCCACAAAATTAGTCTAATTATGTGCAAATATTTTTACATTTTTATTTTAGGGTTTATATATATATATATATATATATATATATATAAATATATATAACCGAGTGCCTTAGTGTTCCACCAGTGTCGATATACAGCCATATCGCACTGCTACGAGTGTGATATTGAATTTATACAACAGTTCAATGGCATAATTGTGTATATAAAAAGAAAATTAAACATGGAGAATCTAAAAACTCTTTTGTATGAGGAGCTACTTTCTTCTGCCATTCCTTTCCATCTGCAGCTGACGTCAGAACAGCAGAAACTGTTGCTACTTCACAAACATCACTTTAGAGCTAGTATTTGAATGATTCTCTTGCATAATGTCTGAAGTGATGACAAAACAGGTGATTTTGCTCGCATTTTAAGATTATAAGGCTGAACGACATGAAATGCCATCAGTCTACAGAGATTTCCCAGTATTTCTGTTGCAATCAGGATATCATTTTACAATAATTAACCCCGGAAAAGCCAGAGCAAAGCAAACACTATGAGATTACAATGGTATAAATACAGCTCTACAACATACAAAAGAAAGAGATCAACTTTAAATGTCACTTTCCTGTTTTATAATGATTTGATCAGCTGTAGTTTGAAACCTATCCTGAAACAAATGCTGTTTCTCTCCCCTAAGGACTTATTATGCGGTCTCTCTCACCATCTTGTGGCAGGATGTCAATCATCTTAGTTCATAGGCACAAAACATACAATCAAAATTAGAGAGGGAATATAACTAAAATCTCAGAGATATCACTGGATTGTTCTTGAGATATAGATATAGATCTATATAGATATAGATTTCTTAATTATAAATAATTTAAGAAATTGACCCCACAAACATTTTCTTATGGAGCTAGTCCTTAAACATCTGAGTCTCTCCATCTGAATAACACAGAGTTCGATTCCCAAGTGTTTTCCTAGATCAGCTTTAAATCTTAATAGTGAATACTGTAACACAACTTTCAAATAAACAAACAATTATGTACAAATACTTAAACAAATATTTCATGAGTGAACTAGTTCTAAAACGATAACAATTTTAAAAGCATATTTAATTTTCATATTAAAAAAAATTGTTCACCCATAAATAAAAACCATCACCCTTTACTCCTTTAGTTCCAAACTTGTTTATTTTTTTTCTGCTTAACATAAAATACGATATTTAGAAGAATGCTGGAAACTGCAGATTTCAATGCCTACAGGCTTGCAACATTCTTCAAAGTATAATCTTTAGTCTTAAACAGAAGAAGAAAAAATATCAAAAATGTTTGTTGTCATTTGAGAATGAGTAAATAACAACAGATTTTAAATATCTGTGTGAACCATCCTCTTAATCTAAATGAAAATAAATATAAACGTGAATCAAGAGGTCAGGTGTTTGATTTGAGCCCGCTGGATCTCTTTGAAGCCGTCATATCTGCTACCATGTGAACACGGTGACTAATATAAGCGATTAGAAAAAGCGAAAACATCTCTGCCAAGGCTGAGAAGGTCACTGTGTCCTCTCCGTATCAGCACTGAGATAAAAAAAAAACACTTGAATATATCTGCAGCTTATCACCTCTCAGGAATACAGGCCTTGCAGACGGTGGAAAAACTCGAATCAGACACAAAGCACGTTCTCAACGACTTCTAAATGTTTTAAAAAAAAAATACTAATTTTGCTTCATTCTTTGCCCATCTATCAGTTCTCCAGAGGTGCTTTCCTGATTTCATCACCAGAAATGGGACGTTAACTGTTGCCAACCAAACAAGCTTCAAAGATGGACATGGTAAAATCAGAAGCGTCGTCGACCTAAGAGATGCAGCCAAGTAAGTTTAGCTTATTAGCAGTCATTAGCAGTTAGCACCTGCAGTATATAAAGCTACAGCCTGTTTAAAGGAGACATAAAAGATTTTTACCTAAAAAAACATCAACATTTAGAAGCAGCAGGCTATTTTCTGACCACCCTCATCAAAACATACTGTTTGAATTGGTGTGGAATACTAAAACTGTTTGTCTGACAGGCTACATAGATTTAGATCTTTCATACAGGGACACTGCTGTTTTTGCACAGTAAAAAGCAATTAGTTGACTTTATTCAAAGGGGTAGTTCACCCAAAATGAAAGTTCTGTCATCGTTTACTCACCGTGTTTGAGTTTGAAACAAGTAAAGAAGATATTTTGAACAATGCTGGTTGCTGGCACCCATTTACTTCCATAGTAATTTTTCCCACTATGGAAGTTTATTCCAGCAACCAGCATTCTTCAAAATATCTTAATTTGTGTTCAAGAGAAAAAAAGAGATTCATAAAGGGTTAAAACTACACGAGGGAGAATTAATGTTGTATGATGTGATTTTCATTTTTGGGTGACCAATACCTTTAAATGAAGTGAGAAAACTTGTTACTTTCTAAGCAATTTGGTTGAGTTGGTTGAGCAAATAAGTAAATAAACTATTTGCATAAGTCAACTTAAACAGTGGTGTCCAAACTCGGTCCTGGAGGGCCAGTGTCCAGCAAGGTTTAGTTCCAACTCCAATCAGACACACCTGGGCTAGCTAATCAAGCTCTTACTAGGCTTTCTAGAGACATCCTTGCAGGTGTGTTGAGGCAAGTTAAAAACTAAAATCTGCAGGACACCGGCCCTTCAGGACCGAGTTTGGACACCTCTCACTTAACAGTTTCAATTTACAATGGTTTTACTCACTTTAAGTGAAACCAACATGTCATTTGTAATGCAGAGTTTACTGACTTTAAGTGAAGTAACTAATAAGTGTTGTGCTTATTACTATTATTATATCATTGCTTTTGGACTCCAAAAAAAAGTTGGCCCAACATTGTTGTACTTTTTGTTGTAAAAATCTAGAGTTAAACATGGCACGTTCACTCAAAAAAGGATGTTTGCTGTTTACTTGAAGAACTACTTGCTTAAAGTGAGCTGAAACAACAAAAGTCTTGAGTTGTTTTGGGACAACTTAATTGTTTTAATTTAATCCAATTAAATGTGTAAAAACTTATAAGTTAACTTAATTCCTTCATGTTGTCCCAACACAAATAGATAGTGTGAGGCCCTGCATTTTTGTAGTGTTCTGCAACCTGTAGTTTTCACAGATTTGCCTAAATAGAAGCTGTTTTTTTTTACTAACGACAAAGTACAATAACTTCTTATATTTCAAAAGATCAAGAGAGTTAAGATTTTTAGATTTCATGACCCCTTTTCATAATGTTGGACTGATGCCACATTGTTTGTCTGGCTACAGAATGATCATATTTTGTGAGTAGAGAGGCAAGCCAAACAGCCATGAGATGGTTTAAGTCAGGGGTGGGCAAACTCGATCCTGGAGTGCCAGTGTCCTACACAGTTTAGCTCCAACTCTAATCAAACACACCTGCTTAAAGATTTCTAATGATTTTGAAGACACTGATTGACATGTTCAGGTGTTGGAGCTAAACTATACAGGACACCAGCCCTCCAGGAGCGAGTTTGCCCACCCCGGGTTTAAGTTCAGCACCCAGTACTCTAGTCTTCAGAAATCAATCTAATACACTGTTTTGGTAACATTTCTCATTATTATCAGTGTTGGAAATAATTCCCTAATAGGGCTTTTAAACAATCATCTGTATATATTTTTAAGGATTCTTTGAAATATCCAAGCTTTCAAATTGAACTGAACATTGACTCTTAATAATATCCACATTTGAATGGGTAGATACAGCAGGTAAACACTTGTTTATAAATATCCTGTCTTTTCATTTAGGCAGGAGAGGACAGTTTTATCTGGGTATGACATTTGGCCTTATAAAAGTCAGAGAGAGTCTGCCTTTTTAAGCCATGCAACTAAGTTGAGCTGTGCATGTTTGCATGAGTTTGCTGCTGCTTTAATAGCACTGTGAATGCATGGAGTTAAAGGTCTTTTTTGGCAGGCAGGTTACTTATAACTAATATCTATACGATATGTTCTTAGACATGTTCTTAAAACTTTAATCATTGCATTGAACCATAGCTGGTTTTAAATGCAAGATAATGTAATGAATAAACCCTAATAATATGCCACTTTTAATTCTGTATCACTCACAGAAAATGCATTATTCAACATTTGCTTTACCTGTTTCTAGAAAGCCAAGGTTTTTGCTTCATGTGTGTTTTTTGTAACATGCACAATGCTTCTGTTTTTGTAGCAAAGTTACGGCCATGCAGCAAGGAACAGAAAGGTCTTCATTTATTGTCAGCTTTGAAACTCGACCTTGTTCTTCGCTTATCTTCAGACTAACTTCATACAACACACATTGTGCACCTGCAGCCTCAAAGAATCTGTAGAACAAAAAAAAGAGAGCGAAAACAACTCTGCATGTTTTCATTTGCTTGTCAAACCTGAGGTCACTGACACATTCACACTGCCTTTCAGATGTCTCTTTTCTGAAGGTGCTTTTTAAAGGAATACTCCACCTTTTTTGAAAAAGGCTAATTTTTGTCTCATGGAGTTAAACAGTTGACTTGAATCAGTTTTGAATCCATTCAGCCAATTTATTTTTTTAAAAGGTGGAGTGTTCCTTTCAGAATATAAAGGTAAATGTATGGGAGAGAGCTTGATGTGCAAAGGGGACCAGATTGACTATTGGAAAGTTGAAACCGTTTGAAATGTTTATTTAACATGAGCTTCTTTGCTTTGGAGAAGCACACATGTTGTCAGCAAAACTCAACAAGAGAACACAAGTTTGTCTATCCAGAGTTTGACGGAAATGTTAAATTAAACCTAACTGTAATTTTCAGCATCATGAAAGATGTTTAGGAACTGAGAAAAATGACAAACTGTTAACTTCTTTAATTTTTATTAAATCAAGTTTATTTATCCTTGGTTACATCCAAACAGGTGCTAATTGATCTGTTATGTGAACTTAGAAATTGTTCATATGATTCTTTGAGCCATGTGCAGATGTGTTTTTTTTGTTTTTTAGTATCAATGTACTGTAGATAAACAAAATGAAGCTAACAATAAACAATAGTTCAACTGAACTACTTACAGCCTGCTTTGTAAGTGTTGCTTGTAGCTTGATAAGCTAGTTTAATAGCTCTCTATACCTTGCATAAATCAATGAGCTTCACATAACTGTAGGAAATTTTCTTGTAACAAGCTTACGTGCTATAAAATACTTCAAAAACACTACTGTTCAAAGAGGTGGTGTCATAGAATACCAAAAATGTACTCTCTGTGGCACAGTAACAACCAAAATAAAATAAAATTTAAAAAAAAAGTGTAAAATATTGCTGTAACCTAAATAACCCTTTTCTGTTTTGATGTATTGTAACATTAAATTTTTATTCCTGTGATGGCACAATGTCACGTGATGAATGAATTTTGTTAAAAATGCAATATTTTTTTTAAGATTCTGTGTGAATACATACAGTAGCATTTATTTAGAGAAATCATACAACATTACACTTTTAATCAGTGTTGAGGATAACACATTACAAGTAACGCAAGTTACGTAGTAATAATACTTTTCTAAGTAACGAGTAATGCATTTAAGAAATTGCACTTAAAAAATAAGCAATAGTATTTGAGTTACTCTTTTGAAAATGTAACATGAGTTACCTATTATTTGAATTAATTTGCTTTTAAAAACTGCTGAATTAAAATTGAGAAAATGTGTTCGTTATTTTGAACACTTCGAGGGAAAGAAAAGGGGGTTATAATCTCAATGGACAGTGGTTTTACTTAATAGTACAAATAATACAAAAGTAGCAAACACATTGCTTTGAACTTTCAATAATCTGTGTATACGAGTCAGGAAGTTCTCAGATAACATTATCCTAAAATATTATTTTTTATGTGTTTTATTTTAAAGATAAATGAAAGTGTAGGTTATGCAGTGCGTTGTTAAAGAAAGAAATAAAAAAAAGTTCTGAAAGAGATCAAGTCTCAGCCAGGTAATAAAAAGTAACGCAAAAGTAATGTAACGCATTACCTACCATAAAAGGTAACTAAGTAACACAAGTAGTTAATTTTTTGGGGAGTAACTTAATATTGTAATGCATTACTTTCAAAAGTAACTTTACCCAACACTGCTTTTAATTTCTTTTTGCTGTCACTTTTAAACAATTAAGTGCATTATTGCAAAATTAAACTATGCATTTCCTCTCACTAAACTAGACGCTAAACCTTTAAACAATAGTGTTTGTTCTAGCACTTTTCTCACTATACACTTGCATAAACGGAACATATAATCTTATATGTTATAATCTTCAAAATGTATGTGTTTAAATCTAAATAAAATGGAGTCTGTGGGATGGAAATAAAGCCTGGAGTTTTTTAATATCTAAAACATTTCTAGTGGACTAAAATGTATGTAAAATATTGAACCAGTATGGCACATTGCACAGACTGTACTTCTGTCCCACATAGCATCGTTTTCAGCTGCATCTGTTAAACCCTTCAATAAACCCTTGTCCTCTACCGATACATGAAAAGATTTCATGAATGGAGGATACAGGAACAGAGTTGATGTTTTATTTACACTGGTAACACATGTGTGTGCAACATCTAGTAACACCTGTGTGAAACATCCACCTGAGCACTGTAGATTTAAATGACTAACTTTAGTATATCTTTGCTTCTTGTTTTATAAAATATGTACTGTATATGGCATGTTTATGAGAAAGAACGACATGAACCATCTCATAAACTGCTCATTACAGTCTGTGTTTTTATTATTTTTGATGGTAATATTCTTTTACAGTGGCATCACCAGCTTGTTGGATGCGAAGGAAGTGGGCACCAAGATCTTTGAGGATTACGCCAGCTCGTGGTTTTGGATTCTAATGTACGTATATCATTATTGAGCTTTAAGAAATGCTGTAGGTTGATTTGCTGTTGCTGAGTTGTGCTTTTCTGGGTGTTTCCAGCGGTCTGGTGATCAGTATGCTGGTCAGCCTGGTCTTTATTCTGCTGCTGAGGTTTACCGCTGGCGTTCTCTTCTGGTTGGTTATCTTTGGAGTCATCGCGGCTGTGGGATATGGTTGGTAATGACTAGAGAAATGTACCAAACATCAAACCAAACTTTTTAACGTATTAGACATTAATTTTTATCAATTGTGATTTATCAAAAGGGATAGTTTGCCCAAAAGTTCAGTTCAAGTCATCTTTATTTCTATAGCGCTTTTACAATGTAGATTGTGTCAAAGCAGCTTAACATAGAAGTTCTAGTAAATTTAAACTGTGTCAGTCCCGTTTTCAGAGTTTAGGTTTAGTTTAGTTTAGTTCAGTTCAGTTAAGAGCAAATCCACTGACACACAGCTCCACAAGTCCCAAACCAAGTAAGCCAGTGGCGACAGTGACGAGGAACAAGCTTCACCAATTGACGAAAGTGAAGGTAAAAACCTCAAGAGAAACCAGGCTCAGTTGGGCAAGACCATTTCTGCTTTGGCCAAACGTCTTATGTAGAGCTGCGGTTTAGGCAGCAGAACGGCTGGAGAACGGCTGGACGTCCATTGTAGAGAAGCTGCAGATATGTGTTGTTCACAGCCCACAGGATCAATACAGAGACTCGTCTGTCATTGGGGTCTTTCAGGAATCAGTCTCATGCTCTCCATTCCTCTATGACTGCCACAGCATCATTTCAGGATACGACCTGGTCCAGGATTATGGGGACCTCCAGAAATCCTCTATGGTTTGCATTATCTCTTCACAGGTCTTGGATCATGAAAAATGAAAGCTTGCTCACTATTTATATTCAACTTCAAGTGGTTCCAAACATATTTGAGATTCTCTCTTATGTTGAGCACAAAAGAAGACATTTTAAATAATGTTGGAGACTGGTAAGCTGCTATTGACTTCCATACTTTTGTTTATCCCCACTGTGGACAGGGTTGCCAAGTCCAAAAAATTGGTTCAGCCCAATAACAGCTCAAAACTTGCTCAAATAGAATGGAGAATAAGCCAGTTTTTCTCTTTACCAAATCTTTTTTTTCTGTTCTCTTTTGACAAACACACAACTATCATTATGAAATAACCCAGGAAAGGCAATATTAATTAACCATTATTGCTGGGGTTATTATTCTAACTTGTTTAATTAACTTAACATTTCGTTCATTTTATTCTCTTGTAATGTATAAAACGTGTAAGAAAAACAAAGTTTTGAACATTTTAATTTTGAAAGAACAACTGAACAGAGTTAGTCTAAATAGATTTTTTTCCCCTCTTCTCTTTTGATAAACACACAAGTGTCAATATGAAATCAGCCAAGAAAGGCAGCATTAATTAAACATATAATGATATTACTGAGATTATTATTCTAACTTGTTTGATTAACTTAAAATATATATTTTTAGCTTTTTTCCCTCTTGTAATAATGATTTGCAAAGTGAATAAGAAATACAGAATTTTGAACACATTTTAATTTTGTAAGAATAACTGAACAGAGTTTTTGGAGTCTAAATAGATTTTTTCGTCTCTTTTGACAAACACACAGGTATCAATATGAAATTAACCAAGATAGGCAACATTCATTAATCATATAATGCTATTGCTCAGGTTATTATTCTAACTTGTTTGATTAACTTAACATTTTTTTTCTTTTGTAATGATGTACAAAACATGTAAGAAATACAGAATTTTGAACAGATTTAATTTTGAAATAGAACCACTGAATAGAGCTATAAACAGTCTTGGCAGTCTAGTTCTTTCAAAAATGTGTGTTCTCTTCCCACGCTTCCTCGGGTGGTGCTGAATAGATTTCAGCAGTAAAGAAAGAGAACATCCACAGTGATGGTTTGAATGGCAGCAGATTTTTCTTTTTCGTCAACAAAGACTTATTTGTAGCCTGTTTTGTAGCTTATAAATGACACTTTCCATAATTTGCTCTATGCACTTGTCATTCCACAATGTTGCCTGTTTGTCTGCAGGCCAAACAACACTTCTGGTGGCCTACCTTTCTCAGATGTTCCATTGATTTAATATGTGAAGCGTCGTCAGACAGTTTTATTCACACTCACTCATGCTGGGATCAATGTACATTTAAGAAATGATTCAGTAAAAAAAAAAAGTTATTCACAAGAAATGAACCTTTTGCCAACCATGGCATGTTATAATATAATATAATCCCAAAAAAACAACAACTCGCAACTTTTTTTTTTTTTTTTTTTTGCAGTTGTATAGGAAAACTGCAATCCTGGCAATTTACTGTGGATCTCAAAGGTTTCCACTTCTCTTTTTAATAAAATGTGACCGATCTAAAAGAATTAGAATTTATCCATTCTGATTGACTTTTTGTTTGCATTTTTGTGTGTCTTGTTTTATTGTAAAAATGCAAAGTATGCAACTGATGCATACATGACAGCTACAGCAGTATTTTGTCCTTATTCTCACATATATCCAATCTCCTTTTTTAAATTGGGAATTGATTGTTACTTTGTGAACATTTTTACACTCTGTTCAGCTTCTCCTTCTTGATGGTCTCTTTCAGGAATATGGCATTGTTACTGGGAGTACAGTTCACTTAAGGGAAAACCGGATTCAGATGTCACCATCTCAGACATTGGATTCCAGACTGACTTCCGGGTTTACCTGCAGTTGAGCCAAACCTGGCTTATATTCAGTAAGATGTGTTCAGTTATTCTAGGATATGAGAGTTTGTAGTTAAGTGAAACTGTAGAGGTTATAATGTAGCATTCAGAAACACTTTATATTAGCAACACAAGTTCATTAAGTGAATTGCAACCAGCAATGTATTGCTCGTGCTCACTTTTGCACAAGTAATATACAATTTTAATATACAATATAAATTTAAAAGAATTAAAACAAAGTAATAATAATATTACCATTTACACTGTTGAAAATCAGTCTACGTGTGTTTAAAGACAAACTAGTAAGTCTTTTTTGTAGTTTGTTACAAGTTGTTGAATTGATCTTTATTTGTATAGGACTTTTCACAATAGTTTTTAATTCAAAGAATTAGCGTAGCTGCTGTTCATAACATTTTAAACAAGAGATATTAATGTTAGTGTGAAAGAATGCATTTGATGAGTTGTATTTAGCTGTATCATGCAATTATGTGATGCATTTTGTATATGCTTTATTGAAAAGATAAGCAGTTTTAAATGTAAAGAGTGTGCCTGAGGCTCGAACATTATCAGGAAAGCTATTCCAGAGTTTTGGAACCAGAGTTGAAAACACTCATCCTCCTTTAGTAGACTTTGCTATTCTGGATACTACTAGAAGCCCTGAGTTTTGGGATGTTAAAGTTGGTGGGATTATAGAGCCTTGAACGTTATCAGGAATGCTATTCCAGAGATTAGGAACCAGATGTGAAAACGTTCAACCTCCGTTAGTGGACTTTGCTATTCAGGATGCTACTAGAAACCCTGAGTTTTGGGATCTTAAAGAGTCAGTGGGATTGTAGAGCCTTGAACATTATCAGGAATGCCATTCTAGAGTTTAGGAATCAGATACGAAAACACTTGACCTCCTTTAGTGGACTTTGCTAATCTGGATACTACTAGAAGCCCTAAGTTTGGGTATGTTGAAGAGTTGATGGGAATGTAGAGGCTTGAACGTTATCAAAAATGCTATTTTAGAGTTTAGGAACCAGATATGAAAATGTTCAATCTCCTTTAGTGGACTTTGCTATTCTGGATACTACTAGAATCCCTGAGTTTTGGGATCTTAAAAAGTCGGTGGGATTATAGAGCCTTGAATGTTACAAAAAATGCTATTTTAGAGTTTAAGAACCAGATATAAAAATGTTCAAACTCCTTTAGTGGACTTTGCTATTTAGAGTACTACCAGAAACCCTGAGTTTTGGGATTGTAAAGAGTCGATGGGATTGTAGCTAAAAATGAAGGTTGGTGAAATAAACAGGAACTAGACTGCTTAGAGCCTTCTAGGTAAGATCCAATATTTTATAATACATACATACAGAACTTAAGACTGCCAGAGTAAGAAAGATAAAATTGAGATGAGAAATATATATGATTGTATTTTCTTGACCTGGTAAGGACTCTGGCACCTGCATTTTGCTCTAACTGAAGTATATTAATAGAGGATGCCAGGCAGAGCATTACGGTAATCTAGTCTAGAGGTCATGAAACCATGAACCATCCTTTCTGCATCAGCGGTAGATAGCATGTTTTTTAGCTTAGCGATATTAAAACATGATCATTGCATAAAATCCTTACCCTGTAGCGCCTTCAAGTCTAATATTAAATCTCTAACCGAGCAACACTCAGAGTCAAATTGATGAAGGTTATAGAGAGTTCAGTTTAACAGAGGTGATTGACAGCTGGATGTTTTTCCACAGTGACCTCCTTGGCTGTCATTGAAGCCATCATCATCTTAGTGCTGATATTCCTAAGGAACAGAGTTCGCATTGCCATTGCTCTTCTGAAAGAGGGCAGCAAGTACGTTTCTATCTTTCTTTCTCTCTTTATCTTACTTTGGTTAATGGTGTTTTGTAAGAACAGAACAGATGAGCCTGAAACAAAGATGTCAGATGTTATTTAAACTGTTCTCTCTGTTTGCTACAGGGCGATTGGCTGCATCATGTCAACACTCTTCTATCCCATCATCACCTTCCTGCTGCTGGCTCTCTGTATTGCATACTGGGCTGTTACAGCTGTGTATCCAAATCTATATGATTATTTGTTGCCCATTAGAAATATCTTGAAATTTAAATATATTGTATTTTATTTTTATTTATAGCAGCATTTTATAATATGGTCATATTGTTTAACATCACTTAATGTATTATCTAGCAAAGTATGTCTTAACTTTTGTTAATGTTAGTTGATAAAAGTAAAGCTATTAGTTGTTAGTTCATGTAGAATTGTGAGATTTAAAAAAAATGTGGAAAAGGGTTAATGCAGATTTTTATATATTATTTTGGCAAAGACTGCCTGTTCTGTCTGATATAGTTATTTTAGCAGCTCTGTTTGATGACAAAAATGACACTTCAGTTTACACTTTAGTCTCCTTAACCTCAACTTGTTTTAGTTTCCTGGCATCGTCTGGTGAGGCCGTATACAAAGTAATGTCAACACTACCCGACTGCAAATACACAAACCTCACCTGTGACCCAGAGGTAATCTCTCATCTTGCAATAAACTGATTATCTGATATACAAGATCCATTTATTAAGTCCATTTATATTGCTAAAGATTTTACTGTGCATCCGGAATGTATTCATAGCGCTTCACCTTTTCCACATTTATTTATGTTACAGCTTTATTCCTAAAGGGATGAAATTAATTTATTTCCTTAAAATTCTACACACAATTCCCCATAATGACAATTTGAAAAAAAAAAATTGAAATTGTTGCAAATTTATTAAAAATGAAAAACCTAAAAAAAGGTTTTCACTAAGTGTTCACAGCCTTTGCTCAATACTTTCCTGATCCACTTTTGTTAGCAATTACAGCCTCAAGTCTTTTTGAATATGATGCCACAAGCTTGGCACACCTGTCTTTGGGAAAAGAAAATGAATGAATGAATGAACCCCAATGAAGCTGCTGAAACATCTAAAAAATGATCAGTGGAAACAGAACATACCTGCGCTCAATTTAGAGCTTCATGAAAAAGACTGTGAATACTGATGTACATGTGATTTTTATTTTTTTTATTTTTAATAAAGCAATTTTAAAAAGATCTTTTTTCACATTGTCATTACAGGGTATTGTGTGTAGAATTATGAGGAACTAAATGAATTTAATCCAATTCGGAACATAAAAAAATGTGGAAAAAGTAAAGCGCTGTGAACACTTTCTAGATGCACTGTATATGCATTATATTGATAATTCTTTATGTCTCTTTGTATTTGTGTTTCAGACCTTCAGCCAATCAAATGTGACTAAACTGTGTCCGGGCTCTCAATGCACATTTGCTTTCTATGGTGGGGAGAGTCTGTACCACCGCTACATCTTTGTGCTCCAGCTCTGCAATTTGCTGGTCTTCCTGTGGCTGGTGAATTTCACCATCGCTCTTGGCCAGTGCACCCTTGCTGGGGCTTTTGCCGCATATTACTGGGCCTTGAGGAAGCCGGCAGACATCCCACCATGCCCTTTGGCTTCATCATTTGGCAGGGCTTTAAGGTTTGTGGCCGTCTGAGCTCTTAGAAGCTTTTTGGATGATAGTTTATGTCTGTGAATGCAGGACTAAACTTAAACGTTCACTGTAATTGCATTTCAATTGTTTAGTTGTGTTTTTTTGTGTGTTTTTTATCTTTTGTTGTTTGTTTTGTTTTTTTTTTGTTTGTTGTGTGTTGAGTTTTGTTTTATCTTTTGTTGGTTGTTTTGTTTTTCTGTTTGTTGTGTGTTGAGTTTTGTTTTATCTTTTGTTGGTTGTTTTGTTGTGTGTTGAGTTTTGTTGGTTGTTTTGTTTTTTGTTTTGTTGTGTTTTCAGTTTTGTTTTATTTCTTGTTTTGTTGTGCGTTGTGTTTTGTTATCTTTTGTTGTGTGTTTTGTTTTTTGTTGTGTTGTTTTGTTGCATTTTGTGGTTTGTTATGTTTTATTGTGGCTTTTGTTTTTGTTTTTGTTGTTGCTTTGTTTTTTGTGTTTTGGTTTTGTGTTATCTTTTGTTGTGTGTTGTTTTTTATGTGTTGTGTTATCTTTTGTTGTCTGTTTTGTTTTTTGATGCGTTGAAATCTTTTGTTGGTTGTGTTCTGGGTTGTTGTTGTGTGTTGTGTTATCTTTTGTTGTGTCTTGTTTTGTTTAATTTTATATGTGTTTTATTTTATTTTTGTTGTGTCTTTTGTGTTGTTTTGTGTTTTGTTTTTTGTGTTGTTTTTGTTATATTTTATCTTTTTTGTCTTTTGTGTTTTTTGTTTTTTGAGTTTTTTGTTTTGTGTTATCTTTTGTTGTGTGTTTTGTTGTGTTTTGTTTTATCTTTTGTTGTGTGTTTTGTTGTGTTTTGTTTTATCTTTTGTTGTGTGTTTTGTTGTGTTTTGTTTTATCTTTTGTTGCATGTTTTGTGTTTTGTTTTATCTTGTTGTGTTTGGTGTTGTGTTTTGTTTTGTGTGTTTTTTGTTTTATGTTTTATCTTTTGTTGTGTGTTTTGTGTTTTGCTTTTTTTTTTTTTATGTTTTATCTTTTGTTGTGTGTTTTGTTGTGTTTTGCTTTTTTTGTTTTTTGTTTTATATTTTATCTTTTGTTGTGTGTTGTGTGTTTTGTTTTATCTTTTGTTGTGTTTTGTTGTGTTGTTTTGGTTTTGTTTTGTTTTGTTGTGTTGTTTTATGTTTTGGTTTTGGTTTTTTGTTATCTTTTGTTGTGTGTTTTGTTTTGTTATCTTTTGTTGTGTGTTTTGTTGTTTTGTTTTTGTGTTGTTTTTTGTTTTGTGTGTTATCTTTTGATTTGTGTTTTGTTTTGTCTTTTGTTGGATGTTTTGTGTTTTATTTTTTTTTTGGTTGTTTTGTTTTGTGTTTTGTTTAATTTTGTTATGTTTATGGTTTTGTTTTGTTTATATAGTAAATTTAAAAACAACAAATTTTGTAATGTTATTCCAGGTATCACACAGGCTCTCTGGCATTTGGAGCTTTGATTCTGTCCATTGTCCAGTTCATCCGGATTATTCTGGAGTATCTCGACCACAAACTGAAAGGTATAAGATCGCGTTCGATTTTTCAGAAGTTTGACTGATTTGCTTCATTACTCAGAGATACATCAACGGATAATAATGAACACTGCTCTTTGTTTCAGGTGCTCACAACGCATTCACACGCTTCCTGCTGTGCTGTCTCAAATGCTGTTTCTGGTGCCTCGAGCACTTCATCAAGTTCATGAACAGGAATGCTTACATTATGGTCAGTCAGTTCCCGTCTTCAGGCATTTCATTACTTTATTCTAAATATACCACTGCATAAATGAAAGATGTTTCACTGTGGATGTTTTTTATTTGTTTATTTTTTAAGCAGGAAAAGATTAAAAGGTAATCGGCCTGATAAATAAATGCTGTTTTTCAGCAGGTTCCTGCTCTGCAGAACATAAAAAACAGACAGTAACCTTTAACATACCATCCATCTACACAAGAGAACAGTACAAACAATCACCAAAATATATAATAACATTTAAAATACATACAAAATGAAGAGAAACAGGCTACTATCTTAGTAGCTACAGCAAGTTTAAAGGGATGGTTAACCTAAATATGAATTTTTTCCCCATTTTTACTCGCCCTCCAATGGTACCAAACCTTAATGATGTTCTTTCTTCTGTTAAACAAAAGAACAATATATTTTAAGGGATGTAAATAACCATTGACTTCCATAGTATGGAAAAAAGTCAGTGGCTACTGGCTAGCAATATTCTTAAAAACTGAAAAACACTTGTTTGTGCATATACTGACAGAAATATTGACATTCCTCTTTTCCTATTCATGTTTTCAGATTTCAATATATGGGAAGAATTTCTGTACTTCAGCGAGAGATGCTTTCTTCCTGTTAATGAGGAATGTCATGAGGTAAGAGTCACAGCTGAGGTGTTTCTAATGGCATTGTCAAAGCATGAAACTGCAAGGACTTTCATTCATGCACACCTGGGCAAGAATTTTTTTCTGCTTATTGCGACTTTTCAAGATGTTGCATTTTACCTTCAATGCCGTGTAAATCACTTGTGGAAAAAAGCATCTTCCAAACGCGTAAATGTAAATCTTTTTTGTCCTTGCTAAAGTATTTGTATACAAGGTTTTGTTCCTAATGTCAGTTTGTGTCAGTGCTTGTTACAGTCACAATTTCAACCGTTTTTGAGATGCGGTACATATACAGTGCTCAGCATAATTGAGTACACCCCATTATGTTTGTGTATATGTATATGTGTGTTGCCCCATTATTGATTTATTTATTTTTTTCGTATTTGTCACACTTTAATGTTTCAAATCATCAAACAAATTTAAATTTTAGTCACAGATAACACAAGTAAACACATCATACAGTTTCAAAGGTTTTATTATTATGGGAAAAACAAAATACTATTAAGTTTTATTATTAATATAACTAAGTTTTCCCTTAATAATATAAACCTTTATTTTAAAACTGCATGATGTGTTCACTTGTGTTATCTTTGACTAATATTTCAGATAATCAAACCAATTTAAATAGTAAAGCGTGACAAACATGCAAAACAAAATAAGGAATCAGTAAGAGGCAAACACTTTCACACCACTGTGTGTGTGTGTTAGTAAGTGAGAGACAGAGACAGTCTAATTTGTGTGCAGTCACAGCTCTGAAACTAAATATGACAATATACAGCATCTTTTTATGTTTGTTTATTAATTTATTCACCCTTAGAGTTGCTGTTCTGGACAAGGTGACTGATTTCCTGCTGTTTTTGGGCAAACTGTTGATCTCAGGGAGTGTGGGTGAGTAACCGCTTCATTTGTGTCAAAGACTTGATCCAGAGACTGCATAGACCTACATTTGGTTATATACACCAGAGTTACTTGTGTTTTCACACTGTTTGCCATCGCATCTCTGTTTGTTTACTGACTTTGTTTTTCTTCAGGTGTCCTTGCATTCTTTTTCTTCACCCGCCAAATACCAGTAATCCAGGAAGAAGTGCCGTCATTAAATTACTATTGGGTCCCTCTACTGGTGAGTGACAATTTTGCAGCCTGCTTAGGTTAAAAAAAGATTTCAATAGTTGTTAATTAATGTGTAAAAAAATACAAATTATTATTATTATTATGAGTATTATTATTATTAAATTAACATACATATTACATACAAATATATAATAACAATAATAATATATGCATATTATATATATGCACACACACACACACACACACACACACACACACACACACACACACACACACACACACAGAGACAGTTAATTACAAAATTCCTTATTCTTTTTTAAGGAATTTTCACAGAACTTCCTATAATCAGGGATTGACATAGTGAATTGGGGCCCTAGCAGTGAAACTCAAAACATTCTCTTTCTCTCTCTATATATATATATACTTTTTCTCTGTAGATTCTTTTTTTTTTTTTGGAAAATAAACGGAATGTTACAAATAATTTTAAAATATGTTAAAATATATTTTAAGTGTAACCTTTATCTTCTTAATGTATAATTAAATCCAATAACTTCACAAATAAAAATCAAGTTCACAAATTATGTACAGTTAATAAGATATATTTATAATTAGATTTTAATATTTGCATGTGCAGTACGGAAGGAGCATTCCACTAGGCTTTACGTGGGGGCCCTCGGTTTTAAAAGAAAAACGTTAAAATCTTAATGGTTATAGACAGATTTTACAACATATGACAGAAAATTTCAGCATATGACAGAAAACAGCTTTATGATTAAAGTAGGCATTTTGGCATTGGTCGGGGCACCATAATTCCCTGGGGCCCCAAGCGGCTGCTTACCTCGCTTATTTGTTAAGTTTCCCCTTGCCTATAATTTTTTGTCGTCTGGAGAAAGTCTTATTTGTTTTAATTCGGATATATTTTTTCAAAAACATATAAAGGTCAATATTAGTAGGCCACTTAAACAATGAATTTTTGTCTATAGTCTACAGAACAAACCATCATTATACAATGACTTGCCTAATTACCATAGTTAAGCGTTTAAATTGCACTTTAAACTCAATACTAGTATCTAGTAAAATATGTGCTGTCATCATGGCAAAAATAAAATAAAGCAGTTATTAAAATTAGTTACTAAACCCATTATGTTTGAAAATGTGTTGAAAGAAATCTTCTCTGTATTAAACATAAATTGCGGTAAAATATTAGTATTGTTTATAATATTAATATATTTAAAGCAAACAACATATAAATAAAATAATAACTGCTTTTTATATATTTTAATATTAATATTTATGTTTGTTTGCATGTACACAAAGTAATATTTATTTCAAGTCATGATGGAAATGCATTGATCAGAAACTCTGATTCCTTCACAGACTGTGATATTTGGATCATATATGATTGCGCATGGATTCTTTAACGTCTATGCCATGTGTGTCGATACACTGTTCCTCTGCTTCTGTGAGTACACCTTCCTAAATCTCCAACAGTCACGAACTGCTTCAATAAATGCTGAACATCGCAGTATTTTCATCTCATCCTTATTAAAAACTTCCTCACTGCTCTTCCTTTCCATTTCCTCTTGCATGACTTTGATCTCAGATTTCCACCTATTATTTTTCTCCTTTCACTTCTCCTCAAACTGTGCGACCGCTCATTAACTGCTTTCTTCCCACTTTTTCCTCTTTTCTTTCCTCCTGTGTTGTGATGTGGCATGACGCTTCAGGTGAAGATCTAGAAAGGAACGATGGCAGTCCTTCTAAACCGTATTACATGCCTCCAGGCCTGCACAGGATACTGAACAAATCTGAGCAAGCAGGCAAAAAGTATGCGGTGTCCTGAAAGTGTCTCGTCACTGGGAGTGTAGTACTGTAGCTCGCTGCATCTCTGCCACTCGGCATTCTGGGATTTGCCATCGGGAGCAGATTTTTTTCTGTTTCCAGAAGCGTCGTCTGCTGATACTGACTCGCTCTTGCTGTACTTTTCCATACTTTTTTCCTTCTGTTTCTTTTTACTGACATTCTGGTTCTGTCCATCCTTGCCTTACCTGTTTGTCTTCTGGAACAAAGTAACTGAATGTAAGGTCTAATAATACTCTGGTAATCAATCATCATAGCAATTTCGAAATTAAGACGCATCAATCTTGATTTATTTTTCAGTGCAGGTTTTTCTCCCCTGCTTTTTTCTCAATATTTTATTTTAGTATTTTTTTGTTTTGTTTATTTAATTATTTATTGTTTTTGTGTTATAATTATATTGTTTTATATTATTAGCATTGTTTATTTTATTTATTATTAATTTTTATTGCAGCTTTTGTCTATTTGTTTTATTTTATTTTATGTTGTTTTACTTTATTTTTGTTTATTTTATTTATTATATATTTTTTGTTATTTTTATTGTATTATTATTTTTATTACTATTATATTTTTATTGCAGATTCTCCCCCTCTTGCTCTTTCCATTTATTAAATTTTATTTTTATTATATTTTTGTTTATTTTATTTATTATGTTTATTGTATTTTTGTTAATTTTATATTATTATTAATATTATTTGTTTTTAATTGCCGATTCCCCCTCTGATTTTCCCCCATTATATTTTACTTTATTTTATTTAATTTTTTATTAGATTTTTGTTTATTAATTCATTATTATATTTATTGTATTTTTGTTATTTTTATATTATAATTTTTATATTATTTTTAGTATTATTAATAATAATAATAAAAAAATTATTGCATATTTCCCCCTGCTTTTTTCTCTGTATTTATTGATTTTTTTTCTATTTTTTTATTCTATTTTTGTTTATTTGATTTATTATTATTTAAAATAATATTTTTATTGCAGATTTTTCCCCAATTTTGTTCTCTTTTATTTTCTTATTTTTCCGTTTTATATAATATTTATATTTATATTTTGTGTCATTTTTACTTTATGTATTTATTATTATTATTATTGTTAGTTATTATTAATATATTAATTTTATTTTTATTTATTTTAAAACCTCCTAGCCCTTGATTCAGTATTTAGGATTTTCTTCTAATATTTACAGCATCATAGAGCTGCAATTTCTGTCATAGGTGCCAATTCAAGTTACTGCCAGTACGTTGTTTCCTGCATACAATCAAATAATCTACTTATAATAAGAAGAAATTAACTAAGTAAGCCCATGTATAGTACATTAAAAATAGATGTTGTTTATTGAGGGTTTTCACTGATGAAATTATCATAGATCCCGCTAATTTTTCTGGCTTTTTGAAACACCTTTTGTACTCCCAGCGATCGATCGCCTATAAACAAGTCATAGTGAAAACTGCCCAAAACACACAAGTCTTATCTGTACAGTGTTTTAAATTTAACGAAAGAAGCAACAGAGAATCACAGAAGCATAAGATGAATATTTGTTCACGATCGGCCAAATGAACACGATCAATGGCCCGTCGATTGGTGCATCTTTATATTTATCTTCATCTTACAGACTCTTTCCTTACAACTCTTCTTCATAAGCTCAAGAAGTAAATGGATGTTCATGTGGATGACCTGAGACACAACGAGTTTCATATTGACTTTGTTATAATTATAATAGATTGTGTGTATATTCTCTTATAACCATGTTTTTGATAGTCTCTGAATTTTCAGGTGTTCTGACGGCAGTATTTAGTAAATGTGCCTAGTTTAAAAGGAAGTCCTGCTCTCCTTTTGGTGTTTTGCAATCAATTTGAAGGTTTTTTCCAAGTTTCAATTTCTAGAGGGAACATAAAAGCCATTTTTTTGTAATTTTTGTAATGTGTACATGGGGTTTGATGCTGTATCTACTGTGCAGAGTTTAGTACAGGTTGTCTTTTAATGGGGGAATGTTTTGTAAAAAAAAAAAAAAAAAACATTTTAAAATGAAATAAATTGTTTTTCCATTAGAATAAAGCTGAAGAAAATATTATGAGTGGTTTGATTTTTATTTTGTTAATGTTTTACTAAAAAGTTATTCAATATAGCCAAGTCAATATTTATTTATGAAGTGTTTTTAAAAACAACAAGTTGTTTACTAAAGCGCTGTACCAAGCATGCACCATTTAAACAAAGAACAATTCTAACTGACATACACTGTAAAACCCCAAAAGTTAACTCAAACCTATTGAGGAAACCGATTGCAACAAACCATTTAAGTTCAAAAACTAATCCTAATGAGTACTGTGAGCTTACTCCGTTTGAGTAAAACCCAATGAATGAAGAGAACTCCAAACCAACTGAGTACTGTAAAACCCAATTAGTTAAGGTAACTCAAACCGTTTGAGGACACCGATTGCTACAAACCATTTCAGTTAAAAAAATGTTATCCTAATTAGTACTGTGAACCTAATTCAAGTTAAAGTAATAAGGTGTTTAATTAACTCATTACCTTCAACAATGAGCTCAAAACTTATTTCAAATGAGTAGAATTAACTTTCAGTAAATCGAGTTCACTACACTTTTCATTTCTTAAAGTTGACTGTTATGTTTTTACAGAATCTCATCTGGTGTTAAAAGCCAAAGAGTAGAAATGAGTTTTAAGACTAAACCGAAAAGTTTTTGGCCTGCCTAACATGGTTTTAAGGCAACCACAAAAGCAAAGTGTTTTCATGTTCCTGTTAACAAACGAGCAGCAGCGATCTACGCCATCTGTAGACAAGTAAGGGAGGCAGTATCCACATAAAAAGCATTAAATTAATCTAGCTGTGACAACAAGGGAGACAACGGAGTGAGGATCCAAATGCAGGCTTTTTTTAGGGTGGTCAGACAGGCAATGGTCAAAGATGGGCGCAAACGAGAACATGCAGGGAAATCTGGACGCATCGTCAGGTAACAGGCAGAATGTCGATACAGGCGGCAGGCAGGATAAACGATAAAACAAAGCAAGGGTCAATACACGGAGAGACTAAACCAGGAAATGCTTTGTAATGCTACAGAGTATGAAATCAACAAGACTCAGCAATGTCTGTGGGTGTGTGTGCTGTTTATTTAGTCTATGGCTGTGTCCGCAATCGCATACTTCCATACTATATAGTAAGCTAAAATCAGTATGCGAGTCGAGAAGAATGTCAGAATTTATAGGGTAAAAAAATCAGTATGCAAGAAGCACCCTGATGACCTACTACTTTCGGTGAGATTCTGAAGTGTGCATCAGATAGACGCTACGCCATCCCATGATGTCCCATGAAGAATTCATGAATGGGAGTGAAGCGACACAAGTGACGTGGGTGGGTCACGTGATCATGACAAAATGGCTAATGTAGTACATCCGAGTTCCATTCATACTGCTCGTATTCATAATGTATAGAACGTACCTTTCTTATGGTCGAGTTGTACATTTAAATTCAAATGCTGTACCTGTTGAGTAGTATAGGCAGTTTTGGACGCAGCCCATGTCCTGAGTAGCTCCCAGCTGTGTGTATGTGTTTATATGTGTGAGTGAGTGAGTGAGTGAGTGAGTAAGAGAGAGAGAGAGAGAGAGAGAGAGAGAGAGAGAGAGAGAGAGATATCAATGGAGAACCGGGACAAGTGTGTGTGTGTGAGGTGCCTGAAAGGAGTTGTAGTTATGGTGACAGAATTGTAGTCAGAGTGAAAGTGAATGTTTTCCAGCGATCTATGCGGGTTAGGTCGCTAATGATTATGACACTAGCAGAGTCAATATAAAAATAATTTAAAAACTTTTAAATTCATAAAATACAGAAAAGACTTGAATGGATAATTACCTCAACAACAAAAAAAACAACAACTAGCTTTTATTACTGATTTAAAGTCACTATCCATAATAACAGCCAGGTTTTTCACATCAAACTTCACATAAGGATTTTAAAACACCAAGATCCAGAAAATCCCGAGCACCCCCATATCCAAATACCCCCACTTCTATCTTTTCTTCATTGCACATTAACAAAACTCTAGTGCCAATGAAGATTTAATGTTGTTAAGACAGTTTAAAATGGTGTTATGAAACCAGCATCTTTTTGCTTTAAGGGTACATAAAGCTGCATACAATTGTAATGACTTCTTATACTTCCTCCAAATAGACCCTAATGGATGCAGAAATAGGGAAAACAGAATAGGGCCAAGAATGGAATCTTGAGGTACTCCACAACCTTCTGTCAAATAAATATGACTGAAACCATTCCAAGGCAGTACCCTTAATACTAACACAATGCTCTTAGTGAGAAACCAAAACCTCATGGTTATTGTTCATAACGATCTCATAGTTTTGTGTTTTTGTAATGTTATAATTTTTATTATAGTAATAATTGTGTTTGAAATAATTTTCCATTTAGATATAGACAATAATAAATTTGAACAACCACAATATTTTATAGTATTGTAATATAATCCTTATCATTATAATATTAATTAATCATTAATCTGTGAATTAATTTATATACATACTGTATACAAGTCAATGTTTACAAGTCAATGCAAGGCCAGGTGAGTTTATTTATATAGTACATTTCATACACAGTGGTAATTCAAAATGCAAGAATAAACGAGACCGATTAAAAGAAACAATAAAATAAAAACTTTTTGGGAAGGCCAGTCAGGAGTCCATTACAGTAATCCACCCTGCTGCTGATCAAAGCATGAACAAGTTTTTTTAAGTCCTCACTGAGACCAAAGCATCTAGTTTTGGCAATGTTTTAGAGATGATCGTATAATGATTTAGCTGCTGCTTTGACGTGACAACTGAAACTCAGATCTGACTCAATCACACCAAGATTCTCAACCTTATTTTTTGTTGTTTGACCTTTAGAGCCAAGGTTTTGCATTCACCTTGAGAACCTCATCTCTGTTCCTAAATGCGATGATAACGTTTTCTCTTTGTTTAACAAGTTTATTATTTTTAGATAACCACCATTGCCTATGACTTCTGGCAAAAAATCACATTATTATTATTATTATTATTATTATTATTTTATTATTATTGTTATTTATTATATTGATATTGGTGTTCTTTTCTCAGTGCTTGATCTGGAGAAGAACGACGGTTCAGCAACCCGTCCGTATTACATGTGCAGCAGCCTGAGAGCCATTCTCAACAAGAAGAACCAGAAGAGACCCAAGGAGACCAAGAGAGGTAGAAAACAAAAGAAGGAGCAACCAAAAAGCAGACACTGACATGAAAAACAGACACTGCCGATGCTCAGACTGTGTGTGTTTCCAGATTATTCGCATCTGTGAGACTGACAGATTTATGAAGGATTATGTACGCACTGTAGGTCGTATTTTTTAGTTTTGTTTCTTTGTTTGTTTGTCTGAAACCCAAAACTATAAGATTCTGTTTGTTTATTGGGAAATTAAATACACTTACAATTAACACAAAAACATTAGCTACATGAACTTAAATTAGGGCCACTTTCCAACAACCTTAGGGGCTGATCACACCAAACGTGCTTTTTGCGCTGAGAGGTGCATTTTTTGAATAATTTACTAATGCCGTAAGTGTTTTGTGCGCTGCTTATGCTCCCTGCCTGCTGGTCCTCGCGTTTTCGCCGTTGCGTGCTGTGCACTCACAGTTGGAAAAAAAGTCAACTCTGAGCGGAAAAAGCATGTTACGTCAGTCGCGTCTTTTTAATTTTCCAATCAAATGAAAGTAGAGGCGGGGTTTCCGTTGAGGTGATAGCAGTTTTTGTGTTGTCAAGGTAACTATGGGGACATTGACGATAGAGGAGAGACTAGCAGTCGCTGTTTTTGAGTTATCTGGAGCTGTATGACTTTAGGCAAGGCAAGTTTATTTATATAGCACATTTCATACACAGTGACAATTCAATGTGCTTTACATAAACAGGAATAAAAGAGACAAGTATGAATAAAATAAAAACAATTAATACAAAAGATGAAAACAGCATAAAGACAGTTTTTCCTTATTACAAAAAACCAGGGTATCATATTTTCTCATTTTACTCTGGGACTTTCCTATCCTCTCTGTTGATATTTTCGGTATCTTTTAATATATTGGATGTCTACGACAGATTCGATTTTTCACCTTTAATTGAAATTAAAGCCTTACAGCTCTAATTACATGCCTCCCAATTTCAACTTCCCCTGATTTCTACCCCTTCCCGGGAGTAGATCGCTTTACTTTACCAAACGTAATAAAAGGTCTTGATCTCAGCCAGTCGCTAGGGACTTTAACCCCCCACAACAGTTATCTGTGGCGAGTCATCGCCTCGGATCTCGCTTATATTAATTACACTGCTATCCCACAGAGACAGATCTACCAGTATGGTTACAAATTATTTACAATTATTTATTATTTGGTTAATTATAACAATATCAGCAGCAACACTCGCACACAATACACTGCAAATTCAGTCGTGGGTTTAATGACATAAAAAAGCACACGGCACTTCTTTTTTTCTTGTCAATAAAAAAGGCAGTGTGGTGCGCATTGCGTTTTTGTAATGTAAAAGTGTGTTCGGTGTGATCGGGCCCTTATACAGCATAAAAGGAGCCAAGTTATTTTTTAAAACTACACCAACTGTGTTTGTCTGAAAATAGAAAGTCAAATTTACTGAGGATGGCTCGGGTAAATTATAGTATTGTTTCTCAACCACGTTCCAGGAAGCCCACCAACAGTGCATATTTTGGATGTCTCCTTTGTCTGTCATACCCATTACAGGTCTTTCAGTCTCTGCTAATGGGCTGATGATCTGAATCAGGTGTGCTTGGTTAAGGAGAGATGTAAATGTGCAAAGTTGGTGGTCCTCCAGGAACGTGGTCGAGAAACGCTGAATTATAGGGTCATTTTTATTTTTGAGTAAACTCTTGCTGTAATTTTCTGGTTGTGGATGTGGATTCTGATTTAAATGTTTTTATTGCTCAGTCAACTTTTTTCTTAGAATGATACCAGCAGCATTGCTACTCAGTGCCGTTATCTTTAAAGTTGTAGTATGAATCGTTACCATCTTTGTATGCATTTGTAGAATTTTTTTAGCTCGTCTTTTATATGACCGTTGCGTTCTGTTAGCACCCGTTTGGGGTGAAACCACCACTTCTCTCATATTGAGAAAACGTTGCCGTTTGTAATCGCAGTTTAGCTGAAGTGCCTTATTCCAACACACAGTTTAACAGCTCTCTTAACCTCAAGCACATGTTGATATGAGCCCTTTTTCTGCTGTGCAGAGCTTATAACTCTATTTATTCCTTCATTACTGCTCTCATTCATCAGATCCATTGCACTTTTTAACCACACATCTCCTGTGCTATCATCGTGTCCGTCCATTTTAGCCAAGAAAGAACTTAAAGTTGTTAATTATAATTTATATATATTTGAATGGAATATTAGGAGTTGTTTTAGGTCGATTCATTTCTCCTCATATGTTGATGAAGGTTAGTGATTATTGTTTATTAAGTGATTCTCAAAAATATGAAGTGTTTGTTTGACATTTTTTCTATGAACATATTTGAGTCAAAATGTGTTCTTTACCAGTTTATTGCTATTAATTACTGGTATTTGACCCTCATAAATCATAAAAAACTGTATTTTTGAGTTTAACAACCATCTAATCGTCTTATTGGTATGTATCTACTTGTCATATGTTTTCTTCACATAATTTTTGAGCACATTTTGTAATGCATAATAACATTGTATATGATGTAATCCCAATGCATGCCAAAAAAAAAAATACATTTGGAAATTAAGTATTTCATATAGACAATGTCAATAAGTTATTTTTATTTTGATTGTAGCAACAGCATAAACTATGATAAATAAACACATAGTTCAAGCAAAAAATGTTATAATTTACTCATTTTTTCAGTTGACTGAAACATGTTTGTGTTTATTCTCTATAACAGAAAAGAAGATGTAGTAAAACATGTTGGAAACTGTTAACTTCTGAGTTCCCTGGTTTTTTTTTCTCCTAAGGAATTCAGTGGTTACAGGTTTCCAAGATTCTTCTAAACATATTCTATTGTGTTCAACAGAATCCCGAGAGAGAGAGAGAGAGAGAGAGAGAGAGAGAGAGAGAGAGAGAGAGAGTACAATAGAGTGAGCACAATAGAGTGAGCAAATGTTTATTTTGGGTCATCTATCCCTTTAATACATGGGTCATGCTCACATTTACAGTAAGTGTAGACTACATGTCGAAGTGAGGTGTAAAATGTTTAGCTGCTGCTGATTGGTAGATGAGTGGACTGGTGGTACAGTAAAGGCTGATAGAGCAGAGATGATGCTGTGTTCACTGGAGACAAAACACAAACACACAAGGATAGATTCATAAGTAACACTTTACAATAAGGTTTAGTTAATGTATTTACTAACATGAAAAAACATTGAACAACTGATTTATTACATTATCTTTTGGTCTTTGTTGATGTTAGTTAATGAAAATAAAGCAATTTATAGTTCATGTTAAGTCACGATGCATTAACTAATGTTAGCAAACACAACTTATGGTTTTAATGATTCAGTAGTAAATGTTGAACTATGGTTAATACATGATGTAAGTGCTTTTCCATTTACGATTAAATTGCTAATATTGGGCTCTTCTCCGACAACTTTTAGCAAAATGACTTCACTTGGTATTTTTGTTGATTAGATTATACTGTCTGGGTTAGTCATGAAGTTACAGTACCTGCCAGTACCTTTGGTTTAAAACACTGACAGAGCATTAATCAATGTTCCATAATGCAATTCAGTAAGACAATTATTAGCCTATTGAATGTTTAATTCTTTTTCAAATATCTCCTGAGATATTTTTTCCACAGTATTTGCCATTATATTTTTTTCTGGAAAAAAACATACTATAGGTTTCTTTAATACAGCTGGAATTAATATAAATATATATACAGCTGAAGTCAGAATTATTAGCCCCCCCCTGTATATTTTTTTTCTCCAATTTCTTTTTAATGGATAGAAAATTTCTTCAACACATTTCTAAACATAATATTTTTAATAACTCATATTTAATAACTGATTTATTTTATCTTTGCCATGATGACAGTAAATAATATTTGACTAGATATTTCTCAAGACTCTTCTATACAGCTTAAAGTGACATTTTAAGTCTTAACTAGGTTAATTGGGTTAACTAGGCAGGTTAGGGTAATTAGGCAAGTTTTTGTATAATAATATTTTTTTCTGTAGACTATTGGAAAAAATGTAGAGCTTAAAGGGACAAATAATTTTAACCTTAAAAAAACTTCCATTTTAACCTTCATTTTCTAACCTTGTTTAGAAAATGAAATACTGCTTTTATTATAGCCTAAATAAAACAAATAAGACTTTCTCCAAAAAAAAAAAAAAATTATCAGACAAAAGTGTTGAAAAAAATCTCTCAATTGAACAGCACTTGAAAAATATTTTAAAAAGAATTTGAAATTCACAGGAGGGCTAATAATTTTGTATTCAGCTGTAATGAAATGAAAAACGGGAAACTGTAAATTACCTTTATTACAGTTTGAAAGCCTTTTCTATTTACAGATTTCATTCATTCAGTTTAACGTTCTTTCAGTATTTCTTCTCTTTTCGCACTATAAACTGATAACAAATTATATAATTGCATTATAGTCAGATCTCACCATGTATGCAGGTGTTGTGCAGTCCTGTAAGCAGGGTTGTTTCTGTATATCTCAGCTCATTCACAGTGGATGTGGACGACAGTGAAGACAGACCAGCTGAATGAGGGGTAGAAACGTGCTTCTTATGACGCGCACGGCAGTTCTGAAACCAGACCTGAGCAGAAACAAAGTGGTAATGATTTAGACAACCTATGAACACTTAATTTATGTTATAGAGCACAGGTGTCAAACTCAGTTCCTGGATCGCCACATCTCTGCACAGTTTTGCTTTAACACTAATTAAACAAACCTGATCGAATCTATTCAATCTTTCAGGCTTGTTTGAAACCAACAGGTAAGTGTGTTGAAGCAGGGTTTAAACTAAACTGTGCAGGGCTGCCTGAGTTTGACACCCCTGTTATAGAGTAACCAGTGATGTTATATTTACAACCGCTCAGTTTAGGCACTTTTCAAATTGCTAAAAAAAAGTAACCTGAATGACGCGTCGACTAAGTCCAGTCTGTTCAGCAAGACTCTGAAGCATCTGTGCGTCTGGATTATTGTCCTGAACAAACTGAGCCTGCATAACCTGTAGACCACAAAATCAATATTGTGTCAGCAGAGCTCAATAAAGTAAACCAGTGTTAAATCTTGACTAACCTTATGCACAAACTGCAATATAACAAGGATCTATTATTGCGAGCTATACAGGGTGTGTGATAACTCTACTTTATTACACTGCTGTCAAGAATACTCAATTCTGATTGGTCAGTCTCAACATTCTAAAGTATGTTATTTCTAGTCAACTGCTGAATAATACAGGCTCATTCGAAAACTTCAAATCGCCTTGAATATTAATGAATAGGCCTATGTTCACATCCATATTCCTGCATCTACATTAATTTGTATCTGCTTGTCTGTCATGTTGCGGTATTTGACTGTTTGGGCACCATATGTGAATGAATCATACGTAGGTTAGTCTATTCTCCAATTCACCGGTTTCGTTTCTGTCAGCTTTGCATTTTTTAATTGTTTGGTGCCCTCTTGTGTCTGAATAATGCGCAGGTTGGTGTGTACTCCATCTGCTGTTTTCATTCCTGTCAGTTTCGCATTTAAATCAAATTTTTTAATAATAAATGAACCATTACTACTCAGAACAATGTTTTGTGTCTATTTTCTATGTTTTGTGGCAAGTAGTCATGTAATAAGTGGGATAAAGTACATGCAGGAGGGTTATTTTCACAGATTATAGCCCTTCAGTCTTAGGCAAGAGCCCTCCACTTTGTATTGGACTCCCAATAAGCCTGTCTGACTTCATTCTGCGATAACAACCTCCAGGATGTACTTTATCCCTAATGTAATGTGCCATGAAAGGTGTGGTTTTACCTAAACTAAAGTCCTGCATAGAGAGATCTATACAGTTTATAGATTTAAATATTCTTTATAATCAAACTGTGTAATAATGGTGCAATTGAATTAGCTTAATGTTGTTGAGTTTACATTAATGGATGCAATTTGCTTAATGATCACTGGTGTCACTTTAAACAAGAGTATCTAAAACAGATGAAAACAAAGTCATATTTCAGGATCATTGCTGTCTATCGAGGGTCAAAGAGCTCTCGGATTTCATCTAAAATATCTTAATTCATGTTCTAAAGATGTTGATGAATGTCTCAGGGGATTGAAATGACATGATGGGTGAGTAATTAATTACATAATTTTCATTTTTAGGTAAACTAACCTTCTAAGTCTCATTTCTAATTTCAGAACACAGTGTGAGACATATTAAACAATGAGAGCATTGCTTTGTTTACCTGGAGCTGGTCTGCAGTGAAACTGGTACGTGCTCTTTTAGATGGTTTTTGTTTTATCTCACAGCCAGCAGCCAATGCTTTTTCAGGACTGACGGATTTCCCTGAGATTATAAAAGGCAAGAGACAGATGTAAATGTTACAAGCAAGATGACAAACCCAAGCCTTTATTTCAAAACTAAAATACTGGTCTGGATTATTATTGCCCAGACTATGTAAATCAGATTAGTTTAACCTAGTAAAAGATACAGTGTAAAAAATATCTATTAATTAACAGTTTCCATATATATTGTGATTCACAAGTGTTTTCCGTTTATTTACGGTTGTGAATTGCATTATGGGATGTTGATCTCTGTTCTGTCGTCTATTGGTGTTAAAAATTCAACTAACCGGTTTAACAAAGTGACTTTTATTGACATTTTTGTAGTTTGAAGTAACATAATGTCTAAGAAATAATTAAGAAAAAAAAATGTCTGTAAAATAACAGAAACTGTTCTGGCAGTTTATTACAAGGTTTTCATACTGTAATATACCACACCAACACTGACAATATGTCGCTTTTTCAAACTTTCCAAGGTTAAAAGCTGTTAGAAGAAAGGTCAAGATCCCATAATGCAGTTTAAAAGCATGAATAAACTGGGGAAATAAAAAAATAAAAACAAGAATCACAAAATACGGCAAACCGCTAATTAATGAATATTTTTTACAATGTAAAGTTATGGTAAAAAATCGATTCTAAGCTTGATTTTTAATGGCAGATGGTGCTTTATGCTTTACAAACCGCCGTACTCTGCCTGCATCCACCTCTTTATAAATGACACTTGAAACTAAAATAATCATTGATAAAGGTAGGAACGTTTTAAGCGATTTACAGAAGTGTTCATAAAGAGCTGTGTTTACATTAATCTAATGACATTAAAGTCAACTTGCATAACTCTTCGAATGCACAAACACTCATGAATGTTTGAGTGTACTGTTAAAAACTAGCCTACAGCACCATCTGCTGTTAAAAAACTAAGCTCAAAATCCTCTCAAGAATATTAATGCATTTTGACAATCGAAGAATCGATGCAGAAAGGCTGCCCATATTTTAAAATCTACTTTGCATGTACTGTGTTTTTGTTGAGTATATTATTGTAATACCTCAGGCATTTAAGTGATAAATGGATTACATTCAAAGGGCTTTTCAGAAGGTTTCAATCATGCTGATGATTTAAAAGCATTTCACATTTCCTAGGCTTAATGAGCTTAAACGCCCTGTTTGAAATGTACATTTTGTGATCTCAAATGAAACAAGAAGACAGGGCAGGATTACACACTGTTAACGATTTAACTGTAAAATGAACTGTGTTATACAGTAGGACAGTTTTGCAGTATGTTATCATATCTTAAAGTTGCACTGAGAAAATGTTATATTTTACAATAAATATATACAATATTGGTAATACATATTCAGCCAATTAAATGATGCTGTAAATGTAGAAACAGTATTTCTGCTGTGGTTGAATACAGTAAGTTACTTTAGATTCTACAGGAAATTGGTAGCAGTGATAAGCCCCTCCTCTTTAAAACAAACAATCAACAGAGTTTTGTTTTTATCACAACTCTGCGAGAGTGGTTTCGTCAAATGAAAAGCAAAAAAGAAGCATCTTGAAAGATGGGGACATGTCAGATACTATAGATCATTTAATTGGTCAGAAGATTTGATGACAAACTGGCATATCAATTGATGTCAAGAAGGTTGACCCATTTAAGCGGAAGTGACAAACTGAGGATGTTTTTATCTTCTGTGAATTTTGTCACTGTTTGTGAGCATAGATATTCATAAAGCTAACATACTAATACTAACAAATAAAGAACTCACCTTTTTCAGCAGGTCTGTTGAGTTTGTCCAGCATGCTGCTGTAATGGATTCGGCACAGCAGTTTTTCCCCAACCAATGCGAACTCCTCTCCAGTGGACAGCTGCCTTTTACAGGAGAAACAGGAGAAACATGCTAGATGGTAAACATTTCCCTTTGCTCTGTGAACCCAGTCTGAAGAGTGAAGCGTTTCTCTGCAGCACGAGCACCATGTCTGAAACCTCCTGCAAGTCAAACAGACACATTTAGCTCTAGATTAGGGTAAACGCATATTAAACAATCTCTTTTTATATGTATGGCAAGATCCTTTTGAAAGCTAGTATCTATTTTTATACTACTAGTACTCATTGTTTTAGCTCTATATTTCCCAATAAGTACTGGTTCTAATTTGTTTCCTTCTAGTTTTTATTAATTACATACTGGTACTTGTTCATTCCATACTTATCATTGTACATTATACTAGTATGTGTTTATTAAATACTAGTATTATGACAGATTAATGTTACATATTAGTACAATATACAATTCTAAATTATTCAAAAGATACTACTGCACTTATTTAATAAGTTCAATCATCTAATAAATAAAAAATGGTGCTTAATATTGGTTTCAGATATTATGAACTACCATCTAAATAATATGGGTAACATTTTTTAAGGTTCTCTTGTTACAGGTTTCATATGCTTAATTACAATTATTTTTGCTTAATTACATGCAATTAATGATTATTACTCTGTAGTTAAACAATTACATTGTAACAAGGACATCTTAAAATAAAGTGTAACCAAAATGTGTACTATAATATATAGCTGCTAATATATAGTAAAAACTTGCACTAGACTCAATAATGGATCCCTATAAATGTCAGTGGTAAAACTTTTGAAATATTAATAATAGAACGATTGCTTCTCACTACTAATATCTAAAAATATATATACTAGCATCTACACTGCAAAAAAAAAATATATTAGTTGACTTTATATAAGTGCATTGTAAAAAATTATGGTCAATTAGTGATGACATGTTTTTAGTTCATTGTAACTTATTAAACTAAGTTAATCATGTTCTAACTTAATTTTATAAGCGATGAAAGCTGTTTTAAGTCAGTGCTTTTAAAACAGTTAGTTGACTTTACTTTAAAAAGTGAGTAAACTCGTTGGCTTTCATTTTTTAAGTAAACGAACCATGTTCAAAATTAAAATGTATTTACATCAACTCAATTGTTCCAAGTTACAATGGATTTATTCCTTTACTTTAAGTAAAGTCAATTGTCGCTTTGGAGGCAATGGGTTTACTCACTTTTTTAAGCAAAGTAAATAATCCCTTTTACTGTGTATTGAAAATGTTGTATCTAATAAATCAGGTTATGTTGTTAATATGCTACTTTCTGATATCTAATGAATGACTAGCATATCTAAAGAAGCAGTATAAATATAGATACTAGTATTTTAATATATTATAGGCTTATTTTAATCTTGCCATATACATACTATATTTCAGAAATACCTGAAGTAATGTAGCTTGCAGAAAATCTCACGCTCTCGGACATAGCAGGTTGTCTGTTCGCTCAAGGTGGTCTGACACACACTGCATGAAAGGCATCTCGCATGCCAGCACATGTCATTCACCTGCATTCAACAGGAAATTACTTATTTGACCTTGAATTGATTGACATTCAGATGAATTAATGCATAAATGAAAAAGACTATTCTTACCTTAAGCAGATGCCTGTCTAGGATGTGCTCTCTACACCTTGTGCAAACTGCTTTGCCTTGAAAAGCATCAGATGCCATTGTTTCAGGTAAAGCAGATGGAGAAGCCGGATCAGATCGGCCATTCTTTGCTTCCGGTAAGCTCTGTGAGAATGAATGCTATATTAACATTTCAAAGAGACACTTTTATTAGCTGACCATATAAAGAATAAAGTTACTGGAAACTGCATTTTACGATTTGTTCGATTATCTCATAAAGTCATATTAAATTTCCAGTTCTCCAGTTCTTGAGGGTCAAAAATGAGACTCCATCTGCATCTAAATAAATGTACAATTTTGTGTATATGCAAAACCCATTAAAATCAATGAAGTGGCGACTTCAATGTTTTAAATAAATAACTGAAAATAACAAGTCAAAATAAGGTTGAAATAATGGGATGATGTAAAGGGTATACATGCATGAAAATCTCTTTTGTGTCGTTTATCCATACTGTAGTTGCTAGATCTTTACAGTTAAAAATAACCAACATTTAATAGCATTTAAAATCACATTTTTCTTTTTAGTAAGGATGAAAATCTGATTTTAGATATTGTTATGATGTAACCACAAGAAGTCGCATTTAAGGGATAATTGACCCAGACATTAACCTCAATGGTTCCAAACCTTTGTTTATTTTTTTCTGTTAAACACACACACACACATTTTTTTTTAAGAATTTTCCAAAAACGTCAAACAATTGTTTCTAAATATCTTTTCTCAAACAGGTTTGTAAAAGGTGAAGAGTGAATAAATGATGACAGAATTTTCAGTTTTGTGTAAACTATCCCCTTAAATGGCCCACTGTTATAACAGTGTAATAATACACTGTATTAATACTGCCAGCCTTTATTTTTTTTATTTTATTTAAACCTTACAAATCACTTAAAATATTCAACCGACTTGAAAAAAACTCATGTGATTTAAAAATTCAAGTAACTTAATTTAATAAGTTAAATAAACAAATGTCACGTCTGATCGTTTTAGCTACTATTATTGAATATGCCATATACAACGTATTTTAAACGTCTAATTTACATAGGTTATAATATATAAGGTTCTGGCTTTTCTCAATCAAATTCTCCTCCAAATACAGTAGATTTTTCTTATTAATTGTGTTGGCTTGAGGAGGTATAGGCTACTGTATAGCAACTGTTGCACGCGTGTTCTCATTTTTAGCATCTCTTTTGTATATGGTCAAGGCTGTTTTACATTTATCATATTGTAGCCTACGTTTAGGCTAATTGGTCAAAATGTAAAGAAGCGTCAAAATACGATTTGCGAGAGACGAACTTGAGCGGATTAAACAAACAAAGACTGTGGTATGTCTTGAAATTTATAAATGCACCTGACTACTTCATGGCTGACTGAAAAAGTTTGACTACGGCCTGTAGTTATGGTCATAAAAATATAGGCTACATACCATACAAATGTTGCTTGAAAGTTCTCTGGTAAAATCCTCACAGCGTCTCGCGTTCATGTCGGTAGTGAAAGCGCTTCGGTTTCCAAAATCTCGCACCGAAACACCCTTTAAATGTGCGCGCTCCATCCCATAAACATCATCCACTTGTCTTTTCACCATGACAACCGCAATCGCCAAAATAAATTTTCTACATTTAGACTTCCAGAATCTTAGTCATTAGTAAAACACGCTCAACTCTTGGACCAATGGTTATGTGTATTATGCACTTGAAATCCGCATTAGGGATTCGGAAACGGTTCACACATAATGCCTTCACCCCAAACGTATCAATTACGAATGCCAGTCAAAACCGCTGAAGAATCAGTGGAAGAAGAGAATTGATTTATTTAATAACAGCAATTAAAACCAAACGCGCAACCAGAGCGACCCAAAGGTGAAGAGGTCTCATTAAACTCTTGACACTTAATTGCCACGATTTTAAAACGGGTGCTTTCCTCTTGTGCCATAATTCAGGGGAAGTATTTTGTCCGAGTTGTCCACAGAACACATCTTCTGGACAGAAAATAAATGAATCAGTCGATTATTACTACAAGAAAATTGCTTTATCGATGTTTATGTATAATTGTTCATTGTAGGCTATCTCACTTGTTGAAGTCAGAATTATTAGCCCCCCTGAATTATTAGACCTCTGTTTATTTCCCCCCCAATTTCTGTTTAACGGAAAGAAGATTTTTTTCAACACATATATAAACATTCATTCGTTCATTTTCTTGTCGGCTTAGTCCCTTTATTAATTCAGGGTCGCCACAGCGGAATGAACGGCCAACTTATCCAGCAAGTTTTTACGCAGCGGATGCCCTTCCAGCCGCAACCCATCTCTGGGAAACATTTGTAAACATAATAGTTTTTATAACTCATTTCTAATAACTGATTTACTTTATCTTTGCCATGATGACAGTAAATAATGCTCGACTAGATAGACCCTTATATAGCTTAAATTTAAAGGCTTAACTAGGTTAACTAGGTTTACTAGGCAGGTTAGGGTAATTAGGCAAGTTATTGTATAACCATGGTTTGTTCTGTCGACTATCAAAGACAAATATAGCTTACAGGGGGCTAATAATTTTGACCTTAAAATGGCTTTGAAAAAAAATAAAAACTGCTTTTATTAGTGGTGAAATAAAACACATAAGACTTTCTCCAGAAGAAAAATATTATCAGACATACAGTGAAAATTTCATTGCTGTCTCAAACATCATTTGGGAAATATTTTGAAAATAAAGAAAATTCAAATGGGTTTTAATAATTCAGCTTTCAAACTAGTCGTGATCAGCAAGTCATTGGCCTGAAGCAATTATTGTGAATTGAAAAGTAGCAGCTGACACATTTGATCTGAAAAAAAGAAAAGAAAAAAGTTTTTGCACGATATTTGAATTCATGTTAATTCATAATCACTTAATCATGATCATCAACTTTTATAATAAATAATACTTAATTTTTGGAGGGCATCTGTTCGTGAGTGGTTTGTTAGCTATACCTAACTTTAACAATTATAAACATTAGTCTATATTTGAACATATTCTAATGTGTGTAGTATCTAGTAGGGGAGAACGAGGACAAAGGTAACATTTTTCATAAAAACCTCATTTTAAAAGATAATGTTTTAGCAGAAATATATTTTTGTTGTAGACCACAAGAGTGGTCTTTATAATAATTTTATCAAAATAACAATATTAATAATACATATATGAATAAATCGTTTATAAAGTTTTGTAGGCTTATGTGTGTGTATATAAATAAATTCAGTTGTTCATTCCTGTATTTATTTATTTTTGGAGGGCCTACTAAAGGTTATTTATCTGTTAGATTAAACCCTTTATAAATGTCAATAGAAGTTTATGCATACTGAGTAATTCAATTAGCTAACTACAAATCATGTTTATTTATTGTTTTAAGTATTTTGGTTCCTTTTTACATAGATAAGTGCTTAACTGTTATTATTTAGTGTGTCAGTGGATGTATTGTGGTGGTTGTGGTCAGTGCAGTGTGGTTTGAGTTAAGGACTGCCGTGATCTCTGTCTGTCTGTCTGGCCAATCAGTGCGCAGTGGAAAATGCCCTAATCAGAGGAGATTGCTTTCTCCACAATCACAGCATAAATGCCCAATCCAGCTCTGATTGCACTTACTGCCGCACACACACAGTACTCTCAAATAAAACAAGCCTACTGATGCCATCCGAGATCCGACACACACACACACACACACACACACACACACACACACACACACACACACACACACACTCTCCCCCATTCCTTAGGGCTATATGCATGCAATATCTGTTTACAAGGCATCACAGACATTTTGATAGGATGCACGAAATGTAATTCACGTGGGCTATACACTGTATATATCAGCATGCAGTTAATATTACATTGATAATTATACAACAAATAAAAGGGGCTTTGAAATGCATTAAAGGAGTGAACACAGAAGGAGCATTCATGCATTCACAAATGCCTTTTTTTAATGGAACAGAGCGCAAGGGTCTCAATTGGGTTTTAACCACTTATTGTTTTAACTTACATTAAAAGTAACAACCTCAGACAACCATAGCCCAAAACAACAACAAAACATAGACGAAATGCAAGAATGTGTAGTTATAAACTAATTGTTTTGTGGAATGCTATGCAAAAACATGGGTTAGCTGAAATGTAATTAATAGAGTAGCCTGCATATGTGTGTGGGATAGCAGATTATTAGTATTTAAGGTTCAAGCTAAAAAAAAATTAACAAGAAATTGCAAAAATGTTGTCATGTGGCCTAATTTTAAAACAGTTTTATGTTCAGAAAAAAAGCTGATTCGCTTCTAATTTAAATTAGATTTGTCACACACACAAACACACACAGTGACATGATGTGAAATTTTCTTTTTCACCATAAAAACAGACAAGAGCGTTCAAAGTAATACAGTACATCGTTTACATTGCACTGTAAAAAATGTCCAGATTTTCACAAGTTTCTGTAATTATTCACTGTAAATTACATTACTATCACTTCATAGTATCACAGTAACTGTAAAAATCACAGTAATATGTTGTATTCACAATTTTATTGTGAAATTAAGGCAGGTCGCATGATTACAGCAAATCACTGTAAAAAGGGCTATATCTTTTGCACATTAGTTATAGGAATTCAAACCTTTTTTTTTTCATTCAACATAGAAATTATTACAAATTAACATTTATGCTATAGTATTGGCACTTTTTCGATATTTAGAAATAACAGAATGTTATTGCAGCCCAGAAACGATTTGGTTCAAGTAATTCATTCGTGAAACCAAAGACTGTTAAAGCCGAAATAATTGCAAAGTCAGAGTAAATGTCAGAACGAGTAGCCGAGGAAAGCCTGCTTAAGACAAATTTATCAGTATTGGGCATCTGTCATAAATAATCCACAGACTTGAGTTTTAAGCAACTTTAAGCAAAAAGTTAAGAAGATATTTTCCAGAAGTGGACCCCGCATGTGATCGATGTGGATTCAGATCCCCTTATTGCAGTTCAAGGCATTACTGATTTTGAGATAACTAAAAACAGTACAGGACAAAATATAGTTCCATTTGTCAGTCTACTAGCACTGTTTATTATTAAACTGGAAACAAAATGTTGCTCCTATATATATATATATATATATATATATATATATATATATATATATATATATATATATATATATATATATATATATATATATATATATATAGATAGATAGATAGATAGATAGATAGATAGATAGATAGATAGATAGATAGATAGATAGATAGATAGATAGATAGATAGATAGATAGATAGATAGATAGATAGATAGATAGATAGATAGATGGATGGATGGATGGATGGATAGATGCATCTAGTTAGATACATCTAATAAGAGATTTGGAACATTTGGAATTGGAGAAATTCAGATTCTTCCTAGAAAAGAAAGAAGACAAATTCTATCAAATCTGGAAACCTTTCATAGATTATTTTTAAGACATAAATTGTGCAGAAAATATAAATTGAAGAGGATCAGACAAACTTAGAATAAAACTGACGATCAGTGTTTTGTTTCTGTCTTATTTCAGTTTTTTTGTTTGTATTTTCTTCTCTTTTTTATTGTTATTATTGACATATTGTTTTTATCTAGTACTATTTTATTTCCTTGTGTATTTCTTTCTTATTTATGGTTTACTAACCATTTTATTTGATAAACAACTATAAAATAACGGCCGTTAAGTTACAGAAAGTAAATTTCTGTAATTTAATGCCCACTATTTTACAGTAAATTTCTGTAAAAATTCTGCAACCCAGCTGCCGGAAATAAACCATAAAATTACAGATTTTTCATTTAATGCACTGTAAAACACAACAGTCAACTTTATCAAATGAAATAAGTGTAGTTAACTCAAAATATACTGAAAGTCAACTCTACTCATTTGAAAAGCATTTTGAACTCAGTGTTGAAGGTAATGAGTTAATTAAATTTCTCATTACTTCAACTTAAATGGAGTAAGTTTACAGTACTCGTATAGATTAATTTTAACTAAAATGGTTTGTAATCGGTTTCCTCAAACGGTTTGAGTTGCCTTAATTTATTGGGTTTTACTGTGCTCAAATTGCGTAAATGTTTTTAGGTTGGAATTTTTAAGTTAAAAAATAATAAAGTTATAATAGAACAGACAAGAGCACATACTAAAATCAAAACCAAAATGTAATGCGCAATCAGTAGTTACTTTATTAATATTTTTTCTTTATTACTGTCGGCTGCTGAACATTATTTTTATTTTCTGTCAAAACATTAATTATTTTTTCAGGAATAAACGCTCAAATATTTGAAATGGTTGCTTTGAATAAACTGAAATAATCTGAATAATTTTATTTTTTGCTCATTGGACAGATGATCAATCCCCGTGAAAACACAAGAGGGCGCTCAATGCATAACTTCAAGGCTTATGGTAAACTATTCTGTTACATTAATCTTGACGAAATTAACCCAAATTCACATTTGGGCCTAATATATCATCTATAAAACTATAACTTTTGGCGAGTAAACTAAACAAACATTTCTACTACAGTAGGGTTATATAACATAATTATAGTAATTCAGCTTTATTTGTTGTTTCGGTATAACCACCACACAAGTTGTATTCGCATTATATCTATATATTTTCACATCCTAAATATTCAACAATATGTACTTTGCATTATGATTGTTTTATAATAAAGAACTTAGCGACTTCTAGGCATCATCACGTGACTCACCATGGCAACACTGTCATCAGTTCCTCGCGAGGAAAGGGAGAAAGGTGTTGAGTATTCAGAGCCGGGCGGACAGATGCGCATTATACTTTTAATATCCTCCGGATTCAAGAAAGCTCTCACATTAACGTACGGTTGCCTGATACATATCGAATATCTCTGAGCACCGACAAAATGAATCATCTGAATCCAAGGTGAGTACCTAAGCTTGACTAAGCTACTGTGAAATGCTCTCTAACTAACGTACAGTCCAGTCGTAAATTTCCAGTTGAATTAATATAACAAGCGAGATAGATTACTTTAAGCTTTATTATTGTGGCATTTGAACACTTTATGACTAAAACGTGATGCTGTTGAGAAGTAACAACAGTTAGACAACAAAAATAATGGACAACCAATATTGTTCATTGTACCCAAAATGAATGTCTGTTGTTTCTTTGTTGAACATAGCTATAGTAGCTGTCGTAGGCTAATAAATGTAACGTTATGTCTGAAGTGAAAATTAAGACAATATTAATAGAAAAAGTTTACTCAAAAATGTCAATTTAACAACTATTTACTTTCCCTCAAGTGGTTCCAGTCCTTTAAACGTGTCTTTATTCATTTGAATACAAAAGAAAATACTTTAAAGAAAGCTGAAAACCTGTAACCATTGACTTGCATAGGAAAAACAAATACTATTGAAGTCAATAGTTGCAGGTTTTCAATCATCTTCTTTTGTTAATTGTAATTAAAAGTGTCATTTTTGGGTGAACTATCCCTTTGAGTGTATTTGGATATCCCAGTCTTGCACTACTGGTGTTTTACTTTATAAACAATTTTAAAAAGAGACATGAATTCAATGTTGGAGGCCAGAGGTTAAGTGTGCTGTCAATCCAAACTCAATTCCAATAGAAACCAGACACCGGTAACGGTATCTCCTTGGCCAGAGGATTAGTGTTCAGGTTGTGTTGTCTTCTTTACAAATGCTCAGGGAAATCAAATCTGTATCGGAAAAAGCCAGGCAGACAAACAGTCGAGCATTTCCAAGACTACACTTGACACAGATGTACAGTGTTCACCTCAAGCTGAAAACCCTGGCACTAGTGGCCTCGAGGATCACTGAATCATTCCATCAGCCCGGTCAAACATGTCTCAACGCCATGATATCTGGGATGAGATTTACAAATGTGCAAATTATCAGACCCTACTTAACAGATAATGTAGATTTTCATTCAAAACGCAAGCCTAATTCATTTACTCACCCTCAAGTGATTCCAAACCATTATGAGTTTCTTTATTCTGAACCCTAAAGAAGATTCTTTGAAGAAAGTTGATAACCTGTAACCATTGACTTCCATATAGTAGGAAAAACAAATACTATATAAACCGATGGTTACTGGTTTACAGCATTTTTTCAATGTGTTCAAAACTCATAAAGGTTTGAAACAAGTAAAGGGTGAGGGTGAATTTCCATTTTGGGATGAACTATCACTTTAATAATGTCTTTATCTACAGTCTTCTTTCAGCTTACAACAGCTTAACAGACAAACATCTGAGTGCATACTTCAACAATGCCAGAATACGTAGACATCTTCAGAAAGTTGGGCTGGTAAGATGATGTTGTGCCTAGCATTTAAATCACAATATTTACAAACTAGCTTTCATGTTATAAGTTATATAAGGTAATTAGCATTCCCATAATGATCATGCTAGACAACCTGTTAAGAGATGAAAAGGAATGACTCCTTATGTTATACAACATCAGATGCATCAGTCATTAAATGCAGGTGCATGTGCTTCAGATCAGTCGGAGCGGACGAATTGTTCCCGATAAAGAGTACAAGCACAAGCTGATCCGGCGAGCGCATCAGAGACATGTGAGAGAGTGTCTGGCTCAAGCCATCTTTCACAAGGTGCTAGACATGGAGGTGAGAGCTTTTTACAGTCCACAAGTTCTTTATTAGAAGCTTTATTAGACCAGGGTTTCCCAAACTTTTCAGCCCACGACCCCCAAAATGACAATGCTAGTGTCTCGTGACCCCAAATATCCTCTGAGGTGGTTATAAATACAGAAACCTTGCAAGCAATGGCGCACACACACCAATAGACTCAAGTCTATTCTTCATTTAATTTTTTTAATGCATGTGAGTGCTGTAAATGGGCCAGAAAGTTTAACCTGGTGTTATTAAATCAATCTGCTGCATCTGACGCAATTGCTGAGTGTTTAATATGATTTTATTACCCCAGGGGTCGCAATCCAACTAGTAACTATATAAGCTACTATAGTAACTATATGGTATATATTAACTATAAACTACTATTTTTTCTCTTCATTAGGTTATGGATAAAATATGGTAATTCGTATGGTTTAATAAAAATAAATAGATTTTTGGAAATTACCAGGCAACCCCACTTTATTGTCCCCCGAGCTCTCGGGGGTCCCGACCCCCACTTTGAGAGTCATTGTATTAGACTGCTAGGCTGTTGTGGAGTATGAAAAGCTAAACATATGATGTCCTGCTCACATCGAAAGAGTTATGTTGGTCACACTTTACAATAAGCTTCATTAATTCATGTTAATTAATGCATTTACTAAGATGAACAAACAAAAAACAATACATTTACTACTAGTAGTTCATTGTTAGTTCATGTTAACCCATGGTCCATTAACTAATGTTAACAAGCATGGACTTGAATGGTAATAATGCATTAGTAAATGTTCAATAATGATTAATAAATGCTGTACATGTGTTGTTCATGATTAGTTCATGTTAGTAAATGCATTAACTAATGAACCTTATTGTAAAGTGTTACCGTTTTGTTTTATTAAAGACATTGTTTATATACAACTGTTTTCCCTCACATTATTTTTAATACACAAAATAAAATAAAATAACAAAATACCGATTTAGTGTATAATTTACAAAAAAACTGACAGCCAGACACACAAAGCATTGATTTATGATGTATATTCTGCAAAAGAACTTACCAAACACCATATTGTGTGTGTGTGTATAATTCATATTTTATTGATTATATAAATTATCATCAATTATCTAACCCTTACCTTAACTAATTTCTTTTGTCTTTGCTATGATGACAGTACATCATATATACTTTTTATTAGACAACAGTGATTTGTTCTGTTGCCATTAAAAACAAAATTTAAATGTAGCTAATAATCGACTCTAGAATTACTAGAGAATTACTAAAATTATTATGTTTTCCTAAATGCAAAACATTTTAATATAGTTGACAATATAGTTAATAAATATTAATATAGTAGACAGTATAGTTGTTTAATTAAATTATGAAGTATTGATGGCATTTATATGTGCATATCACTTTGTCACTGTATATTATTTATATATATATATATATATATATATATATATATAATTCATATTGTACTGCAAATTACTTTGCCCTTTATTCAGCGTCTTCACCAAAATGAGATCAAGAGAAGACTTGAGGAATTTGCACGGAGGGAACGAATCCACAAACTAAAGGTTTGCCATTTGAGCAAAACCCCTTTCAGACTGAAATCGATGACATTGTAATAAAGTACATTTTGTGATTCAGCTTTTTGCATTCTATGTTAGGCAGACCGCTCCAAGAGATATGAGGATGAACCAGTGCTAATGCTGTCACCTCGACCACCGACAGGGCCAAAGACCTCACACCCACGGCATTCTGGGCCGGAGGGAGAGCATTCAGAGTCAACAGAATCTGTGAGTTTTAGTTAGTGGGAGTTCACATGCCACACATTTAGCAGAAATCACTTACAAGAAAGTGCTTTACACCATAAAAAAATGCAGGGTTCCACACAGTTCCTTCATGTTGTCCCAACTCAAATTTATTAATTAGTCTTGTTTGACTGTTTTGACATATTTAAGTGGATTGAAAATAAAACAATTAAGTTAATCCAAAAACCACAAGAATTGTGTTGGTTCAACACATTAAACAAGTAGTTTGAACAAGCAGCAAAATACATTTACAATACATTTTTTAAGAGTAAAATGCTGTATCTCTAATGACTTATGAATTTTATTTTTACTTAATTGTATTCTATGTTGTTATATCATACAGTAGACGCAGGTCATTTCTTTGTTATCATGTTAAACAGAAGGTGATATGAAGTGCTGTGGTTGTTCTTCTCATGGATGTTTGTCTGTTGGCGTGTGGTGTCTGGAGAGTTTCTGCTCCAGCAGATTGATGACACATGAGCTTTATTGTTTGCTCTGGTTTCTCTAGATACGTCTCTGCAAACCCATATGTTAAGATATCAGATATACTAGTTTATAGACTAGAAAAAATCAAAGTATTTCTTTTTTAAAGTATTTTCTTATATTTAAAGGAAATATATTTTTTGTGTAAAGGAATTGTTTAATTTATTATTTAAAGGGTATCACCAATAATAATGTGTCAGTTTATGTAATCACATACAAGTAATTTAGTTTTTTTTAATTCTCTTATATTTAAAGCAAATAGATTTTTTTGTGAAGGATTTTTTTATTGATTTATTTAATTTATTGGGCACCACCAATAATAATGTGTCAGTATATGTAAATACGTGTTCAAGTATATTTAACTTATTGTTTATACTCCTGTAGCCGAATTCCTCCAGGCCCAACACGGCTCCAGGGAAGATGCAGAGGCCAGTTCGACTCAAGCCCCTAAACAGTGCCACGGCCTCCGTGAAGAGAAGCTCTCCGAGACACAGACCCAGAGAACAGGACTCCTCCAACGACACCGATCAGCCCGTCAGTTATACGGTGACACCCTCCTGACATCCTAATACGTACACTCTCACTCATCATGCGTCACTTACCAAATTAAAATAAAACAGTAAAATATGCAAATAAAAAATTCTGAGATTAATATTATATAAACATAAAATATTTCTCATAAAATTATTCCAAGACCAAAAGCTCAAAGCTTCACTGTACTTTTTTATTATATTATTATTAATTATTAATTATAATTAATTATATTAATTAACATTTTTGTTGTTATTTACTTTTAATTCATAATGATGAACTCACTAGTAATTTATAGTAAATCAATTTAAAATGTATCCATTTTTAACCCTACTATTGTAAAGTACTTGAGTTAATCTGTTGTAGTAATTCTACATTGGTAATACAATTGCTCATTCATTAATTAATTCATTCATTCATTCATTTTCTTGTCGGCTTAGTCCCTTTATTAATCCGGGGTCGCCACAGCGGAATGAACCGCCAACTTATCCAGCTAGTTTTTACGCAGCAGATGCCCTTCCAGCCGCAACCCATCCCTGGGAATCATACACACACACATTCACACACACACTCATACACTACGGACAATTTAGCCTACCCAATTCACCTGTACCGCATGTCTTTGGACTGTGGGGGAAACCAGAGCACCCAGAGGAAACCCACGCGAAGGCAGGGAGAACATGCAAAATCTGCACAAAAACGCTAACTGAGCCGAGGTTTGACCCAGCGACCTTCTTACTGTGAGGCGACAGCACTACCTACTGTGCCACTGCCTCGCCCAATACAATTACTATAGTATTATAATTAACTTTTCTACAACTGCATCCAAATGCACCACATTTTACTGTAGTAAATGCTAAAGCTACACTAAAAAACACAGGGTTAAAAACTACCCAAATTTGGTTATTTTCAACCCTATTGCTGGGTAAATATGGGACAGAACACATGAGGGGTTAAATTAACCTAAGTAATTGGATTATTATTTTTTTAACCCCATAAATGGGTTGTTTTTTCTATCCAATAATTGTTATTTTTACTTAAATAATAGGTTAATTAGATGCAAAAATGCTCGCAAAAGATGACCCAGGAACTGTGTTGTTTTGACTCAGTGTCACTGAAATACAGTGTGCAGCTTTGATTACAGGTATACAAAAGGTGATAGTAAGAAATTCTAAAACTCTGAAAGATCTGACTAAGGGCTGCTATGAGCATAAATCTTATTTTAATTGTGTAAAAAAGCAAGGAATCTGCGTTTATGTTACACTATTTTTATTGCATTTAAACAAATTAGTATATAATATGTGGTATCCCAGTCAGCCCCTGCTGTGAGTTAATTTGACCCAAAGAGCTGGGTTGAAACTACCCAAGACTCTGAAAATAACCCCCAAATGCCTCAACCCAAGATTTGGGTAGAAAAATAACCCCATGTCTTTTAGAATGTAAAGCAGTGCCATGGTATTGTACAGTTTTCCAGTTCACTATATTTAATTCTACAGTATGCTGTATCAAACATATGCTATATATTGTAAATAATGTATACAATTTAATACACATTACCATTGACCTTATTCTTCAATATGGAAGTGCGCTCGTTTTTTTGCAAATTTTTTTTATTTTTTTTATAGAACTATAGATTCGGTTGCCTTTGAGGGAAATGACTAGGAATAATAAACGGCAGAAAACGGTCTAACTACTAGCTCTCCAAACAAGTATTTGCATGATTATACAGACAAAGTAGAATAATATAATAAGAAAATATCAGTTTGCAACATCAAGCAGCAAAACAAGCTGTTTTTAACGTCTAAAATGAATAAAAGTAAATGAGACCGGAAGTCTCAAGACAAAATTATTCAAATGGCTGCGCCTGCTCGAACACGGAGATGGTTTAAAAACACTATAGCAGGGGTGCCCAAACTCTGTCCTGGAGGGCCGATGTCCTGTAAAGATTAGTTCCAACCCCAATTAGACACACCTGAACCAGCTAATTAAGCTTTTTCTGTACTAGAAACTTCCAGGCAGGTGTGTTGAAGGAAGCTGAAGTTAATCTGTGCGAGACACTGGCCCTCCAGGACCGAGTTTGGACACCCCTGCACTACAGTATTTACTATAAATAACTATAGTATTTTTCATGTGAGAACAATAATATATTGTATATATTCAATGCTCTGGCTTGACTTATAGCTGGACAGAGATGCCGTGAGACATTTGACCGCGATGGACTTCACAAGCACTGTCTCGCCCTACCGTCTTCCTGTCATTAACAACTATGTGACCCCTGTGCCCCCCCTCACCAAGAAGAATGAAAGAGGACCAAGAGCAAACGGCACAGTAAGGGGTCGAAAGTTAAGACCCACAACCGCACCAACAGCTGTTACAGAGGTTAGTTTCTTGCTTTTTACTTACTGTTAACTAGTGTAATGGTTAACATACCCATTAAAATAAATCTTAAAGGGGCAGTTCACCAAAAAAAAAAAAACTTACCATCAACTAGTTCTAAAGTTTTACGTATTTTTTTTTCTGATCAACTCAAAAGAAGTTATTTTGAAGAATGCTCAAAACAAAGCAGCTATTGCCATTCAAAATAGGAAGATATACAATCAAAAGTCAATGGCTACAGGTTTTCAACATTTTTCAGAATATCTTCTTTTGTGTTAAGGTTGAAAACCTGCAGCCATTGACTTCTATTGTATATCTTCCTACTATGGATGTCAATGGTTACAGGTTTTCAGCATTATTTTGTGATAATGTTACATTTTTGGGGGGTAAATTTTTCCTTAACCTCATGTTTATTCTGCAATTCCTCTGTTTGCAGCCATCTTCTCTTCAGAGGACATCAGCCCAGAGTAAAGTGTTAGTGAGCATGATGTATTTTGGGAAGGGTGTCCACCTGTCCCATGATCTGATGGACCTCAGAGATGAAGTGAAGGTCTTCCAGCAGCACTGTGGAGGAGAAAACCTCTGCGTCTACAAAGGGAATCTAACAGAGGGAGGTCAGTGAGCCTCTCTGTACACCTGGGCTTTGTAATTCATATCTTAAGGATAGCATGTATTGAGTTACGCTATTGATCTGTCGAGTGGATGTTACTTTGACAGTGGCGCATTTATTACAATAAATTATATTCTCTTTGATGAGGGACACGGTAGTCTAATTAAAATGAACTTTTTTGTTGTTGATTACTCTTGTAGAAGTGTTCCAGTTTGTGTCTAGACGACACCAAGGGTTTCCATTTAGTCTTACGTTTTTCCTCAATGGCCTGCAAGTGGATCGGCTCAGCTCTTGCTGCGAGTTCAAACACAGGAAAGGCTCTCGACTCGGAGGCAGACATGGACACTTTGGATTTTGTGGTGTGGAAGGAGCATCACCGTGCTACAAGTAATGATAACACATCTCTTAAATGATATTTATAGAAGGTTTGAAATTACTTTTAAAACTAGAAATCGTTTGTGAAGGAATAACAATATAATTCCTTAGGGTGGTTTCACACCTAGACTTTTGTTTCGGAACTTAGCCCAGTTTGCGCGGTTCGTTTGGCATATGTGAATCCACCAATCGCACTCGGATCCACGTCAAAGCAATCGCTCCGAGATCGATTGAATGAGGTGGTCTCGGCTCGATTGAAACAAACTCTGGAGTGGATCGATTGTAGTGAGAAAGCGATACGATCCGACCCGGATTATATCACAGTGTTTTATGGACATGTAATAGGCATACGACAATATGAAGAAAGAATGAGTAGGGCGGGAGGTCATTCCAGTTTCAGGAGTGCACAGAGACTCCAGGATGCCAGCAAACGAGTGATAATCTCCGCAAATGCACAGAGACTCCAGGATGCCCGCAAACGAGTGATAATCTCCGCAAATGCACAGAGACTCCAGGATGCCCGCAAACGAGTGATAATCTAAAAAGTTTACTTACACATGACTTGTTAAGGCTATTTTGGTCAGTTTAAAACTTTGCTGTGTGAAAGCGAACCGCACCAAGAACAAAGAGCAACAATGTTGTAACAATATTAATCCCTGTTTCGGAACAACTGAATCCATTCACAGGTGTGAAAGCAACCTTAGTCTATAAACGTATTCCAGTTTATTATTTTTACATATTGATATGAATTCGATTTTTTTACATACAGTTGCGGGCAAAATGATAAGCCCTCCTGTAAAATATTTATTATTTTTAAAATATTTTTCAAGTGTTATTTAATGGAGCAAGGACATTTTTAGTGCATCTGTATCAGTATTTGCTAATAAACTGGTGTTGGGCGCCAGGGGTAGAAAACCCCACTACAGTTACTCAAAATTATTTCATTAATGAATTTTTAAAAAAAGTTTCAACAAATGCATTATTTAATCAAGTAAACCAAAATTAAATGTTCATCAACCAAATCAATATATTAATATAGGGGAAAAACAACAAAAAACAAAACAAACCAACTTTAACCTCAAAACATTTTAGTTCAACTCATAAACCAAACCAACTTTAATTTCCAGGCCCAGGCAGGTGATAAAATCTAAAATAAATTTCCATAAGGATTTAAATCACTTCAGAATATGCTAACCCAACATTAATCAATATTGATCAAATTTACACCCAAACGAATTTGAATAATATTTCTAGGCCCAAATCATCACACAAATTTAGACAACTCAATCTTACAATCTTAACATATTCGATTTTCCAGTTGTGCATGCTGAAACGGTATTTGTGATTATATTTTTTCTTCTGGAGAAAGTCTTATTTGTTTCATTTTGGCTAGAATAGAACCACATTTTAAGGTCAATATTATTATTCTGCAGAACAAACCACATGACAATAGTTATACAATGATTTACCCAATTACCCCAATTTGACTAATTACCCTAATTAACCTAGCAAAGCCTTTAAATTGCACTTTGCACGAAAAATATTCTTAAGCATCACCTAATGTTCATACATTTACACTATTATGCATCAAGCTTTTTAAAAAAAATATTGTATCTTTTAATGATATGCTTGAATCACATATGTACTGTCCTCTCATATTGAGTATGAAGAAACCTTTAAAGCTAATGACGAAGGGCCTGTTGAAGATGGTGATGAGGTGGAGAAAAAGCCAGTACTAGTATCCTAAAAAATATCTTGTAAAATCTTATTTAATGCCATCATAGCAAAGATAAAATCAATTAATTATTAGAAATGATTATTAAAATTATTATGTTTAGAAATGTGTTGAATTTTTTCCCCCTCCATTAAACAGAACTTAAAATCTCTAGAAAATATAAAATAATTAAAATTTAACTGGAGGGCTAATAAATTCGACTAAAACTCTATGTTTTGAAAAAATCCAATTTTAAACCATCTTAAAGGGATAGTTTCTCCTAAAATGATAATTCTGTCATCATTTACTCACCCTTTAACTGTTCTGAACCATTGTTTTGTTCTCTTTAACACAGAAGGAAACATGTAAACTTTGACTACCATAGTATTTATATTAGACAAAATTGTCTTGATCACGTCTACATGCCTGAATGCAATATGTTGCCAAATTGAGATTGGCTGAGTATATATTTGTGTAAACAAGCAGATGATCAAGTGTACCAAAAAAGTGTCCCAATGCAAAGTCTTTTAATGAAACCATTTCGACACTGCCCGTTTGTCAAACCCCACACTAGTCCACCACTAAACAGGATGTGTAATGTTTTTGTATGATAATTCTTCAGGTGTATTATTGCCATGGGCTTGGACAAAAAACCAACCCCTCCTCAAAAAAGAGTGAAAGAGGAGCAGCCCACCTCCAAATCTCCCGATGCTAAAGAGACCACAGATGAGGACACAGAGACTCAGTCTAACGCAGAGCCTGAGACGCATCAGGAAATGGAAATGGAGATAAATGGAGAAACAGAAGGAAAGAAAAAGACCAAAGGTACAGTTAACTACAAATGCAGGTCAAACAATATTCTTAAGCATCACCTATTGTTCATACAATTACACATTTCTGCACTAGGTGTATGATTTAAATAAAAATGTATTGCACTTTTAAATGAAATGCTTGGATCCCATTTATACTGTCCTCTCATATAGAGTATGAGGAAGACTTTGAGGCTGATGATGAAGGGCCTGTTGAAGATGGTGATGAGGTGGAAGAAAAGCCAATTTCTGCTGCAAGTGAGGGAGAACAAGAAACTGAAACCAGGGATGAAAATGACGGAGATGAAGAGAAAAGCATCTCGGACAGTGATGACGACAACAGTATGTTGAGTTAGTATCACTACACGGCCGTGTTTTACACCTTGTTTGAAAACATCTAATATGAATCAATTGTCTTCAGCAAGAATTTATTTGTGTTTAAAAGTCATCTAATAGACATCCAAACCAGTGGTGTAGTCGGGGCTATACGCACATATACTCCATATGCCTACTTTTTTCCACGAGCTGTTTGGGTATTACGACTTCTGAGGATCAATAATTGTGTATACCCTCAGTATGATCACTTGTTTTGCTGATTAGACTTCCCTAATTTATGTGTATTTGCATTTAAACTGTTTCACTGGTGAAAATGCAACGAACATTTAAAAAGGAACTATGATTATAAAACACGTTACAGTGCATGTGGCATTAACTATATCATACATTCATGCACAGGATTAAACACAGTGACAGACCCACTCAGTGAAACTCATTTTACATTTACATTTAGTCATTTAGCAGACGCTTTTATCCAAAGCGACTTACAAATGAGGACAAGGAAGCAATCAACACAACTATAAGAGCAACAATGAATAAGTGCTATAGGCAAGTTTCGGGTCTGTAAAGTCTAAGAAGGAAAGCATTAGTAATTTTTTTTTTTTTTTTGAGTACAGTTAGTGGTATATGCAGAGAGGCAATTGCAGATTAGGAAGTGAAGTGGAGACTAAATAGTTAAGTTTTTAGTCGTTTCTTGAACCGCATATCAGAGTCAAACATCATTTGTTGTATCGTATTAACAAATTATTTCCTATTATGACTTAAATTATGAGATATTTATGCTATTTTGAATTTTAAAAAGTGGCAGTTTTATTTATGTAATATATTAAAAAAATAAAGTAGGCTAGTATTTGAGTTTTTGAAGAAGCTGTCTTCCTGATTTAAAAAAATATATATTTTAAATGTACAGTTTGCTAGCAACATACAATAGTTGATATAGCCGTCTTGTAATGTGATTTTTTTGTACAGTATTAAAATATATAATTTTTTTTTGTTTAAATAGGCTAATTTTACAAGTCTCTTTAGAGTTAAACAGTTGGGTTTTATCACAGCTTAATATACTCTGTGTCTGCTAGGGCACTATTAATCTCACTTTAGGCATCTCACTTTAAAATAAACAAATTTAAATACTTTTCCCTTTTTAATTCACCCAAAAAAAAAAAAAATGTTGTCACCAGTTTGTCTTTTTTTATTCTGTTGAACACAAAAGAAGATAATTTGAAGAAAGCTGGACACTTGTAATCCTTGGCTTCCATAGTTTTTTCCCCTCCTGTGGAAGTCAATATTTATATATACAGTTAGTGGGAATTATTAGCCCCGCTGCCCCCCTGTTCATTTTTTCCTCAATATCTGTTTAACGGAGAGAAGATTTTTTTTCAACACACTTCTACGCTTCTATAGTTATAATAACTCATTTTAAATAACTGATTTATTTTATCTTTGCCATGATGACAGTAAATAATATTTGACTAGATATTTTTCAAGACACTTCTATACAGCTTAAAGTGACATTTAAAGGCTTAACTGAGTTAATTAGGTTAACTAGGCAGGTTAGGGTAATTAGGCACACACCAGCTAATGGAGCAAGCAATAGTGATATAACCAATTCGGTGGATTGAGATAAATGGGAGGCCATTTTCGTAAGGGCCAATGGAGGGAATTTGGCATTTGAACACTTTACACTCCTACTCTTTTACAAGAAGTGCCATGGAATTTTTAATGACCACAGAGAGTCAGGACCTTGGTTTTTATCATCTCATCCAAAAGACGGCGTCCACTAACAGTATGGTGTTCACTTCACTATACTGGGGCATTAAGACTCACACAGATCACAGGTTAAGCACCGCCTGCTGGCCACTCTTACACCACTTCCAACACTAACCTAATTTTTCCATGCGGTCTCCCATCCAGGTACTTATTTAATGGACTGTGTTTATGCCATTTAATGGACCCTCTAGTTTTTGTGGCTTCAGTCATTGTTGGGGTACTCTTTTAAATCTGGAAGCATTAACAACTTATATCGAAATATATATCATTATCATTCAATATGGACAATAATTATCGATGCCCTTTTTGCCATATCGTCCAGTTCTAACTAAAAGACACAGAACGCACTGCGTAAATCCGTAAAAACACAAAATTAACCTCAATTGCATCTATTGCAAGTTCAAATAATTGAAAGATAAAAATTGGTTTGAGGGGAAAAGAGTGAACAAAGCATTACAGATTATTTGTCTTTTATTCACTTAGAAGACAAAAGATCATCATCTGTCTCATCTGGTCGAACATCCAGCTTGTCCAGCAGTGACAATGACAACAGTGAAAGAGAAATGCTGGAGGACACCAAAGAAGCCGTCGATGCTGATGTTCCAGATGATGTCACGCAGGCAGAGGAAGACCTCACCACTGCTGAAACCAAACCAGAGGAAACAGAGGCCACAGAGTCCAGCGATGTTACACTGCCTCAAGCTGAAGCAGAGGACTCTGGGACACAGGATAGTCCTGAAGCTGGCGTGGAGAAGAGCGACCTGGAAATGTCAGAAGACACTGACAAGCAAGAGGCAACTGAAGGTGAGCAATTTGGGGAGGATGCCAAAGCTGAAGATAAGCCACAAGAAAATGAGCCGGACAGAGGTGAGTGCCTGCATGAAAACTAGTGCTGTGTGCCTGTCACGACTGGAGCTTTTGTGGTCTTTCATGCTGGCTTTTTCAACATCAGAACTGAAGAGTCTCATCTCATCTTTTTGTGCTTTTCACAAATAAACAGATTTGATTGCTTCAAGATAAACATTGTGTTAGTGTCTTCATGCAGCGCTTTTAATTAAAGCTGAAGTGTGTCATTTAATAAGCAGAAACACTTATAATTAAGACAGTTGTTGTTGGCTGTTGGTCACTGTGGTGCTCTCAAAAGATGATAGTCAGTAAAACTTTAAAACAGTTGTTTCACATTTTGATTGTGGCAGTGCTTATACTAATTTGCATATTTTATTACAAGCATATTATAGACCTTTTTCTTGGAATGCAAAATTACCCATTATGCTTTGCGTGTATGCACAAGGAGAATGCAAAGAACTTCCGGTCGGCAGCTAATGCGTGTAAACGGTCACATTTGGACAGCTTTGAAACGATAGTTTTAATCTGCTTTTATTCTCTTTGAACTAATACTGTTGTCCATCTGCACCATCTCCTGGACTGATCATTTAAAGAAATGCGATCTAATAGGATAGAAAACAGCTGCTGTGAGGCATTTTCCCCTCATTGTCAGACGGCATCTTCTGCAGTTTAAATGAAGCCTTGTCATCGCTAAAGTCAACATTTTCTCTTTATTTCAAATATATAACCAGCCCAAACAAATGTAATTCACCAAAATGTTGGACACACACACAGTAGCCTGTACTGTGCCACTGACACACTGATTTAATAACTGTGACAAAGTGAAAATATAGGCTAGTGTCATTTCAAAATGACAGAAAAACACAAACCGTGGTGAATACAACACACGAAATAAAAACACAAACGGCTCGCGATCAGAATGAACAGCAAATCAGCCAGCAGAGTATCAATAACAGACTTTTATTGGTCATTTTTGTAAATTGCACGACTTTCATACCTGTTAAGTTTCATGCCAGTACTCTGGTTTGCTCTCTCTCTCTCTCTCTCTCTGCGTGTGTGTTAAAGAGCCGCTGAGCTAACAGCTGACAGGCCGCGAACGCACACACACACTGTATTTCTGACAGCAGACACGTGAACTAGGAGAACGTTTTTCTCGTATTTCTGACGCGCTTGAACCACATCTGACAGATTATAACGGCTTTAACAGACACATTTCTAAGTTGTGTGTCACAAAAACACTCTGTTATCCATTAAAAACGGAAGTTTTTATCATTCTACTGGAAGCCGCTGGTCGCTATGGCGCCCTCCATGCAGCAGCCATGAAAAAGGTCTATAAGTAACATTTATAGTCTGAAATGGAAAGGTTTTACCTGAGAAGAAGGTAGTTTAGATGATTATATGATATGATTATGTGACAAATACATGAACACACGCATTACTCCAGTTCTGATCGTGCTAAAAGCTGAATATTACACACTTATCTGTGTAATTGACGATGGTGTTTGTTTGGTGGCTTTTCAGTGATGTTGTGTTTCTGGCACCATTTTTTATTGCATGCTTTTTGTGTTGCCATCAGAAGTGTTGTGTAAATTACTTTTAAAAAGTATATATTTACAACTGACTAATTACATCATTAAAACTGAATTCAAACTACTTTTTTTAATTACTTGGTCTGAAAAAAGTTACTCATTAAGTAGTTTAATTACTTGACACAATAGCAAAAATCTACATACATCTCAACGCATACAAAATAGAAATTAAACTTAATTCAAAAACAACTGAAATATTTGAGAAACATTGTACTGTTTTAAAAACACTATATTTATCAATACACAAAACATTTCAAATTAACGACACCAAATTTCATACATACTGTATATTGACATACATTTATAAAACATCTTGTTCTTTCTTAAGAATATGCTATTGTCTTGATAAATGTAATCTTCTGTACTTCTCTGCATGGATTTATATAGAACTGTTGATTTTATGTACACTTTTAGGGTAAATACATTAAAAGTAACTGTAATTGAATTACGTTAACATGAAAAGTAATTTCTTGCATTTGCAGCGAAAAAGTAATTTAATTAAAGTAACTAGCAACATTGTGACAAATATACACCCAAGACTGGCTTTCGACATACTGATCAGTCTGAATTAACTTTTAAAGTCAATTCAATTCAGCTTTATTTGTATAGCGCTTTTACAATGTAGATTGTGTCAAAGCAGCTTCACATAAATGGTCATAGTAACTGGATCAGGGTAGTCCATCAAGAAGGATTACACTTGTTTTTAAGTTACTTGTTATATTTCAAAATATGACAAGCGGCCAGTGCAAAAACATCCGCATATATACAAAATACTATGCAATCTATTGTGCTTTTGTGGATTTGATGGTTTAATGGCTGGGGATACAGAGCAGTGTTTTAAACATGATTAACTGAAATGGTTGGCTTTATTGATATTCAAAAAAAGTGTTGTGTAAAGTGCATGTGCCATCCCATCAGAGAAATCGAACTTGTGTCCTGCATGAAAACATGGTTTGTGATTGTTTCCTGCATGCTGTGTTCTCAATCAAAGTGTTTGCTGTCCTGGTAATAAAACTTTACACATTTACACAATTGTGTTGTACTGCTTCTGCGTTTCATTTCAAAATTAATTATATTACTCATTTGGTGAATCCACCTCCAATTTAACATTTTTGCCATGGATGTCATATGTCTGTCTCACTCCCTGTGACAATGCATAGCCAAGTCTATGCAGGAGAAGTTGGCTGAGGCCATTTTGAAGGAATCTCAATGTAGTTCAGAACCAGAGTTTAGTGATACAAGCACAGAGGAAGACGAAGGAGCTTCAGTGAAGACCCAACAGGATGGCCAAGGTAAACAATTAAATAGGTTATATAAAGCTTAATTTTTTGTCTTTCTTTTTTTTTGCCTTGAGTAGAGAATATTTTTTTTACTTAAAGTTTTGTAGTGCTCTGACCGAAACACTGACAGTTTTGTGTTTGTACAAAGCCTCAATTCCACTGTGAGGTAGGGTTAGGTACACTAAAGTAAGACACGCATTGTTTTCCAATTCTACTGCCTCAACCTACCAAAAGAATTAACCATCATTGTTAGGGACCCTTTCGTAAAGTTCAATTTTAACACAACAGTATGATACCAAAAGGGTGGTGCTTGACTTATTCCTGAATGCCATTGGTTTAAAGAAAGTCGGTACTTTATGTAAAACAACACAGGAAGCATTATTTTTTAATACACAGCAACAACACAGAATGCAACACAGAAACCCATGCAGCTTTCTTATTTGAACAAAGAATTACATCTTTTTGCAATATCCCATGCCTACCAAGTCAGGGTACTCTTGGCATTGGAAATACAAGCCTAAACAGGGTAACCCTTCCTGTACGGTAATGTACCTAACCATACCATGGAAATGAGGCATAAATGTAAAATATTGTATAGTTCAATATACATTCAAGTCCTTAAATATTTGGACACCAACACAATCGATTTGAAATAAAACGAACAAGATGTGCTTCAACTTCAGATTGTCAGATTTAATTAAAGGGGATTTACATTTAAATCAGGTGAACACTGTAGGAATTACAACATTTTGCATATGTGCCTCCCACTTGTTAAGGGACCAAAAGTAATTGGACAATTGTTTTTTAAGCTGTTCCATAGTGTGTTTTCCCCTCATTATCGCAATTACAATGAGTAGATAAAAGGTCCAGAGGTCATTTCAAGTGTGCTATTTGCATTTGGAATCTGTTACTGTCAACTCTCAAGATGAGATCCAAAGAGTACATTACACAACTCGTTTAATTTCAAATCCATTGCGTTGGTGTATAGAGCCAAAAATATTAGAATTGTTTTAATGTCCCAATATTTATGGACCTAACTGTATGCTCATTTTTACAGGAGTCGAATCTGAGAGTGCTGTTGGTTTCACTTCACCACAACCATCAACCACTCAAGATGAAATTGCAGTGGAAAGTGAAGAAGCAAAGCAGTCTGCAGAAGATAAAAATGAACAGGAGCCTGAGGTCCACACAGAAGAAGAAAGACAAGAAATAGATGAGACTACCGATGCAGCAGCGAGTGTAGACATGGAAGAACCGCAAACAGAAGAACAAAGTGACATGACAAATGAAGCTGAACAGCCAGATAACAGTCTGGAAGTTGAGGAAAATGAAACTCAAGACATACAGGAAGAAGACACAATTGCAGAGGCTAATACAGAGACTAATGAAGAAGAGAAAGACTTGGTAGTACAACAAGAGACATGTGTTGAAATGCAGGACACTGAAAATGTAGATGCTGAGGTACCAGAGGTGGAAGAAGAGGGTCTGGAAACTTATACAGAGGATGATACAGAAACAGGTGCAGGTGATACAGAGAGGGAGCAAGACGCTGATGACGCAGATCAGAACACGGAGGGGAAGAGCGTTGAACAGCCAGACAAAGATGAAAGAGTAGACCTAGCAGATGAGGCTGGGGGTGATGGGTCAACAGGAGAAATACTACAGGAGACAGATAACAAGGGGGATGACGTTGATAAGAAGGAAGACTGTGAAAAATCTAGTAAAGATAATGATGAGACCAAAGAGAAAACAGAGAAAGAAGTTGAAAATCTAGAGGTTGAGGATAAAAGTGACACTCCGGGAATAGAGGAGGCAGAGAAACCAGGGGATGAAGAGATTGAAACTGCTGAGAAAGACAATGGGATTGAGGGTGACAATGAGTCAAAGGAAAATGAGGTTAGTGCCGATAAAGGTGAGGAGGGTGTGAGTAATGAACAAAAAGAAAGTGAACTTGGTGATGGGGCTAATGAAGAGAGTCAAGAGGAACCAAACAGTGAAGTTGAGGTGGGAGAGAAAACCAAGACAGATGAAAACATGGAAGAAGAGTCTCAGGAAGTAGAAAAAGTAGAAGAGGTGGAGAATGAGATGATGGATGAGATGGAAGAGGAAGGAGATGGGAATTGTATAGAGAATGAGGAAGAAGACAGGGAGCAAGAGAATGAGGTAGAAACAGGAGAAAAATTGGTAAAAGAGCCAGAGGAAGAGATGACGGATATAAAACAGATTAGTGAGGATGCATTAGAGAAAGGGAAAGAGGAAGAAGACAGAGAGCAGGAGAATGAGGTCGAAACAGGACAAATGTTGGTAGAAGAGCAAGAGGAAGAGGTAGCAGATAGGAAAGTGAATTGTGAAGATACATTAGAGGAAGGGAATGAGGAAGAAGACACAGAACAGGTGAATGAGCTAGAAACAGGAGAAAATTTGGTAGAAGAGCCAGAGAAAGATGTGGTAGATGTGAAAGAGATTAGCGAGGATACGTTAGAGGAAGGGAATGAGGTAGAAGACAGAGAGAAAGAGAATGAGATAGAAAAAGAAGAAACATTAGTAGAAAAGCCAGAGGAAGAGGTTGCAGATATAAAAGAGATTAGTGAGGATACATTAAACGAAGGGGAACGGGAAAAAGATGCTGTTTCTAGTGAGAATATAGTTCAAACACCAGAAGACAACCTTAATGATCAAAATGAAGAATTGGCATCACAGGAAGAGCAAAATGAAATGGATGCCAGCGGGGCACCTGAGGATGACGTTGAGGCCAGAACCAAGGAAGAAGTGGGAGAACCTGCTGAGGTGAATAATGATCTGCCTGATAGTAACATAGATGGCGAAAATGGAGAGAGAGAAGTTGTCAGTCCTGAGGAGGCTGAAAAGGCAGAAGAAGTGGAAACCCAGGACAAATCAGAGGGTGAGACAACCGGTGATAACGCTCAAGATGCTATAGATAAAAATGAAAAGGTTGTTGAAGAAATACAAGAAATAGATGATACTCAGGATGCAGCAGCGAGTGTAGACATGGAAGAAAAGCACCCAGAAGAACAAAGTGAAGCTGAGCAACCAGACATCAGTGAGGAAGTTGAGAAAATTGAGGCTGAAGACATACAGGATGAAGCTATAAACACTGAAGCAGCAGAAGCTAAAACAGAGACAAATGAAGAAGAGAAAGACTCATTAGAAGAAGAAGAAACACAGGACATTGAAAATGCAGATGCTGAGGTGGAAGAGGAGGGTCTGGAATCTCAAACAGAGAATGATACAGAAACAGGTGCAGGTGACACAGAGAAGGAGCAAGATGCTGATTATACAGATCAGAACATAGAGGGGAAGGACGATGAACAGCCAGACGGGGATGAAAGAGAAGACCAAGCAGAGGGTGAGACAACTGGTGATAATGCTCAAGAAGTTATAGATGATAATGAAGAGGGTTTTAAAGATGATGAAGAAGGAACAGATCAAGACAAAGAGCAAGAGATAGAAAATAAGGTGGATGCAGAAAATGAGTCTCGGTTGGATGGTGGGAATGTGGACCAAGACAGTGATAACGAAAAGGCAGACAAAGAGGATGACAAAGAAGATGCAGATAAAGAATCTGAAACTTCTGCAACAACATTTATAGAAAATGTAGCTGCACAGGTAACACAGGAAATCGTTAATAAGGATACAGAAAGTTTGATTGTCTCAGCTGAAGATAAAGTCGAAGCAGAGCAACCAGACAAGTCTGAAAATGAACTGGGCAGTAGAGATGCTCCTGAAGGGATGGACGGCGGCTCATCTGTTTCCAATTCAGGGAAATCACAGAATGGAGAGAAAATAACCAAAGGGAGTGTTGATTGCGAAGATCTGGATGCTCCTCCAACACCTTTGTCTAAAACAGCTGGAGTGGATTTAGTAAGTAACTGGATTAACGTACACCAGGAATCTAGGTATTTTCAGACTTTCATAGAACCCCTTGATGAAGAGACTCTCAGCTCAGGAGAAACTGAAGAGCGGCTAAATGGTGAAGTATTAGATGCTCCAGATGCACCAGCAAGTACCAATATCGAAGGCCTTGATGAAACACTCAAGATTGTAGATGAAATGGCAACTCCTGTAAATGAGAACACAGAGTCTGTAGTTGAAAGCTTTGAAACAGAGACTAAAGTTGAGGCCATAGAAGCAGATGCTCTCAGTAATCACTCTAAAGACAGCACACATACTTCAGCCAAAGATGAAAAAGTCCTAGAGACCAGAGGCTCATTGTTGACTTTCTGGTCAAGACAGAGTAAGGATGATGACATTTACCAAGAAGACACTGCAGGTCAAGAAACTTCAACATTAGTTGAGGTCATGAATCTGGGGACATCATCTGAAGAAATTCAAGACAAACCCTCATCTGAATCTGAACAGGATGTACCCGCAGTTGACATCCCGAATGTAGAAGAGTCTCAACAAATGACTGCTGAAACCACAGCCCAAATAGAGGAAGCAAGTAATGGAGAGACTTTGGAAGATTCAGAAGACAATTTGAAACCTGAGCATGTACCTCAGTCAGAGTATATCGAGCCACAGAGTCCAACAATCACAGAGATTACAGACCTAACAATCATTAATAAATCAGAAAACGGGAGCCAAGACGACACCACAAGTGTTGACTTCAATTCCAGACCATCAAATGGAAGCAGGAATGTGGACGGAAATAGGGGAACAAAAGTAATTGGCAGTCATTTCCAACAGACTCTCAGCAGAGACTCTTTAAGCACTTTTTCATTGGATGACACAAGGATTTTTGGGCCTGCAGGGTATCCAACATTACAGACTGCTCACGCTGAAAACAGCTACTAGCATAACAGTAAATCCTTTCACCTAACATAGGACTGTCTGATCCTGGCCCCGGATAGAGATTGTACTGCAAAATTTAAGTCCAACCCCAATTAAACTCACCTGAACATGTTTAAAGTTTTCAAGATCCTAGAGACTTTCAGACCGTAAGTGTGGACACCCAAACCCATATTGTTGGATGCAAAACAAAGACATTTCCTTTTCTTTTTCAAGACCCATTATGAGTCCTGTGTGCTTGGTAGGTGAAGCTATCCATGGCCCACTGAAAATGGACACCGCAGGACACACACAGCACAAATAATTAAATTATTCATGATGCAGAGCCCTCCAGTTAGTCAGGCTGCACCACCAGTGTATGGACACATTTCAGACACTCATACCTTAACTAACAGACTTCAACAGAAACCTCAATGACTGCAAAGTGTAATGTGAATGACATGACCACTACTGATTTTTGGTATTAGTTTAAACAGTAGTTTACTTGCATATGATACTATTATTCATATAACATCTCTTTTATAGATTATTGGTCAGTGTTGTGCAGATAAAGGCCATTGCTAGGGTACTATTATTTAGTTCCTTTTGGAAATTGCATTGAGTCTCTGATAATTATCACTACCTTGTACCCCATCAGTGATGGCCTTGATGCACATCATGAGTCAGAATCAAAACTTGAGATGTTTCAACTGCAGAAACAAGGCCAAATTTCCCTAATAGTGCCTGTGTTGTTAAGTGACATCAGTCATACTCTGTTTAAACAACCTATCACATGTCTTAGTGACTGTTTGCTTTTGAAATTAGAATAAAATACTGAAATACACTTGTTTGTCCTGATCTACCAAATGTTTTATTCTCATTCGAAATTCCAAACACAATATAAAAAACTCTTGATGCAACAACAATTAAAAAAAGGTTTTGACTCTTTAATTTCAAAATTTTGACATACATGTGTGTACCGAATATGATACCAAGTTATATGTTATTATACAAAAAAGAAATAACACAAGTCATCCTAATTGAACGTAGAATGTTCCTATACTCTTTGGAGGTGCATTTATGTCACGTCCTAATTAATAGTTTGTGACAATTAGTCATGCATACACTGTAAAATGTGCATTTAATTACAATAGTAAATTCTCTAAATTATAATTTTGTGTGTATTTAAAACACTTCCATCACTTCCGAAATTGCGATGACTTACAGCATGGTAACCAATGTTCTGTCATTTGAAGTTTGGCACATGTTGTTTTTGACCAAATAATAACTGCAGCAACTAAAGACTTGTTATGGTTGGAAATTTGATCTAAACTTTGGAGGAATTGACCCTTCACTAAGCCACACCCGAAAACCGCAATACACCAATCATGGCTTAGCAACCGTAGCGACGCGCAGTAGTTCTGTCTAGATTTCGAGCGAGGGAAACAAGCCAAATTGTTGTGCATATGGATTGTGCAAGTCTGATTCCCGGTATCCTAAAATTTTGGGTGGTGGATTTTTTTTTTTTTTTCTTTCCAAAACCTAAACCCCTGGGGGAGAAATGCCAGTGTGGATCAAGCTGTGTGAGAGGCCGTAAAAGCAGCACATAGTCCAGTCATATTTCCATCTGTTTCAAGCTATGAATATTTGGATTACATATCAACAGAACAAAACAGAGATATGATCACAATCTGAGCACTCATGATCAATATACTTCACCCTCAGCTGTTTTTCAGTCATTTATAACCCCCATGTCAGAGCTACAATTCACAGATGTTTTCATTTGTCTTTTGGAGATTTAGTCATTGGTGACAACGGTATAGCGGGTTAGTGTCTGCTTTTATATTTGATGTTGGATTAATCATTTGCTGGTAGGGAAAATCTATTTGTTCACTACTGCTATTCATACTTTGATTTGCACTTCGTTTAATTTTATTTTTTCAGCTAAACTGTAAATTAGAATAGAAATTGTATAAAAAGCACACAAACATACTGACAGTTATAGGTACTGTGCATTGTTATGGGTCAATGATGCTAATTTTTTAGCACAAATCCATCAATTTCCCCTTTCTGGGTTTTTCTTTCTTAGAATGAATGGTAACACTTTACAATAAGGGTCATTAGTTAATGCATCTACTAACATGAACTAATCATGAACAACACTTGTACGGCATTTATTAATCATAATTGAACATTTACTAATGCATTATTAACATCCAAACTCATGCTTGATAACATTAGTTAATGCACCATGAGTTAACATGAACTAACATGAACAACTGCATTTTCATTAACTAATGTTTATTAACACGAACAAATACTGTAGTAAATGTATTGTTCATTGTTTGTTCTTGTTAGTAAATGCATTAAGTAACATTAACTAATGAACCTTATTGTAAAGTGTGACCAAATGAATTAAGTAGAAGCACTGTCCATGCGTGTTTCCTCATCAGTTAGTAATGCTATATTTCATTGCACAACAATAGTCTATCAGGCTTTTTGGCAAAAAAAAAAAAAAAAAGAGAAATCATATTTTAATTTGTTTTTATTAGATTGTTTTTAAATTTCACCTCTCATGCTGTGCATTAACCAAGCTGTTGAATGGTTAGGGTATAAGACGGCTGGGCAAACCTAGCTTCAATTTTGATGAAATTATTTTCTAATTGGTTGCATATTATGTTATGAATATACCTCTGTAATCTCACCTGTTTGCCAGGCTGAATTTACACTGCATGGCTCGAGTGACTCAATTCTGATTTTTTTTCTTCCATGTGGCACAGATCAGATATGGCCCATGTACATGTAAGCTGGAAAAAATCACATGGATTACAATTTACTCAAATCAGATTCAGGCCTTGTTCATATGTGTAAATTTATCCAATATGAATCCGATCCATGCCCTCTTCTTTGCAGTATAGGCAGGTAGATCGGACTTTTTTACCTGTCAATGCAAGTTGTGCATCATTAAAAACCATAGCGAACAGACTTCAGAGTCCCAAACCTTAAATCTCATACGCGAGGACTTAAAAAGCTTTTATATTGTCATGTAGAGAGAGAGACAGCGAAAGAGAGAGAGAGAGAGAGAGAGAGAGAGTGCAATATCCACCACGTAACCAATATAAACTAATATAAAACTGTTGCATACATCACGTGCATAAATAGCGCCATGGACTTGACATTATAATCCTTACTGGTTCAAAAAGGCCTAGATTAAAAGAAGATGGCCAAATGAGAACTTTTCTGTCGTAAACTATTGTAAAACAACTTGTCAAAAAATGGAACCTTTCAAACAGATTAAATACAGGAACAGAGAAAGGGTGCTCTTTTATTATCAGCGCCTGCTCTTTTTCTTTTCCTGGTCGTTGCATCTTTGCCGTGTGCTGTGTGAATGCAGACAATCAGATACGAGTCACTTTTAAAAGATGATGTACGCAGGTCAGCAAAAAAATCCGATGTAGTCACAAAATCGGAATTGACCGTCAAGATCTGCAGTGTAAATGCAGCCTAATTCTATCCATGAGAATGTCTAACACCAGCGCATACTTATTGTAATAGACGACGTGCCAGGCACGAGAGCTTGACAGGCGTAACAACAGTAACTAAGGAGGGCAGGGCTTAGCCAAGGGTCAATTGTGTGAAAAGTGTTTTGATAAAGTCAAAAAGACATAATTACGGTATTTCAGATGTCATGCAGTTATTTGCTTGTGACGTTCTTCAGAGATTTGCTGCTTCTAGTTGCTGTCCTCAAAACTTCCATTGCTGCTGCACGAATGGAAACGCATGGTGCTCATGGGATCTGACACATATCCTGCGGGAACAGCACGAAACACAGTGACTGACACTCAACTCCAACACAACCACCCACTTGTTGCACCATATGCTTAAAACACGAACGCGGTGCTCTCATCTTCGCAACTCAGTAAAAATCCTGTTAACCTCAGAGTGAATTTGCATGGATTATATCAACATGATTGTTGCCATATTCTCTGTAGATGAAAATGAAAAACAACATTGCCCCCCATTAAGCTGTTATATAAACAGATGAATCACACATTTGAGTTGGACACGAACCGTTTCTGTCGATGGGCGGGAACTGCATGTTCCTCCTCATCTCATCCAGAGACAAACCCTGCGAAGACCTCCGAGCAGAGCTGTCAAAAAAACAGAGAAGCTTGATTCAACAATGAGATTAGTATTGGTTTACACCGAAGACCACAGAACAAGCACGATTCTTCCTTGATATTAAACTTTAATGACCCTAAATAGGATACACTTCTGTTTCTTTGTTGATGTCATATCAGCTCAATGAGGCCTTGCGTGGTTCGCCTCGCTCAGATGATCATTGTTTTCTATTTAGTTATTCACAGTGGCACTTTAGCCTGATTTATTGCTCATTCCACTAAACTGCTAGCATTGCTAGATCTGGTTACATCATATTGCAAAGATTACGGCTGCAAAGTAGGACTCCCTTGTTGTAATTATCTGCTTGGCGGTTTTGTTGACCGTTGCCAGGTTTCCCAACAAACACATACACGCACGTTCATCACCACCCATAAAGAATTAAGGTGACCACCAGCAAAGGCTCTCAGAATGAATGTCATGCAAGTTTCATTGCATTGGCTTTCTTTTGTTTTCATGCCTTGTTTCCAAGCAACAGCCTTTCAGACTGTACAGAAGTGTTGCGGTTGGCCTGCATGGCACTGACCAAACAAAAGAGCAAGGTGACCTGACTCCTCCAATAATGCATGGCTATGGTGTGACGGGCCCTTTTTCAGGTCATATCTGCTTGCTAAATAATGTAGTTTTATGGGTGGGACTGGTTCCTTGGGAGTCTAATTCATGGACATTGTGTAGGTTTTATGTGTTTGTGTGTGTACTTTTGGGTCCAAAATGCGTAGGCGCGGGCGTTGAGGGCGTATTCCAACTCGAAACGTGAGCGGAGGGCAGCCACATGGCTTCGTCCAGGGCTGCCACGTGCTGCCAGGCAGTCAGTGGAGGATGAGGGTGAGAGAGAACCACTGCTATTACTGGAGGCTGGAGACATGAGCTGGACACACACACAAACACATATGAAATATGGGTAACACTTTACAATACGGTTCATTAGTTAATGCATTTACTAACATGAACTAATCATGAACAACACATGTGCAGCATTTATTAATCATAATTGAACATTTACTCATGCATTATTAACATCTGAGTCCATGCTTGTTGACATTAGTTAATGGACCGTGAGTTAACATGAACTAACAATGAACTACTGTATTTTCATTACCTAATGTTAACTAACATGAACAAATACCGTAGTAAATGTATTGTTCGTTGTTTGTTCATGTTAGTAAATGCATTAATTAACATTAACTGATGAACCTTATTGTAAAGTGTGACCGAAATTTGTACTGAACAAATAGATAATAATGTACAGTATGATGGATCTTTAAGTGATGTGGATGCTTAGTACCTCAACGTTACACAGGCATTCCTCGAGTTTGGCAACCACCTCTGAAAACTCAGGTCTTTCCTGTCACAGAGAGAAAAAAAAGGGTTTTCCACAAAAACGCTGAAGTGTAAAATTGTTGAATTTTTAAATTATAAGACATGATTTTGCAACTAAATTGTGATAAACCATGTCACACTGCAGACTGGAGTAATGGCTACTGCAAAATCAGGTTATAAATTGACACTAAAGGTAGCAAAATATATACATATATCTTATTTCATGGTCACTGCATAGTTCGATTTTAAGTTATCTAAACAGGAATAAAAGAGCTGTTTTTAAGCATAACTTACCTATATTCTGAATTCACAGTATAAAAACCTCCCAGTTATTAGCGTTAATCTGGCAACTGGTGGTAATTTACTTAACTATCTGACAAACTCTATTTAGCTGGCAATCTAAATCACCAGTCCAGCTCTGAACAGGGTAAAAATCTGTCTGAGCATTTTCTCAATGCCAGTTCTTGTACCCCACCACGCTTTACAATTTTTGTTTCTCTTTTTAATATAGACTTCCATTCATACGCACACAAATGCGTCTGACCGGAAACGCAAGCTCGTGCGACAAGTTTCAGAGTTCGCTGCATTGAAAAGTTCAAGCTTGGTAAACTCTGACCTGTGAAATTGCATCACATGACTGCGTGAGACCAATCGAAGATCAAAACATGAACTCTCTGTACAGAAATTTAAAGCATGGACCAATCGCTCGCTTTTTTAATGTCTAATCATCGTGTTTAATCCCGCCCCTTTTCGCAGCGCCGTACAGGCTAAAAATCTCTCTCGGCATACAGCAGCATGTTTCTCTTTTTGCCTCAGATGTTTGTTCTAATTCGACAACAAGTGCCCTGCAAAGTGAACCCCACAAGGGAGCATATAGGTTTTATTCAAATGACATTTCAGTGTGTGATACTTCAATTTATATTGTATTTATTTATGGAGGTATATTACGTGACACTTCACATTTCTCTAGCATGACACTAAAGGTGATGCTATTGTGTAAATAAATGAACAAACATTCCGAAGTCAAATAAAGGTTCCTCGTGCTCAGGTAGATAGGCAGGGGCTGATTAAGTGATTTGGGGGCCCTAAGCAGTTCCAAGTATCAGCTATTTCTAGCATTGAAACTCAATGCTCTCTTTCTCTATAGATTTTTTTTCTCTGTCAATTTTTTTATTTTTATTTTTTGTAAATAAACTGCATGTTAAAAATATATTTTAAGTGGAACCTTCATCTTCTTAAAGTAAAATTAAATTCAATATGTTCATAAATAAAATTTCATTAGCCATTTTTGTGATTAGATTTTACTATTTGCATGTGCTGCAGAGAAGGAATGCCCCACTATCCATGGGGGCCCTTGGTTTTAAAAAGAAGTAATAAAGTTAAAATCTTAATAGTTATAGACAGATTTTACAATATGATAGAACATTTTTAAAAGATCTATATGATTAATATAGGCTTCTTGGCATTGGTCGGGACCCCCTAATTTCCCAGGGACTGCTTATTGGTTAGGTCTACCCCTGTAGATAGGAGAAGGGAATAGGGAGCAATGCTCACAGTGTAGGGACATGTCAGTCAGAGCATAGTTCATGCATAAAGCTCTTCTAGTGAGCTGATTATCCAAATCAGGTGCATTAAATAAGAGAGACATGCAAAATATGCAGATCTGTGGGGCGTGAGAAGCAGGATTGTAAAATGCTGGCATAATTTATTAGTAAATATACATTTTTGGGTGAGCTATTCCTTTAAGCAGCACTTAAAAAAAAACAGTACAAGCTATTAGCATCCTGGCTCTTTTAAAGTGCTGCTCAGCAAAAGCTCTGTGCCCTAGAGGCTTGTGTCAAACTGCACTTGGTTGTAGGGCACATTCCTAACAAGCACACTTGACACAGTTTCAGCCACACCTGAGGGACCAGTGCTGAGAACATCGCAAAGACCATGAACATGAGAAAGCACCTGGCTCAGGTTTGTTGCAAAGACACACAGTAGGCTAGCAACTGGATGCTCATTAACAAAATTAGAAATACAAACTCGCCCTGAGCTCCAGAGATGAGGGATTCTGGGTAATCTGAAGGATTATAGATGAACTCGGCACAACAGATAGGTTGTTCAAGAATGAATTTAAGAAGCATACAATAGTTAAATTAATAAAATGTTATCCTTTCCATACGTTTTCCTTAATTTTAAACAAGATGCTGTGAATTTGATCATTTCAACAAACCTCTGCAAAAGCAACTAATATTATGTTTATAGTTTTTCATAATAGTAAATTCATAGTTTATTTCTTACTTTTTTAAATGGATTTAAAGTAAAATAAATATAAAATAGTTTCATATCTCTTAATAAATCACCTGCTTGTTCAAATTACTTATTTAAAATGAGCCGAAGAATCACAATTGTTGCGGTTAACTTAATCAGTGTTTGGACAACATGAATGAATTGAGTGAAAGCCTGGATTTTTTACAGTGTTGTATATGTGTTATATTTTCAGGTAGATGTGGCCCACTGACCTCTGGACAAACGTTCCAGCCCCTCATGAGCAGTGCTGAGATGGGTTTGGGGATTGAGTATCCAATCGGTGGACGAACATGATGATAGGCCATATCTGCAGCGGCTGCAGCTGTAAGCATTTCACACACGTGAGACATTTTTATTAAAACTTCATTAGAATTACATTAACATAACACTAGGATTGTTTTAAATGCTAAAATTTGAAGTATATAGTTCAACATTTAATCAGACATTTAGTTCATCTGTTCTTGAAGTCCTCTTGGTTGTTACACATAAAACTACAATTGAAACCTCAATTTAAAGGTAGGTATGTAACTTTTGGCCTTATAGTGGTTAATAAATATAACTGCTTGCATCTTGTGGAAGAATGTGTTTTGGTTTTCGTTTCAGCTCTGGAGATAAATGTGATTCGTTGCACAGATGTATAAAATTTAAAGAAGATAGATATCACTTCAGTGGGTAAGTCTTCTGCTTTTGAACTTTAAGTTGTCAGCTCTGAACCTCTGTGGATGAAACAACTGAAACAGTTTCCTAAAATGACTCATCTTACAAATAAAATCCTGCCCAGCACCATGGCATCCCATGATTAAATGACTTCTATATTTACTGTTATCATTCTGCATGGCTATCTATTGGCTAAATAAATGATCTTAATTGATGAGTTAGAGGAATTAATAGTCAATTATGGAAAGAATTGGATTGGAAAGTAAAAATTAGAAACTTTAACACTTCCTTTTGTAATTTCTACATATGTAAATGGACCATATGTTGCTTTGTGTTGGAGAAAATGTGGTAAAATAGGAGGTCATACACACATTTTTTAAAAAACTAAAGAGTTTTGGAAAAATGTTTAAAAATAGATAAGATATTAGATATAGAAATACCCCTCGATCCAGTTGTGTGATTATTGGGAGCACTGTCCAAAGAAATGTTGAATGAAGAAACAAGATTTATACTAAGGATATTATTACTGGTTGCAAAAAATATATATAACAGTACAGGGGATGGATGAAGGTTTTCCAAAGGTGGCTCAATGGGTTCAGAGACTTAAACAGGTCTACGTAATGGAAAAATGACTGCATGTCTACTAATGAAGATTGATACTTGGGGGAGTTACATAGGATACCATTAAAAAAAACCTTTTCACCAGTGTTGGGTGTAATTAACAAACTAGTCCTGTAATCTAAGTAAGGGATTACCTTTTTAATTACAGTTACTTATAATTTACAGTTTATGTCAGAACTATTAAACCCCCTAAATTATCAGGCCCCTCCCCACCTGTTTATTTTTCCCCCAATTTCTATTTAACAGAGAGATTTTTTTCAACAAATTTCTAAACATTTGTTTTAATAACGCATTTCTAATAACGGATTTATTTTATCTTCGTCCTGATGATAGAAAATAATATTTGACTAGATATTTTTCAAGACACTTCTATACAGCTTAAAGTGACATTTAAAGGCTTAACTAGGTTAATTAGGTTAACTAGGCAGGTTAGGGTAATTAGGCAAGTTATTGTATAATGATGGTTTGTTATGTAGAGTATCTGAAAAATAATTAGCTTGAAGTCGCTAATAATTTTAACTTTAAAATGGTTTTTAAAAATTAAAAAATGCATTTGTTCATTCATTCATTTTTCTTTTCGGCTTAGTCCCTTTATTTATCCAGGGTCGCCACAGCGGAATGAACCGCCAACTTATCCAGCACGTTATTATGCAGCGGATACCCTTAAATGCTTAAGAAACAATGAATTTAGTAAAAAAAATGAATGACTATATGTGTTAAGCATGAAAAATGGGCTCATTACATTGAAACTTTCATGTTCTGATACATAAAGATATATTGTTTAACATTTTCTTTTACAATTACAGCCCTGCTTGACTCACGTTTAAAGAATAACAAGAGTTCTAATGTCTTTGCTTAAAAAATTACAGCAATTTTAAGCAGTATTGAGTCAAGTAACAGAACTCTTTATTGAGATTCAACGTTACTGTCCAGTCAAAGTAATTAGAAAATCTCAATGATGTAATTAGTAATCCATGATAAATTACGTTTTTGAAATAACTTACCCAACACTTCCTGTAACTTAATGTAAATGTAATCATGGTCATCATTAGCAAGCACAAAATAGAGTAAAAGTGTTGAGTGCCTGGTTTGAGGTGTGCGAAGGGAATCTCCCCCGTGAGCAGCTCCCACAGGCAGAGGGCGTAGCTGAACATGTCCGCTTTCACCGTGTAGCGCGTGCATTGGGTAAACACCTCTGGGGCCATCCAGCGCAAGTTCTGCACAGCATCAGCGGAGGAAAATGATGAACACGAAACAATGTGTGACTTACAAAACTCTTGCTCACCCCCAAAGGAAATGCAAGCGTATTAAACCCCCAAAGATATGTTGACGTACTTAATGTGACGTACAAGAGAGGCAAATCTGCAATGTAAGCAGTATTAAAATTGCCTACATGTGCTGAAGGATTTGTGAGTGGCTATTAAAATGTATGATAATTAATAAACAGGGTTAACTAGAACACAGAATGGCTGTACCCCAGGCTGTTTAGTCATATTGTCCTCATCCACAGACAACAGGAAGCGGGACTCTGCAGAGCAATACAGAAACATGTGCGTTACATAAACAGCAGTGGATTTTAAAAGTGGATTTGTTTCATTACAAATTATATTTTACAAATTTGAGTGATAGTATTTGGGTTGTGTCAAAACTCAAAGTCCTGTCACTATTATGACATTTATATTTAGCTATTTTGCAGACGCTTTTGTCCAAAGCGATTACAATTAAGGAGGTATTTAGCGATTCTACAAGACAAGGCAATACACACAAGAAGTGCTAATTATACAAAGGAACTGTTAGTGTTCAGAGAATTAAGTACTAGAGTTAAGAGTTTTGATTTGTTTTTTTTTGCCCTTATTTCATGAGGGCGTCACTTCAAAACACGAAAGCAAACCCGGAAGTATAGCATTAGCACTCTAAACATTGCAAGAACATGCTGTGGACTATAAACCTTCAGCTGTTGCTGTGATTTCAAAATGCAGATATGGTGTAAACGATTGTGATTGGCCGTGAAGGTCATCAGTTCACCGTTCTTCACTGAGTGCAAACGAACACTGGAGCGTTTTAAAGATGAAAAGATCAGTTGATTCTTAAGCGGATCGATCGTCTGTGTTTGCATTCGGTAAACATCGGTGAAGTGCAGTGAACTGATGACCTCCAAGGCCAATTACAGTCATTTTTGGCAGGATGGCAAATCAACGGTAGCGTTCAACATTGCTTAAATGTTAGCGGGAAATTGGCAGTTTTTATAAATTTCAGTATTGAAATTAAGTATCATGACAGGTCTAATATAGTGCAAGATTCAGTTCATTAACTTGAGTTTGATGAATGGCATCTAAAACGTGTGTTTGGGAAAGAAAACGTTTGCTATCTAGTGTCATTTCCTTTAACTTAGCTAAAAAATGAGGTCTGATATCTGTTTTTATTTTCACTTTCCATTCAGAACAGACCTTTGGGTCACTTAGAAGACGGTGAAATTATAAATTTGCGTCTATTTCTCTTCGCTGACTGGGGCAATGGAGTGGCTTTACAACTCGGTGAATGTTCTTGAGTGGCCCAGCCATAGCCCAGACCTAAATGCTATTGAACATCTCTTCTGGAGAGATCAGAAAATGGCTGTACACCGTCGCCTCCCCTCCAACCTGATAGAGCTTGAGAGGTATTGCAAAGAGGAATGGACAAAAAATTCCAAAGACAGGCGTTCCAAGTTTATGGCATCATATTTAAAAAGACTTGAGGCTGCAAAAGGTGCATCAACAAAGTACTGTGCAAACGCTTGAATACTTACGTACACTTATGAATATTTATGAATACTTTCCGGAGGCACTGTATATGCACATTATCTAGTGTCAGTTTTTCAGTCCAATCAAGTTTTATGCGAGTATAAGAATTTTTATTTTATTTCATTCAGATCAAATGAACCATGCTGAGAACTATTTACATGAAGGCTATTCAGCCCGATTAAGCTGTCAGTCCAATTATTTGGTTAAATGTATGTTTAATCAAAACTAATTCAACTAAACAAAACACAAAAGAAAACGGCCTGTAGGCTTGATTTAGGCGTAACGTTAAGTGTGTGGCTTCCCTTACCTCCAAAGTCAGCTACCACAGCATGTCCATCCTCATAGAGCAGAATATTATGACTGAAAAAAGAAATAAGGTTAAACAAAGAGCTCAAAATAAAACTGGCAAAATCTTTTTTCATCATTGCTTTAAGCTTTGAGTGAAATGTACTAATTTTCATGTGATAGGATGGTTTTAACAAATGGACCGAGATTATTGAACAAACCATGTGATAATGGTGGTGATGATGATGATGGTGAATTACCTGTTCAGATCTCTGTGAATGATTGGCTGGGTCAGATTGTGCAGATACTCCATGCCCTTGGCCACATCAATGGCAATGATGAGCTTGGACTGCAGATCAATGATTCTAAGTGTAAAGACATCATTAAGTGAACACCTCCTCCCCTCTACTGATCGATACACGAAACCAACTCAAACAGATCAATGTGATGATCTTCATCTTGAACTGCATATGGAGCACTGAGGAAATAATACATTTGGTTGCAATGATGCAGGTCTTAATATAGAAATAGATTCTGGATTGCTTCGAATTGAATACTTTATGAACACATTCCAGTCAACCTTTTTTTTTTTAAAATGAGCTCTTTTGAACCCTAACTTTAAGATCCACCAAAGTTGCTGTTACTATGGTAATAGCAATTGCACCACTGACCACCCACTTCCATAAACTTTATGATTTATGTAATTGAATCTCCACACACTCCCAGTCAGCCAGACCTGCATACACATACATAATGTTTGTTACAAATAAAAAAATTCTCATTTTCTCTGCATTTACTGGATTAATATGTGATGTGATTGAGTATAGTTTTTTTATTCTATACATTTCTGATAGCACTTCTTCCAATTTTCACAAAATGTTTTAGAGTATAGCATAATAAAATCATTAACAGGCTTTTTTTTTCAGAATTTTTTTCAATTGTTCTAAATGAAAATAAGTGTTATTCAACATTTGAAATTAAAACATTTGCATCACATTGTCTAAAACTGCATATACACATCTGAAACATGACACTTTTTTATTTTATGCAAAGAAATGATTAAAATAATTTTTCCTTTGAGTTAAGAATGTGATCAGTTTTTAAATTAAAATTATTAACTATAAATCATAGCCATTACTTTTACATTACATTACATTACTTTTAGTGTCAAGATGCTTCTGATGTGATTCTGATTTGTACTAGTGAAGCATTTCTTATTATTAGCAATGTTGAAAGCAGCTGCTTAACAATTTAGTGGTAAATAATCTGTTTATCATGATAGTTTGATCAATATGAAGTCAAATAAAAGTTTTTTGTAACAAATAATAGTATTAATGTGTTTTAATACATTCATTGTAATAATACTCTTGAAATGACCTCTTTTGTTCGTGCAGTAGCGAGAACAGGGATCCTCCAGAAACGTATTGGGTTACGATGGCAAACTGACTGGGGTCGTCCAGACACGCTCCCACAAACTGGATAACGCAGGGATGGTTGAGGCGACACAGGATAGACACTTCTCGACAGAACATATCCGTGTCAGACTTTGAGCAATATGTGTTTGGTCGGTACCTGTGGAAAGGTATGAAGGTAATGCAGTTCACTTTATATACATGATGTGGACAAAACAAGTTAAAAGAAACTCTTACCGCTTAATTGCTACTATCTTATTGCGACATTTTCCTTTGTAGACCTTTCCGAAGGAGCCTGTATGAATGCAGTTGTTTTAGTGGATTAAGGTTTAATGTGTGTTGTTATTTGATATTTAAGGCAAGACACTACAGACCAAAAACTATTTTTAAAAAGTCTGTCGATTGTTGTGATTTCCATGATATATTTTTAGTCTAATGTAAAGAAAATAAGTTATTGTCACAGTTTATCAATTTATGCTTGTAGGTTCATTTACAACTTAAGGCCATTTTCTCAAGATTAGTCTTTCTTCTGCATCCTTTCTTAAATTTCTACTTATTTTTTGACTGTTCACAGTAAAAAAAACAAAGAGTAAAAAACAGAAATTCCCAGAATGAAACATTTGACTGTAAAGGCCTGTTCATACCTTGTAGGATAACTATAAAAAAAAAAAAAAAATCCTTCTGACAGTGAACTACACTCTCAGAAATAAAGGTACGCAAGCTGTCACTAGGGTGGTACCTTTTCAAAATGTACACAATTGTACCTACAAGTTCCATATTAATACCTCAAGGGTACATATTAGTACCTAAAAAGTACCAATATGGACCCTTTAAGTACAAATGTGTGTACCTTTTGAAAAGGTACCAAACCAGTGAAACATTGCATAGCTTTATTTTAGAGAGTGTATAAAGATAAAGATGTAGAAAAACTGTATGGTTGGGACTTGGGATTACTTTAATAACAATATATTTTTTAGCTGATGAATAATGACAAAGCACTGACAGCCAGTCAGAATACATTGAAATTTAAAGGGCTCAGCAATTTAAAGCTACAGACAACATTGTGCAGAAGCACTCCAGGATGTTAAACCCTCTTTTCAAAGATTATTTCAATGTAATTATTATCTAGAAAAGAATTAGTTATACCATTGGAAAGAATGATATAAAATACATGGAAGATAAAGACTAGCAAATACCTCAGGAATCCATGAATTTCCTCCTTTTAAAATGCTGGGGAAAATAGTTTGTGCTGTTTTTATTCCATTACACATGACAAAGATTGCTAAATTTCATTGATTTGATTAATACCTTTTTTTAATATTATTTTTGGGGGGTTTACACCTTTAATTGACAGGACAGTAGAGATTATTGACAGGAAAGCATGGGGAACAGAGAGAGGGAAAAGATCAGCATAGGACTGCGAGGTGGGAATCGAACTTGGGTTGCCGCGAGTGCATGTGTCGACGAACTAACCACTACACCACTGGCATCAACTGATTAATACCTTTTTAAATGAAGATTACACAAGTTGGTTTCACTGGTCAGATGCACCAGTAGTACACTACTGGTTACAAGAAGTAATCCATAAACTAAAAATAAACTGACTTTTATCGTTCATTAAAATGGTATGAATGGCCTTTAACACTTTTATGAAATGAGAAACAAAAACATTTGAACCAGAACTCAGTTTTTAGATTTTTGTGCTAGGAATGTATGCAAATTAGCCTCGTTTGCATATTTAAACATAACATTTCAGAAACCTTTTCACACTAAAAATAAGTACACTTCATGTAATCAATCAACTAGAGAAGGTGATAACTATTAGTTTTTTAACTCAGTGTCTTGCCTTAAGTGATTCACTGTACCTGATCCAATAATCTCATTAAACTCCAGTTCAGAGAGTTGAAGATGGAAGTTTGACGGAAGACTTGCTCTCAGGAGAAGCACATCTGCCTTCTCTGAGGAGAAAAGAGGAGTTAGCTTGCTTTTATGTCTTCACATCAATCATCATTTGAAGCTCTAATCGTGTCTGATTTAGCTCATGTTGTTGACATATGCCTTTATGAGTCATGAAAGATGCCTTCGTTTATGTGTAATACAAACTAAAAGCTTGAACTGCAGCAATTACGCAGTGGGAGGATGTTTGGACACAGTTTCTGACTCACTGACTCTGAAGATACCCTACGACTGTGGGTAGCGGGAGTTCAGAAACATAAATGAGTCTCATAGCAACAGTAAATCAGTGAGTCGGGTCTAACTGCATGTTTTACCTTTAGTCATACTTTTGATCTTTCCCAGGGGAGAGGGGACAGAAACATAAGATCCGTCTGCAAAAGACAAGTTAAAACTAAGTATAATCATTTTTTTTCCTTCTGTACTCATCCTAAAATTCACAACAGCATCAGATAAGTTCATATATGTAATTCACAGTATGAATCTCTCAGACCACATGTGGAACGAGTCTCATACCCCCTCCTGGTTGAGAATACTCATTGCAGGGTGAATCATCCTGAGGTCGTTTGTAGTGTTTTAGCAGAGTAACAATGGCATCGTGGCCTGAAATAAACATGCACACGTTGATCAAAACACTAAGTCACTTAAAAACAAAAGAAAACTAAGTCTTTTTCAGGTACATTTAGTGTTAAAAGAACAGTCCAACCACAAATGAAAGTTCTGTCATTATTTACTCACCCGTCACTTGTTTAAAACCTATTTGAGTTTCATTCATCTGTTGAACAGAAAAGAAGATATTTTGAAAAATGCTGGTTTAAGGGACCCATTGAATTCCATAGTATTTTTTTCTGCTAAGTCGATGGGCCACAGCAACCAGCATTCTTCAAAATATCTTCTTTTGTGTTCAACAGAAGAAAGAAATGCATAAAGGTAAAAAAACACGCAAGGAAGAGTAAATTATGAGGTAATTTTAATTTTTGAGTAAACTGTCCCTTTAAATGTTGTCTAGAATTGATGATTTGCACATTATTATAAAAAAAATGGATGGATGAACAGACAGACAGACTGAAAGATATTCTATATTTACCTTTCTCATAGGCCCACATTAAGCAAGTCTGTTCGTCCTTTTCCCCACTGGATCGGCTGGGGTCACAAGCCACCAGATTCATGTCTCCTCCATTGTCCAGAAGAAACTGAACTAGCCGGATGTGGCCATGGAAACAGGCACTATGCAGACCTGTTATTTCAATATAATTTACAACACATAATCTTAAAGCAGTGAGGTGTCAAGAGAGGTGTTAAGAGCAGAAACATTTTCCAGTTGTCAAAATGAAAGTTTATCCCAAGCTAATAATTCTGTCATCCCTCACTTGTTCAAAACCTGTTTGAGTTTTTTTTTTTCTGTTGAACAGATATTTTGAAAAATGTTGGCATACATATGACATACATAGTATTTGTTATTCTGGCTATGAAAGAAAATGGTTACAGGTTTCTAACTTTTTTTAAAATATTTTCTTTTGTGTTCAAGGAATCTCAAAAAGGTTTTGATCCACTTGAGGGTGAGCAATACTGAGAAAATTGTCATTTCTGGGTGAACTATCCCTTTAAGCATAAATTACTGCTGTCATACTACCTGTGTGTCCATCTCGACCCTGATGGTTGATGCTCATCGCATTCTGACCGAGCAGATACTTCACCATTTCCAGGTTCTTGCCGAAGGTGCAGGCACTACAGTAAACAATTAACCCTCACTTAGTGTGTAACAATATCAGCAGATATCGTATCCCATCAGTGGTGGAAAGAGTACTAAAAAATCATACTCGAGTAAAAGTACCATTACTTGCATAAAAATGTAGTGCAAGTAGGGTAAAAAAAGTATCTGTTTTAAATATTACTCAAAATATGAGTAAAAAGTAGCTCTTTCGAAAAAAACTCAAGAGTAGTATTAAGCTGTTAAAAGCTGATGCGTTTACATGTAATATGTGCATGTGTGTGTAAACGTAACATTCTGTAGTGAATTTAGTTATTGCCCAGCAGGCACACAACATCATAATGCGTTAATAGTAGGTTAGATTTAGGTTGTGATGTCAGGTGACCAAAATTGAATGGCTAGCTAGCGTCTAAGGATAACATTATTTTGATGTTCAATAATGACGTCAAATGACGTTGATATTTGGTTGATTTTAGGTTGTGTTTGAAACTGAACAAAATCTAAGTGTTGAGCCAACATCTTAAACCAGTTTTAATGCTTCCAAACAATTTGCTGCATTTATAAATCGCCCATGTCTTGAGGTAGTTCATTATGATGCGATTTACCTTCTATGTGCGATTTGATTGGACGGGAATCACCGGACTGATTTTTCTAATCCCCATAGACCATAAAAAATAAAGTAGTGACTGCAGGTTGAAGGAAAGTAGTGGAGTAAAAGTACCAATACAGCACTAAAAATGTACTCAAGAGAAAGTAAAAGTACATGTTTTTAGCTACTACTTAGCTAAAACGACTTAGTAAATGACAGTTTTTGAGAAAAACGACTCAATTACAGTAGTTTGAGTATTTGTAATTAGTTACTTTATACTACTGTATCCCATAAAATGCATAAAGCAAAAGTCTTTTTAAGATATTGGTGACAAATTATTATTTTTGTTTGATCTGATTTACATAAATATTTAGACAATCTTTTCATTTATGTACTTCTCTGACATTATGTATATAGTTCTTCCCTTTTATACTTATATCTGTATGTATGTATGTATTTGTGTTTGCATATATTACAGCAAGAAGTTCACTGCTCCGAGTTTTGGCTGGGTCAGTTGTTATTTTGGTGTGGAGTTTGCATGTTCTCCCTATGTTGGCGTGGTTTTCCTCTGGGTGCTCCGGTTTTCCCCACAGTCCAAAGACATGCGCTATAGGTGAATTGCGGGTAAACAAAACTGTCCATAGTGCGTGAGTGTGTATGTGAGAGTGTATGGGTGTTTCCCAGTACTGGGTTGCAGCTGGACGGGCATCCACTGCATAAAACAAATGCTGGAATAGGTTCATTCATGCAGTAAATAAGGGACTAAACTGAAGGAAAATGATTGAATGAATGTTATCAACCATGCTATACAAACAAAACTAAATTAATGTTGAAGAATACTGTTATTACCATCGCTGACAACCAAGTTTACTAAAAAAAAGTTTAATAAAAAACTAAAATAGGATTGTGTCTGAAAGTTTGAAGGCAAAAAATGTATCTAGGGATGTCCAAATTCAAATTCTGCTACACTTACTGTCTCGGGAGATACCTTCTTCTGATCGAAACATAGCATCTCATAGCACTGTATCATTCATTCATTCATTCTATAGGAGCCATATTACTTTTCATTTAATTATAATGTTTATTTGTATACTGATTGGTTTGGGTTTCACAGTGACGTTTTATGTTTTGGTCACGTGGGCATAATTGGCACCTGCTCGAACATAAAGCGCGTGCACAATCACACAGGTGAGGAGGAGAGAAGGAGAGTGGGGTAGCCGTATTTTTTGTTGACCGCAAACAGCCACGCAAACAGCAACGCAAACAGCAGCGCAAACCAAGCAACGCAAAACTGTATCATAACGGCACACGCAACAATCATCACACCAACGCAATAATCGGCACCATACAAAACAGGTATTCAAAGACACAAATTGCTGTATTGTTTTTTTTTCATGCTTCAAGTTACATAAAGTTTTCCATATAACATCTTGGGCTCAGTGTCTCTGTCTAAAGCCACCAGCGCGTCACAAATATAAAGGACCCTCACTGCCTCTCGAGCGACTTATAGGAGGCATCAGGAAGTCGCAATACATTCATTCATTCATTCATTCATTCATTCATTCATTTTCTTTTCGGCTTAGTCCCTTTAACAATCGTCACAGCGGAATGAACCGCCAACTTATCCAGCACATGTTTTACACAGCGAATGCCCTTCCAGCTGCAACCCATCTCTGGGAAACATCCATACACACTCATTCACTATCATACACTACGAACAATTCAGCCTATTCAATTCAACTGTACCACATAGCTTTAGACTGTGGGGGAAACCAAAGCACCCGAAGGAAATGCGGGGAGAATATGCAAACTCCACACAGAAAAAGCACTGTATCATTTTGCGTGTAAATGTATGTTTTTGACTTTTTTTTTCCAAGTTTGATGACATTTCAAGCAAGAACCTAATATTGTAGTAAACAAATTTTCCTTTAGTTATCACCACAGATCTCTCTATCTTTTGTTGTATATGATTAAATCGTTATGCTGTCCCAAGTTCGTCTGAAATCAGTTTAATGTAGTGCCCTTGCGCACAAACACTACCTTAAGCATTACTGCCTGTGAAAAGCAAGTAAGCAGCCTAACTTTTTTTACAAATTTAAATGTAAACTGTACCTGTGAAACGCAGTCTCACTGAAGATGTTCTCCTTAGACAGACTCTCCGTCCCAGACAACTGGATAATCTCTTTCACCGCTTCAAACTTTCCATTGTAACATGCTCTGAAAGAGAAAAATAAAGACTAAAATCATTATGACAGACTTAAATCATCATCACTTTTACTGTGGTCAGGTGATTTAGTGGTTTGTTGATGTTGTGTGCTTTTTCTCAGGTGAACTCACAGATGGAGAGGTGTATCTCCGTAGATGTTGACACAGTGCGGCTGAACGTCAAAACTGCCCTGAAGAAGAAAACGGACCACCTCTTGGTGTCCAAAACGAGCACAGAAATGAAGGGGAACATGATCCTCGTTGTCCTGAGCGTTGACTGTTTGGAGTCGAGGTAAACTTTTGAGTCAATCAATTTTAGACTGATTCAATGTCAATAACAAGGGTGAGTTAATTAAATTCAGTTGATCTATATGCAACATAGAATGCAATAGTGATATTATTCAGCACATTGCAAGCATTAAAAGGATAGTTTACCCAAAAATGTAATGTTCGAGTTAACTAATAACATAGAGTTCACTAATGCTAAACACACAGCATGATAATTTAAAGAATGTTGGGGCAAAAAGCAGCCATTGACGTTTACATTGACGGCTGTTTTCCCAATATTCGTCAACCAGTCTTCCTTTGTGTTTGATAAAAGAAATAAACTCAAACAGGTTTGTAATAAGTGGAGGATGAGTAAATGATAACGGAATTTAAATTTTTGGGTGAAATACCCCAATAAGCTCTCTCACCGTCAGTTTTGCTACCGTCGTCCATCAGCAGTTTGACAATCCCCAGAAAACCTTTAGCTGCCGCCAGGTGAAGCGGCCTGTCCCCCACCTCTCCACTAGCATTAACATCAGCCCCAAATTTCATAAGAAGCTTGCAGACCTGTTCCACAAGGAACAAAAAAATGATGAGCAAGCTGTTAGATGCTGAACATTGATGTTGTGAAGTAAATACTGACCTGCTCGTGGCCAAAGTAAGCTGCAATATGCAGAGGCGTGAAGAACACTGCATCTTGAACATTGACATATGCACCGTGTTGTAAAAGAATATCAACGACCTAGAGGACAAGTTGGAAACACATTTTGGTCACACTTTATTTTAATGGTCTGTTTGTTGAATTCAGTTACATTGCATCTACATGCCAACTACTACTCATTAGATCAGTGGTTCTCAAACTGTGGTACGTGTACCACTAGTAGTACGCAGGCTTCATTCAAGTGGTACAAGGAGCAATCGCTGAATAATTAAAGTAAAAAAAAAAATTAACGCACTTTTACCCCTTTGATGCGTACGAAAACACAGATGTGATAAATTGATTTTATTAGGCTAAACTTTTTATTTTATTTTAAATTTTCTAATGTTTGTTATGTATTTATAATTTTAAGCTAGTTTCCTCTCCATATTTGTATCGGTTGTTGGGGACGTATCCTGTATTTTTATATCCCAATGTTGACAGGTATGGTTTTAATCTTGCTTTTCTGACAGACATAGCCTAATCTAACGTGCAGTAAGCAGATCTAAATTCTAATTTAAGTATGTAAACCTAATTCATATATTTAAAATACCAGTTAATGTTTAGATTTCAAAGATATATGTTGCATGTATATATGAATTATTTGTATATTTAAAAATGTACCAAAAAGATATACATGAATATGATGACATATAACATATATTTACGCGGTTTAAGGAACATTTCCAGGTTTTGATGAATAGGCTGCTATTTGATAATACTAATTTACATTTAAGTACAGCAGTTTTCTTTTTACTTTTGAGAGAACAGTGCCATTTTTAATTATCTATTAAAAGCATATTTTAGTTTAAACGTTGACGTTTTATTTATTTTTCTTACCTGTAAGCACAGTAGGCCTACAGTGTTAATGTTTAAACTATTATTAATGTTTAAAGTGGCTAATAATAATAATTAATCCTAATAAGAAGAATTACAGAGCTGTAGCTGCATAATTAGGCCTACTATGCTACTGTACTTCAATACTGGTCATTATGGTGGTACTTGGAGAGACAGTTTTTTTGAGGTGGTACTTGGTGAAGAACTACTGCATTAGATTATAAATAGTCTATTAGGTTGGGGTTAGGGCTAGTGTAAGTTGACATGTACTTGCAAAGTTTCTTAAAGTCAGTTAAATGTCTGTTGAAGGAGCAGTATAAACATATTAAGCAGACAGTCTACTAATACTCAAATCGACCATCAAAATAAAGTGTTACCCATATTTTGACATTGTCTTTTCAGTGCAATATTTTGATGAAAAAAACTAACAAAGACAGTAAAAATTATTTTGGCATTCATCCACCTTAGTCCACCATCCGCAAACTGTTGTTGTTACTGGACATTTAATACTTCATTGCACAGATTATTCAGCATATTAAAGGGGTATTGATGTGTAAACATGGGATTCGTAAAGGGTTCATATTCTGTTTTTTTTTTTTTTTTTTTACCAAACCCAACATAAAGCTATAGATCCCCTAAAAGTATCTGTGAAGCTTCAGCTCAAAACACCTCACAGGTCATTTATTGTACAGGCTCTCTTTTTGGATGAAACAAAAAACATGCAATTTTTGTGTGCCTTTTCAAATGCTAGTGAGCTGCTTCTCCCCGCCTCCTCAGGTACTCTTACAAAAACAAAACCTCACATGTTTTAAAGCCTTTTCAGTTTAAACTCCCGAAATGCTTTTTATTGAATAAACTTACACAAAGAGAACACACAGAAAGCCAGCTGTCAGACAGTGTGTTGCAGTTGTTTATTGCAATTACTCTGTGCGGATACTGAATTGAGTTGAGGGTATATCTCAGTATTTGCTGTCAATGAAAGCGCTGCATTTTTAAGAGTGACAACAGCATGACTGAGTGGTCAGTGATTTAAAAAAGTTAAAGAAGCGCTCACAGCTGAGAGTTTTTGGAAGTGCGCTGCCGTTTTCGCAAGCCACAAGTGACAAATACACAGAGCATCCTTTCGAAATCAAAGAAAACAAAATGATAATTATGTCTGTGAAGCTTCGGGGTTTAATTTTGATTTATTGTGATGTGTAAATTTAAAAAAATAAAAAATACACACGCAGCTGAGGCATTAGAGGTAGTTTACAAACAATACATAAATCCTGATAAAGAAGCGAACACCATTTAAGGTGGATTTGTAAATCCGAAGGCCTTTTTCATGCTTTAACACCAACATTAAGCGCTAGAGCAAGCATAGAGCAAATCTACATTTCTGGTTAAAACACTAAAGTTTGATTTCAGGTGGTCCAGCACTCACCTCAAGATGGGAGGCCACAGTTGCTATATGTAGGGCAGTGAGGGCTCCGTAGCCTACCTGCTGAATGTCTGCTCCACCATGCAGCAGCGCCGTGACCAATTCTGCATTATCCTGCATAAAAGGAAGAAATATCACATCTTAAATCTTGTTTATCCTAGTATGTAGAGTTTGCCATATTGTGCAAAAGAAAAATCATCCCAGCATCCCAAATGAACCTTGAATGCTGCCAGGTGCAGGGCAGTATATCCATTGCGGGTGAGTCTGGATGGACGCAAACCTTTCAGCATGAGGGTCCTGATGTGAGCTTTATTCCCTGGTAGCAGAAAGTGACCGTGTTGATTATGCATGACCAGTAATTAGAGTATTAGTAGATGGTCTGTTAATATCTGCAAAGTCCTCCAAAAACTATAACATAACAAATGCACAATATTGTTTTGTTTACTTTTCAGGGTTGCACTATTTAAAAGAAGGATTGTTTTCTGTATATCAGCTGGGAGAAAAATCGTTTTAAAAGAGATTCTAACAATATCAAATGATGAATCATGCATCATGTTTTCAAAACAAACATATTGCATCATAACAGATAACTCTTTACCTCCACATATGCAGCAGAGATGAAGCAGGGAAAGTCCACCCTCTGTGCGATAATTCAAGTTCACTTTATTGAATGCTTCATCTGAGCTATATCGATGACAAAATACACTTACATAAAAACTTAAGGTCACTCTTTACAATAAGGTTTCTTTAGTTCATGTATTTACCAACATTCACTAGTTATCAACAATACTTGTACAGAATTTATAAATCATAGTTCATCATTTACTTATGCATTATTAACATCCAAATTCATGCTTGTTAGCATTAGTTAATGCACTGTTAGTTAAGACCAACTAACAATAGATCCCTGTGCTAAAAGTTCAATTACGTGTTAATCTGCAATTTTCTTCTGATAACTTACGGACCATCTGGTCTCCAGACATTGGAACTGACATTAACGAGGAGACATGAAAAGTGGTCTTGAACGGGGTTAATTCTTCCTCAATCTCTGCATGTCACAGGCTCATACAATGCAAGGTAGTACATAGAGCTCACTGGTCCAAGAACAGGCTAGCTCGCATCAAATTGTCTATTGACCCGAGTGCGACAGATGTCAATCTGGGCCAGCTACTCTAATGTCCTTCCCTGCTTTGTTTTTGGAGGCAATTTTTCTTCTCGTTGTCTGCTAATACCCCTGTTGATAATCCACCTTGTCCAATTATCGGTTTATTTGGGGTTCTCCCACGCGGCCACACTTTACCCTCTCATTTTGTAGACTTCGTAGCCTTTTTAACCATTCTGGCTAGGCGATTCATTCTTCTGAACTGTAAGCGCCCTTACCCCCTTCTCACGCTTGTTGGATAAGTAATGTTCTTTATTTTATGAAATTTGAGAAAATTAGGGACTCTGTTCACTGACGTAGCACTATTTTATTAAATTGTGGGAACCCCTTCGCAAACATGTCCAAACTCTTCAGCTTGACCCTGCTCCTTCTGATTGAGTCCCCACCACCTACTCACAGCTTGGGACTGGATACTAGTTCTGGTCAGCACATTGTAGACCTGTCTTTTCTGTATATAATACTACAGTAGTGTTTTTATTTATTTATTTATTTATTTATTTATTTATTTATTTATTTATTTATTTATTTATTTATTTGTTTGTTTATTAATTTATTTTTGCTCAAAATACTCTCCATTGTATTTGCTTATTGTTACATGTTTATGATGTTTTTAATGTAATGTGTTTTACAATGTATAAAGACACAAAAAAGATGAACTAACAATGAACAACTGTATTTTTATTAACTTACGTTAAACATGAACATATACTGTAATAAATGTACTGGTCATTGTTTGGTCATATTAGTAAATGCATGAACAAATACAACCTTATCGTAAAGTGTTATCAAACTTTAGTATTAATACATCTTTACATTCACTCAGTCCTTGTGGCTGTGTTATAATAGATGTGTCAATTATTTACACTTTAAATAGTACACTATAAGGGAGGCTATAATAAAGCCTCGAGTCTCACCTGAAAACATGCTTGAGTTCCTTAAACTCCTCCTCTTTAATTCTCAAGTCCTCCTCTAACCTCTCAATAATAACAGCATATGACTCACTCACTTTCTTTTTCCACTCATCTACACCAAAACAAGACCACAACAACAGTACATGAGCAGAATTAACACACTGTGCAATTATTATTACTCACTTGCAAGAGGATAGAACACCAGAATATTGATAGTCCAAATCTACTGCGTTCATAATTATCATAAAGGAACTAATCAAGCAGTCAATTAAAGAAGCTTAATGTTTACCTGTACATGTCTGAGTAGGTCTTGATTTGTAATTCCCCATTGGACTGGTTGGTTTGAACTTTGGTGCGTGGTTAGCTTGAGGAAAAGTCTCATGCAGTGGTACTGTAACACAACTCCTTGGCACAATAGAGAAGAGCCTGACAAGGGATCACGACGCCTACTAAAAATATCCTAGCTCCAGTGTGGAATGCCTGACAACAATGGCAGCTGACCTCTCGGAAGATCTGTACCTCTTACTGAGCGAAGCCATGGCTGATTCCTCTCTATAGATAACAGCTGCATCATCAGACTCCTCTAGATTTCTCTAGCTTTCCCTTTCTGAACAAGAATAGATCTGGGGGGAACAAATAGATGATATTCTGTACTGTAAAGTTATGAGGTCACTCTATAAATAGCCATTAGTTGACTTTACTTTAAAAAGTGAGTATACCCATCTGCATAGCTATAAAACATAAGTTAACAAGGCTTTATTTGATTTTTAAGTAAAGTAACTAATTGCCTTTTACTTTGCAGGAATTTGTTCATTGTTACCTGCTTTTCTGGGGCCAGGATGTGGGGGCAGCAGTTTTAGGAGAGAACCCCAGACTTCCCTCTCCTCAGACACTTCCTTCAGCTCCTGTGAGGGAATCCTGAGGCATTCCCATGCAGGCCAGATCATCCCTGAGGCCTCCTCCTGGTGGGGCATGCCTGGAACACTTCCTTAGGTAGACATCCAGGAGGCATCCGAAACAGATGCCCGAGCCACCTCAGCTGACTTCTCTTGATGTGGAGGAGCAGTGGCTCCACTCCGAGCTCCTCCCGGGTGATAGAGCTCCTCACCCTACCTATAAGGGGGCGTCCTGCTGCTCTGCAAAGGAAACTCATTTTGGCTGCTTGTATCTGAGATCTTTTCTTTTCGGTCAAGATCATGACCATAGGTGAGAGTAGGAATGTAGATTGACCAATAAATCGAGAGCTTTGCCTTTTGGCTTAGCTCCTTCTTTACCACAATGTGCCGATACATCGACCACATTACTGCTGCTGCTGCACCAATCCGCCTGTCAATCCCACGCTCCATCCTTCTCTTACTCGTGAACAAAACCCCAAGATACTTGAACTGGAAATGGGTGGTAGTCAAAGTTCAGAACCACGACAACTCGATCGTCGGGCACAAAAACTAGCTCATTGTAGGAATATACATTTTTATTTAAGTGAATTTTATTCTGCAAAGATGCAATGTTTAATAAAATTCACAGTAAATGCATTTATACACTGTAAAAATGAAATGACAAAGTCATGACAACAAATGTTTTTATTTTACTTTGATTTTCACCATCAGGTTTCAACTAAATATCTTTAGCTAAATTTTACTTTAAAATTTTAGTCAGGTTGACTTATGTGAATTGAGATGGCTAAAACGATTCTTTTGATTTAAATAAAAACCATTTAGGGCGCAAGATTTTTTACAGTCCAGATTTGCAAAAGATTTCTATTTAAAATGTTATTTTAAACCATCAATTTTTTTAGAAAATAATTTTTAGTTTTTAGTTTTAACATGATTAATGTGAATAAACAATTTCTTGTGCACCAAATTTCAGTGAGGATTTTAGTAGCACAGTAATAACCGTGTTAAATTATTCAAATCGAAATTTTTTTTTAATTGTATCCATATTTTATAGAATTACTTTTATTACTGTATTTTTGGCCCTAATCATTAAATTGTAATGTATATTCAAAAATATTTTAGAACATTTTAAAAAGGCAACTATAAGGATAACTGTTCAATATGTATACAGCTGAATTCAGAATTATTAGCTGCCCTGTTTATTTTTTTCCCCCAATTTATGTGTAACAGAGAGCTGATAACGTTTCTTTTAAATTTCTGTCATTTAATATCCGTTATTTTACGATATAGTTCTGTAATTTAATGGCCGTTATTTACGGTAAAATCTTAAAATTATGGATTTTTTTTACAGTGAAAAGGTTCTTACGGATGAGACGTTAAACCAAGGTCCTGACTCTTTGTGCTCATTAAAAATCCCCTGGCACTTATCGTAAAAGAGTAGGGGTGTAAACCCCGATTTCCTGGCCAAAGTCCCTCAATCGGCCCTTACGATCATGGCTTCCCAATCATCCCCATCCACCGAATTGGCTGTATCACTGTCTCTTCACTCCACCAATAGCTGGTGTGTGATGAGCACACTGGCGCCGTTGACCTGTGGCTGCCGGCGCATCATCCAAGTGGATGCTGCACTTTGGTGGTGGTGCGGAGAGAACCCCTCATGATTGTAAAGGGCTTTAGGTGTATGTGCCATACACAATAAATACGCTATATACAATTAAAGTCTGAATTATTAGCCCCCCTTTGAATTTTTTATATTTCCTAGATGATGTTTAACAGAGCAAAGACATTTTCACAGTATGTCTGATAATATTTTTTCTTCTGGAGAAAGTCTTGTTTGTTTTATTTCAGCTAGAATAAAAGCAGTTTCATTAATTTAAAAAAAATCATTTTAGGGACAAAATTATTAGCTCCTTTAAGCTAAATTTTTTTTTCCGATAGTCTACAGAACAAACCATCATTATACAATGACTTGCCTAATTCCCCTTACCTGCCTAGTTAACCTAATTAACCTAGTTAAGCCTTTAGATGTCACTTTAAGCTGTATAGAAGTGTCTGGAAAACTATCTAGTCAAATATTATTTACTGTCTTCATGACAAAGATAAAATAAATCAGTTATTAGACATGAGTTATTAAAACTATTATGTTTAGAAATGTGTTGAAAAAAATCTTTTCACCGTTAAACAGAAATTGGGGAAAAAATTAAACAGGGGGGCGAGTAATTCAAGGGGGCTAACAATTCTTCAGACTTCAACTGTATACACATTACATTACACTCAAAAAATACTTTTTTTGTTACTTGTTCAAACTACTTATTTAAAATGAGCTGAAACAACACAATTCATTGGAACAACTTTTTTTTATGTTCAATCAACATAAATTTGTTAAAAGCGTTAAGTTAACTTAATTTCTGTTGGGTCAACATGAATGAATTGTGTGGAACCCTCCATTTTTTTTTTACAGTGTACATTACAAAAGAACACACACACTTTAAATTATCCAACACAATTTTAATAAATTATCAGATTGGCAAACAAAAAAATAAACCATAAGTAAACTATTATTACAGTATAATATAGGCCACAAACTCCAAAATAAAAATAAAATGTTATTATGGGCAATTTAAGGTTCTATGTGGCAAAATACATGAACACTTTTTGTCAAAAGCAAGTTATTATTCCAATTTTGTGATTTTGATCTAACATGATCAAAAAAAAAGTTTGAAACTGTGAAACAAATTTATAACCTCAAAGGGAATTACTTAAATTCACCCTGAGAATATCTTCATAAAGCCCTTTTCTATATTTCAGCATTTCCTCCAGATTTTTGCTCTGCAGGGTTTCCTGTAAAGATGTTAGTTTGGTATTTTTAGGTAGAGTGAATGTATTTCCACCATCTAATGCCTTCACCATTTTCAGTGACATCTGGAACGAGTCCTTCAGATCCGAACACACAGGAAAAATGCAGGCGTTCCACAAACTACACACAGATGCATCTCCAGAAAACCTGACCTTTTCAAGACACAACCCCCAGAGTCCAACACAGTCCTCCAGACTCCTCTTAAACAAGCTCAACGCTTTCATATCAGCAGGCCTGGGCACGTTTTTCTTTAGATCATCCAAAACTCCAAAAGCCACAGTCACAAAACCTGTGCTTCCGTCAAGATTGACAGACAACGAGTGCATGAAGGTGTCACTCGGCACTTTTAGATCGGTTCCTATCCAGCTTCCGCTTATGATAGATCTAGAACCGACGTAAACATTAGCATCCAATCTACAGTATTCAACAACACTGCCCTCAGACACACTCACGCTGGGATGGAGGATACTGTGCATCACACACACTCGAGTTTTCTCTAATATAAATGAGCTGAAAGCAGAAGCCATCAGGCCAAGCTCAGCTCTAAGACACGGGTCGGCTGTTAAGTGGAACAAGTATTCCTCAGTGGTGCCTACATGATAGAACTTGGAGTTGTTCAGCAGGATGACGTTAAGTGCCGTGCCTTTGAGACGATGGAAAATCTTCCTGCGAATCTCAACGAGACCTTTTTCCTTTTTGGTGACGTTGGCAGTGTTTTCCGTGTAGTCCACTGACGCTCTTCGTCCCAGGGCTTGAAGAAAGTCCCCGTATGCATCGACCTCACATGTCAGAGGGCTGATTTCACTGAATATGTGCAGCAGTGTCATTGCAGTGCTGTGATCAATGTAATAAGTGCTGTCTGTGTAAACAAACTCTTCCTCTTTCCGTTTGCATATCGCATTGGATTTGCGCATTCTTTCTATGGTTGGTTTGTGGAGAAACTGAGAGCATGTTCTGTATTGCATGTCAGAGATTGTGGGCACTTCTGCTGGCTCCAGAACAAATACTCCATGCGTGGTACCAATAGAGAGAGAGGAGGGATGTGCTAACGCTGTAAAACCTGGTTTATCAAATACTACAAACTCTTGGTCAGGAATGCTATAGAGCTCTATGTCATCAGAACAGGTGACCAGCATTCCCGGCTTCATGTGTGAAGGGAAATCCACATACATTGCTAGTTTAAGCTCCAGCATCTGATATAAAGGGTTTCCCAGAGGAAAAGCGGTGAATATTTTACCCAGAGCGCTGGCATTGGGTAAACGTTGACTGAATCCTCCTGCATATGTAACCAAACGTATTGTTAAATTAGTATGTATATAACAGTCCCAACTGAAATTTGGTAAATTTATTAAGTAGTTGTGTATGTAAAGCAAAATAAGGCACAACCAAAGAGCTTTTATTCACGGAATTAACTCTGTTTACGGGATAATATACTTTTCCATGTTGTTTTGAGGTTCATATCACATGCTACACATTTTATTTAACATATATTACAGTTTAATACTCAGCAAGAGTGTGTTACATTGATTAAAGGGGACCTTTAAAAGGGACAAGTTGTAAAATAAGTGTCTGATGTCCC